AATATACAGTTTTTCTGATTTTAAAAGCTTGTTTCTATATACTTTTAAATAACGGTTAAGATAGTCAGATTAATAACTACTTAATCTAGATATATCTTAACTGTGCTAGAGCCTAAATAGATATAGCAGGCAGGTCTTAGTACTAAAAATAGTTAAGACGGTTAACTGTCTTTTTTTTAGCTATACCGCGGTCAGGTATAAAAATTTCCTTAACCTGGCCATAACCTGGCGGTCAGGTATAAAAATTCCAATTAACCTGACCTGACCTGGCCGTTAGCCACTCTAGTATAGATTAGTATAAAAATAATTAAATTAATACTTCAGTCCGAGCCGGGCTTATAATCTGTAGAAGAATATATTTAAAAAGCTAAAAACTAAAATAATACAAATTTTATTAATAGATTATATTAGTTATTATAAAAGAGAAACTGGCTATTATTACGTAGTGTTTTTACTTCCAGCCGTCACGTGACCCGGCGATTCCAGGCCACCAACGCCGACACAATTCACCCCAACGTGTAAGTGACCCGGGTTCCACCGCGTTCAGACCTGGTCGTCGCGAGGTAGCTTAGATGTTTAGTTGCACTAGTATGCTAGCAATCGCGGGCTCGCCGAAAGTGCATGAGGGCTGCGTCTCAGGCCTCGTGTTGTGGTATGTCACCAATGCCTGACGTGAGACAATGGACTTATTTACATTTTTCTCTTCTGAGATCTAGCAACGACGTCAGTAGTTTGGCCACCGATGCAACACAACCTAGATAGGTTGCAATACGAGCGAAAGTACCCGGGTTCTCAAACACAAACGCTTATAATGAGTTCCTCCTTTGGTGGGCGAAAAGAAAATAAGAACGAAATGCCTAGACAGCTCAGTGTCAGTCTCACTGCAAGTCATATGATGTCACCTAGCCTCACATGTATACTTGTCTTCTAAAGCTGCTTCCGTTATATTAAACACCGTTTGACAGATGTTGCTAGGGTTTCTTCAGAAGTGTGAGGATTTTATTTTACATCAGGTTACTGCTGAACAGAGTAATCCATTGAATCGACTTTCTTTTAGGACTATTCCCAGCAGTTTCAAGAAGGGCCAATACCTCACAGCATGTCTTGAAGTGAGAAAGAAAATGTCATCATTGTAGAGATCTTATTGTGGACTGAAGAGATCAATGACAGACATCTGCTACCTTCCTGATGTTCGACATTATTTGGACAGGCCGCACTCAGGATTTTTGACCTGCCCTATCAACCGTAGTCTATACTAAAGAGCTAAACAGCTAGAAACTAGCTCTGGAGAAGCAACTAGAATTGTCAGCTGCAGTCTAAGCGATTTGAAACGCTATCTCACCGCAAGCGACTTTGCCGTTAGAGTCCTAATACTGGTGGAATCATATATCAAAACAACACTGCCGATGAAAACAACTTGTAAGGAGCCCTGTTTCGCAGTCCGATCCACAAAGTCTGTCTCAACTGAGAACACTACTTTCATTTTTTCATTTTCTCTTGCTAATCAGAGAAGGCGCCTTTATCTTGACATCACGCTGAGATTTGAAGGGGTCTTGGGACTGGTCCACTCACAATAGCACACACTTTCAGCATCCTTACCCAACGAAGCTTTCCCGGGAATTTGTAATTGCTGGCTTCAAAATGGGCAATTAGGGGAAGCCACCTGGGTGGTGTAGTTACGCCCATCCCGTAGGCACATCACATCGCTTAGAGCTTCCTGATGATAATACAGATAGTACTAATATTAGAGAGTTCTTAACCTTCCGCTGCTGTTTCCCAGGTGTAAAGGACATGACTGGCTGCTTCTGGTTTAGGAGGTTGTGACGAGTTATTGTTAAGATAACAAGAAAAGGTCATATCAACTCAAGATAGCACCGAGGTGCAATGTAGGGAGAGAGTGGTTTGTGAGATGATTATGAAAGGTGAAGAAGATACCTAAAGAAAGGGAAGACTGGACGAAAAATAGTTTCAGGTTCGATGATCAGAGCACCACCAAAAACATACAACAGAAGGGATTCGCTGGTGGTCACCCACCCAACTACTGACCTCCCGGCGTGTGGCTTGAGTACGGCTGAGCGGACGGGAAGCCCTATTTTCCACACCTTGTGGTCGTATGTGCTTGGAAAAGTTGCAGACTGGCTAACGTAGAGTATTTTGGGGGCTAGCCTCTATCAATTTGTCTCAAAGTAATGGAAGACTTGAATGGGTCGATACTCAGGCCCTTAAAGCAAACTGGAAGACATGGTGACACGGCGATGCAATGGATCGATCAAGGAGGCCTCCGAGCCTCCGCCACACATATTTTTGCACCGTCCGGTCAATGGACAAGGGTGCTCATATTGCCACATACAGCGCCATACAGCAGTTGTGGCGGGTACTATACATCTATACATGATTGGTGCAAAAGCATTAACCAGCCATAGCTCTTCTATACCCCCACCATCAAAGCTCGTCATGTCTAGCCCTTGCACTGTCCTGCCTCAGAAGTAAATTTTCTCTCCGCTTCCACGCCAACCTCGCAGCACCGTCCGCCGCCATAGTCATTTCCTTCAACGAACCAAGAATAGGAACTCCATCGCCGACAGCCTCCCGAATAGCGCGATGCACAAGCTCGCCATCAAAGTGGTCCGTCAATACAATTGCGTAGTCCACCCTCTTGGTTTTCGTTGCGCCTGTCTTCCTGCGGGATTCTGAGTCACATTGTTAGGCCCATCATGATATGGATTTTGGGGTACGTGGTTTGGGGTGCATACCTCCGGTAGCTTGCAAGTATGCATGAATACTGCCTGCCAGAGACTCTACATACTCAGCTTGAACTGCCGTGACCTGATTACGTGTGAGGACCAGGTCCGGCAAGCTCCCATGCGCCCACCAGGAGTCCAAATTGAGGGGAAGGTCATCGAGCGTTTTCTCCTCCTCGTCATTATCTCCGTTACCGCTGGCCTCATTCCGCAGCGGCTCCTCCACACCCAGCAACATCTCGACTGCCGGGTCATACCCCATCAACGTCAACCTCGTCTTTTGTACCGCGTGTGTCAAAAATCCCCGGTCGCCTCCCTGTTTAATCAGAGCCCTAAAGTGTGCATCACCGCTAACAAGCTCATCCACAAGCCGGCGTTGAATCCGCTCACTCGCCCACGGAGTCAACGGAAGATATGGATACCCTGACTGGCGGCGGCGGCGGGTTTGCGGCCCATCGTACAACTGGACGCCACAATGGAATTGTCCCTGGTGGATAACCAGCACTCTAGCATCCTCTTCTACCGCCGGATTCAGGTAGTGTGTGCAGAAGGAGCGCGGGGGAACTGCCCCCTCGAGGATTACAATGCCCGCCTGCTGCCCGGCTTGCACAACGGCGTGTTTCAGCGTGTCGTTGAAAAAGTCCGGCACGCCGACCACGGCCCAGGTCACGTTGACGCTATGAGCTTCGAAAGCCGTGGTCTTGAGTTCGGTCAAGACCTCAGTAAATGTTTCGGTGATGTCGGATAAAGACAGCTTCTTCTTCAAGAGGCCGCAAGAGATGAGGGTGGACTTGATCCATCGCTTGATAGGGGTGGGGATCGTCCTGGTGACATCATCATAAATTGAACGAATCGAACCTCGTGTCCAGACGACATATGAAGTGCTGCTAACGGCAAATCTCGCATCAATGACCTCGAACAGTTGCCAGACGGCGCTGCTCATGAGCGCCAACGGCGTCGAACCACGGGAGTTCGGCCCCGGCCCCGCTTGCCCTGATTGCCGAAAGTGATTCATGGATAATTCGAGCATCTGTCTCTGATAATCCTGGTGATCGATCGCGCCTAGCAGCGTGAAATTGTCTGCGGAGTTGGCGTAGGAGGCTATGACAAGATGGTGGCCAAGGTCGATACCGATGGGTTCGTTTGGGGGCGCATTCTCGCACATTTTCTGCGCTACAGCCGCAAAAGAGACGGGCCACAACAGCAGAGCCAGAAAGACACTGGAAACGATCATATCGCGGCTGTAGTCAACCTTATTTTTCCATTTATCTCATATATGTCTTCTTTTTGATTTTTTTTCTCTTCTTCTCCTTTTTCTTTTTCATTTCATTTCTTTTTTTTTCTTTCTTGCTATACAATTCTGCGGCCTGTGGGTGGTTAGCTTTATTTATTAAGAGGTCGCTAGGCAGAATTGGAGCTAAAGCGCATCGTGCCTGGACCGAGTGGATAACGATCTCGGGACGTATCCCGAGAGGAGTCTGGTCGGCTTGACCCGCTCACATCGATTCGTTTGTCATTGACCTCGGTTGAACCAGATGGTCCTTCCTATATCGAGACCTGAACCATGATATATGTATGAGAACGTTCCTCACCGAATGGCCTAAGCGAAAGGGCAGCTTCGATAAGATAAGCCCTTCAAAGATGTGCTGTAGGCGTACTGCCGGCAGAATAGCAGTAAATGCAACTTGACTTAGGTAGCCTGTCACCGGGCCGTGACCGCCCGGCGAGGTCGCAGCAAAATTCCTTCCTACTGTAGCGACACTACACTACAACACACCCAGTTGAAAACATTCACCACCCAGCTCTGACCATTTTTGTTTTATCATACTAGCCTTCTAAGCTCTTGCAACTTCGCGCTCTCAGCCTCAGAAGCATGTTAGTAACCAAACTTGTCGGCGCCCCGCTGCTTACCCCACCCCTCGCTCGCTTACCATCTCGCCGGACTTCAACATTTCTGGCCGCATGATACGATGCTCTCGTGTACAATCATTTTCAATTGCTATTACCACTTGACGATGTTAAGAATGGATGTCAGGATGGCAGTATTGTTCCCGAGTGAGCAGTAAGAGTCAACTATGTGTGAGTTAGATGCCAGTCTCTTTGTTCTAATAAAGGGCAGGTGGACCCATGCTTTTCTCCCCATGATCCCTTTGTTTTGGATATCATATAAGAGGACTTTCAGAAACAATTCTTCCGCCTTTTTACTCCCTACACTCCTCGTCACCTCCTTCTATTTCTTCTTTCATGAATATCCACCATATGCCGTCTCCTTCGCGCCAGCATCCCAGACGGAAGCGCCGTGATTATCACCCCCCTCCACAGTTCTGGGATAAACTCACTAAGCTGTGGTTGACCAAGAGCGCTTTAAGAGAAAACAACCGACGAATTCTATCTCAATCCTCAAGCCGGACATTTTTTGCCGAATCCTACACCTTTGCTCCTGACTTTTTGCGTAGTTGCCCCGCTACTTGTTTACAAGAGATCAGAAGACTTTCCCGCTGCGGAGGTCCGGATCTATCGGATCTTAGGCATGTAAGTTGCTCATCTGCTCGGTATACCTTCATACCTATACCTAAAGTAGGTATATACTAAATAATATTGCGCTCAGCATCCCCTACCACCCGACTTTCATCAATACTCTGTAGTTCCTACCAGCTCAGACTTAAGACGCTCAATACGATATCCACTCAGACTTCGATTGGAAACACCACAGTCTATGACCCGCATTTCGAGAATCATCTACTCCAAAATGGTATCTATATGCCATTATTCAGATATCCAGATGGTAGCAGACCACCAAAAGCGAAGAACCTTGCGGAAATTAGAAGAAGAATGCAGGCCCCTCGCCCCTCGTCAGCATTACCCGAAAGCACGACTCTCGATCAGGAGTACGAGGATTTCCTCGAGCTCAATCACGACGCTGCTGACAAGCAGGCTGTCGTCACAGAGGTGTTGGCAGTTCTCGAGGGCAAGCACCGGGCTCGGTCCCAGGTTGCGGGCGGGCACCCATTCAGGAACATGGCCCCCTTGACCGACGGCACGCTCGCCAGTGCGAAGCCTGATCTCTACCACGGCGCACGATCCAATCAGCTCGCGCCCGCCATCCAGGAGCAGCTGCACAAACAGATTCGCCCGTCAAGCCAGAGCAATCGTCCAGTGGCCCCGAACACTTCTTCATCGAGGCCAAGGGCCATCATGGAACGCGGCGGACAGCCACGCGCCAGGCGTGCTATGATGGTGCGCTGGGGCGCGCGCCATGCATTCCCTCCGGCTATTCGGGGATGTGGGCGACAGCGGATATGACGACAAGGCCTACACTATCATGTCGACTTATCGTGCTGGAACACTGAGGATCTACGCGACGCATCCGACCAGGTCTCGGAGCCCCGACTGTCTCACTGACTATGTGATGACACAGATCGGGCATTACTCGCTGATCGGCAATCCAACGTCCTATCGGCAAGGGCGGGACGCTTATCGAAATAGCAGAGACCTGGCTGAAGAATACAGGGACGAGATCATCAGGCAGGCAAACAAACGATGTGCGGGGCTTTATGATAAGCTCACCTCCCGCGGCCGTAGGTGAGATCTCGATTTTCTTTGCAGGGGCAGGGGTCCAGCGGGATTTCAGGGTTATTGGGGGTTTGTTCCTCGGCTCTGGGGCGGGTCTGGGTGGGTGAGAAAGGCCCAGATCGCTTGGGTCAGCAGCGCTGGAATGGTTAGGCCATTTTGCGCATTCGTGAGCAGCTACACGGCTGCAGTAGCTGCTCATATAGATCTTGATACTGTCGTATCTCGTTCTTGTCTTTGATACAATCCGGAGTAATTCTGGAACAGTGGTTTTGCAGAAAAAAAAAACTTAAATGAAAATGAGAGCTCAGTCATAATTACACCTGCTGTGGAGGGGATGAGGTACGAGGTGGATTGAGTACGACTTGTTCTTGCACGGGACCTTTCAGACAACCTGTGCGGGAGAGTTCCACTGAGCATCGACATAAGCGAGATGAGGATGAGGAAACGGAAGGGCCCTTCTCCTAGGGCACAGATTGCGGCAGGAGGTGCATATGTGGGGCAAAAAAGAGGATGAGAAAAAAATATGCTCAACCTCGGGATCGAACCGAGGACCTTCTGTGTTTTTATTGCAGGGCAATGTAAGACAGACGCCTTAACCACTGGGCCAGTCGAGCTGAAGTTACAGGTCCTCTCGCCGTGTTAAGTCTATGACCAGTGTCAACCTCATTTTGTGGTTGCAGCCTCCTCACCTAATCCCTATATTGATCCGCTGTTGAAGGTGAACCACCAATCTATGGTTTCTATCCTCTCTGCTAGTCTTCCGGTGCATGCTATGGCGATCAATGATCAGGTCCTTCTCTAGACTGTGCCGATTCGACTTCTGTTTTCCATCGCGCTCGAGTCCATCAACTCGACCACGACACGGCGGTGTAAATATCTCCTCATTACACCTGAATTGCCGTCGGTTTTTCGCACAAAGCAACCCCAATTTCAGTTGCTGTACCAAGTCAAAAAAAGACAGCCAAATTTTTTTTTTCTTTTGTTCATTCTCTTAAAAGAAGCACTGGCATCTACTTATGTTTAGACTCGATTCGAAGTCCCGTCCGTCCAATCTTCTAAATCTGAACATTCTTTTAAACGTACACGTTGTCCATGGAAACCTCGTGTTCGCACATGATACTAGATAGCTTGAGCTGATAGCATTGTTCATCACATGTAACAATGGAAATCCGGATCTCGCAACTAGGATGGATTGGATGGTGTCATTTTACATGGATCAAACGCTCATCTGACGGCCGGAAACCGGATCGCTGAAAACAATCCCGGTTGACATGATAGAATGAAGGCGAACTCCGTAGAGTGATTACACTTCCAGACAACCCAGCCGGATATGATTTCTTACAAGCAACGTCAGCTAGTAACCTTAAATCCGAAACAAGGTCCGACGCCATAATTCTGATAGGGTGAATCCAGTCAAAAGAACGCGGCTGACAACCCCAAACGTAGGGATGCATCCGTTCTTTCGAACACGGTACGGGCATCTGGCGTTGGTACACTACCACCCCTGTCGATTGTATGTGGTTGGCTTGCCGGTCCTGGTGCGCTGCTGTAATTGCTAACGCGCTTTGCAGAGTCGCAGAGTATGCATGAACATCTTTCTACCAAAATTCCTGCTTTATGACATAAGGTCTCTCTATGTCTTAACTCCTAGTACAAATGCTGCTGGGGCGACGACAATTGCCATCAAATAGCCTCGTCACCTCGAGCCATTATTCCCACAGACACATCTGGAGGAGACAGTAAACATGCTAATAGTCACAACAGTTGCCCCTGTGGCCGTAATCCTGGTTAGTAAGTCACCCTCTAATCCTTTCGACCGGAATCTCATCCACGTCATCCAGTTCGTGCTGTATACGACCGCAAGAATGGCTTACAATGCCATTTGGCATCCACTAAAAAGGATACCGGGTTCCCTCTTCCACCGCATCACTCCAATGCCCTGGCTCATCAGCTGGATCAGTGGAATGAGCCACCGTGCCCTCCTCCAGCTCCACGAGCAGTACAGCCCCGTGGTGCGGACCGCGCCCAACCAAGTCTCTTTCATCAGCGACACGGCCCAGCAACAGATCTACGGCGCGGAGACCATCAAGCGCGACCCTCAACGCTTCGCGCGGTTCATCGAAGGCGAACAAGACATCGCCAACTATGATCATGAGTCGGACCACCGACGCTTCCGCAAAGCGATATACCCGGCAGTCACTGGCTCCGCATTATTGACGCATGAAGGGGTCATTCGCCGCAACGCGTCGGTCTTTCGGGAACGACTCGACGCGGCCGTGGTGGGAGGCGGTGGTGAGGGTCGAGTGGATATGACCAAGCTATACAGCTGGCTAACGTTCGACCTGGCCGGCGATTTCATTTGGAGGGAGCCCTTTGGCTGCTTGCAGAAAATGGTGACCCACCCGTGGCTCGCGGCGATGGAGTTCATGAGCCTCGGGACCTACTTTCGCCTGGTCGGCGTTTCTCCTCTGCTGCAGAAGCTGATCTGGGCGGTGATCCCCAAGCGCATCCGCGACCTACCCCGCCAGGTCATACAGGCGAAGGGTGAGAGCAGTAGCCGCAATAGCAGAGATGCAGGGGAGAGCGTGTTCTGCGTCATGCGCCAGCGCAAGATCCTTTCCCCGACGGAGGTGGACGCCAAACTGATGGTCCTGGCTGTCGCTGGTAGTGTGACTGTTCATTCTACTGTCTTGGCCGCCACAGCTTTCCTGGCGGTGCAGAGACAGTGCGCGGGTCGCGCGAGGGAGGAGGTGCGGGCGGCGTTTGCGCGAGAGGAGGACATCGCCCACCCTACAGTCACGAGCCTGCTCTATCTGAACGCGGTCATCATGGAGGCCTTCCGGCTGTGTCCTGCCCAGCCCACTTCAGGGCCGAGAAGGGTACTAGATGAATTTGTCACCATCGACGGTTAGTCTTCCCCAAGGTGTCAGTGAGCCCCCTCCCTTTTTTAAGTTGAAATATGTAACAGTGTGCTTATTGAACCCGACTGACTACAAGATTAGACAATCATTCGAGCCCCCCAATGTTCCATCCCGAACGTTGGCTCGATAGCTCGGAATACAGCTTAGATGATAAAAGTGCAGTACATCCGTTCCTGCTGGGTCGGCAGAGCTGCCCGGGCCGGCAGCTGGCCGAGATGGAGATGACCCATGTTCTGGCCAGGATGCTGTGGGCGTTTGACTGGCAGCTGGAAGAACCGGACTTCGACATCAGTTCGTGGCGAAGCAGCATGGTCTGGGAAGTTCCGCCTCTGCCCTTACGACTGACTCGATTCGGAGCAGCCAGTGAGTGACCGACGTGTTTTGGCGGAGGTTGATTCCTCATCATCTTGCGGCGAAAGGTGAGATCACGCTCGGCTGTTTAAATATTTCACGATTGGGATAAGTTGGGGAAGGGATATCCTACGTTGGCAGTTCGTGCTGACTAGTATGGTTGAGAGAGCGGGAAAGGGGGCTTTGTTTGTTAACACATATAGAGAATATACCGGCTACTTACGGGCTTGGCATGAATCAAATAAGCACGGAGTTCTATCGATCTCTTCACCGATACGGCTGCAATTGCAATACACGAAGAAAGACACATTCCCCCTCAAATCCGTCGAGCTGCGACCCACGTGTGCAATGAACTCACCGGGCTCGATCACGTATCGCATCTCCGCGTCCCACAGTCCGAGACTGCTAACACGAACCTCTAAGCTGACTGTAGCAGTCTCACCAGCCCGGATAAAGACCTTCTGAAACCCCTTGAGCTGCTTGTTTGGCTTGACGACCGAAGAAATCGGGTCCACCACATAGAGCTGCACGACCTCTTTCCCATCCCGCTCGCTGGTATTCTTCACATTCACCGTGACAGTCACATGATCGGACGCCCGCGGAGCCTTTGGGACTACCTGAAGATCGCTATACTCGAATGTCGAGTAACTCTCCCAATGCCCGAACCCGAACCACACATCCGGCGTATCGAGCACATAGTCGTGGCCAAACTCAAGACTACCATTGGAATGGCGCGCGCCGGGGGATCGGATCTCGCGCCCGGAGTCCAGGTAGTCGTAGGCCACGGGGAGACTGCCCACGTCGCGTGGAAAGCTGACGGGCAGGCGTCCGCTGGGGTTATGGTTTCCGAACAGCACATCCGCCAGCGCGACGCCGCCGTTCGGCGAGGGGTAGAATTGCTGAATGAGAGCGGTGGCGGTCGCGTTGGAGGAGAGCCAGGGCTCGGTGATGGGCTTGCCGGAAGAGAAAACCACGACGGTCGGCTTCCCGGTGTCGATGATCTGTTGGACCAGGGCGCGTTGGGCGCCCACCAGCCGCAGGTCATTCGTGTCGTAGCCTTCGCCGGTCGTGGCGTTCAAGCCCTTTTCCTGGCCCTCGAGGTCCTGGGTCCAGGTGCCCACGACCACAACGGCCACGTCGGCGGCCTGCGCTTGCTGCACGGCTTCGCCGATGAGCGACTCGTCGTTGCTCCAGGCTTCACATCCCAGAGCGTACACAATCTCGCCTCCTTACTTAGTGGCCAGGTTCTGGATTCCTTGCCTGGGTGTGACGCCGCCCGGTCGGTACGCGATGTAGTCTCCGTACTACGAGGGGGAAGGGGTGGGTATCAGCTCTGTGGAGCGGAGGTAGGCGCGATCGGGATGGGAACGACTTACATTCAGGGTGTCGGCGAAAGGCCCAATGACTGCCAGTTTCTGCGACTTCTGGGCCAGAGGCAGGATGTCTTCCGGGTTGTGTAGAAGTACAATCGACTCGCGGTCCATCTCCGTGGCGAGATCGAGCGCCTCGGGCGTGCGGATGAGCGCGCGCCAATCCGACGGCGGTGCTGCAGGGAAAGGATCTTCAAAGAGACCCATGTCGATCTTCGCCCTTAGCACACGTCGCACTGCTTCATCGACAATGGAGGGAGACAAAGTCCCGTTTAAAACGAGGTCGGGCACCGCGTCGAAATTGCTGTCCATGCACATCAGGAACGCGACGCCCTCACATCGTTGGGGATGGCTGGAGGGGATTTGCCCACAATAAGCCCCCGCCTTCAGTGTCCCCACCAGCTGGCAGGACCATCATGGTCACTGCTTCCTTGTCTACGGGGTCGCTGTGGCACATCTTGAAAGTCTCACAGAGTCGATCCGGCCCCCCGTAGTCCGAGGTGGTGAAGTATTGGAAGTCCCATTGCTCGCGCAGCACCTCCGTGAGTAGGTACCGGTTACTGACGGACGGGATACCGTCGTATCTGTCATCATGGGTATCAGAATATTCTCTTCATCGGAACAGCACCCCGCCAGTGGGAAGGGAAGACAAGGAAAGGGGATATGAATACGAATTATATGAGCTCATGACGGCGAAAGCACCGGTCTCCTGCAACGCCCGCTGAAACGGTGGGAGATACGTAGTATGCAGCTCCCGCGGCCCGCCATGGCCCGTTGCAAATTCCCTGCTCCGGATTCCCATAGCCTGCCAGATGCTTGATAGTGGAGGCAACCTTGGACTTCCAGAGACCGCGCACAAACGCCGCTCCAATTTCTCCGGCTAGGTATGGGTCTTCCGAATATGATTCTTCAACCTGGGTAGCTCAGATTCAGCAGCGTAGACAATATTGTTGTTGCATGAAGCAAACCTACTCTTACATGTCTTGGGTCTCGGGCAAGGTCCAATGAGGGCGCAAAGACTTGCGTGATGCCCAAGGCGCGGGCCTTTTTACCGATTGTTTCAGCGACCCGCTCCATTAACTATGCGGTTCAGCTGTCAACTAAAATCTGATGAGATGTAGGAAGCTCTGAATGGGGTAGTAGTACCTCAATGTTCCAGGATGCCCCCAGTCCAATGGGAGACGTGAATATAGTAGCATTCGGAAGTCCCAGTCCATGAAGCCCTACAATCAAGCCAACTCATCAGACAGAGACACGGGACAAGGGGCAACGAGGGGTACCTTCGCATTGCACGATCGCTGGAAGAGACAGACTTGTGTCGTTCATGATCCAGCCCTGCAGCGCCTGGGCCCCACGGTAGGCCAAGTCAAGTGTAGAGCGTGGATAGCTGACTGAGGGGGGCAGTATTTCGCTCAGCATGAGGAGAAACGACAATGAACGCGGGATATTCGGACGCTTACGAACCCCGCAGCATGCTGGAATGATAGAACATGTGATCCTTCATGGCTGTCTCATTGACATAACCGGTATCAAAATCGACAAAACGGTCCAGTTCTCCTATGCAAATCATTAGTCCTAATCCTTCTCGGGGCGAAGATAGGAGTGTCGTCGAGATCTTGCATGAGCTGAGCCATCTTCTCCCTCATTGGCATGCGAGAGAGGAGATCCTCCACTCGAAGAACGGTCTCCAGGTTCGGGTCCTGGTATGGCGCTCGTGTGGGATTGACGATAGGGGGATCTCGCGGAGGAGATCCGCTGGCAGACGTTGCGGTTCCTGCCTGGGCCACGCCACTGACGACCAATGTCCCCAGGGCTAGTAGCATGAACCTCATTCTCATCTTATGGAATAACTGAGCTCAGGAATTGATCAAAGAGATCTCGATCTTAGAATCGTGAGGAAGTGGTATGAGCTAGCAGCCGCAGGAGAAGTCGCCCTTATCATGTAACGAAAACGGTCAGCGATTTGAGGCAAGAATGCATTTTCTATCTTGAACCTTGAATCCAATAAGATAGGTCTGCTGGAAAATAGCAGGGTTCTGGCAGAGTTGTGTCTAATCCTTACTTCAATGCTGCCGGTTTAGATGACCTTCGACGACCAGGGTGTGAGAATGAGGTATTTTCCCTATCCCACCGTTGCGTTCAGAAGGCCCCGGATCAAGGTCAAGGAAGGATACTCTGAACTTAAACTGAATCTCTAGAGAGATCTAAAGCAAGGGATTTAAAGGTTTCCTGGTTTTATAGGCGCATAACCGCAGGAATGTGACTACAACGAGCCTGGTTCGCGACAAGGTCCCGACCCTTTGTTACACTCTAGATAGCAATGCAAGGGGCTCGGCGGGTCAAAAGATTCACGCCACAACCCTTTTCTTCTTTTTTCTTCAGCCTTAGCTGAATCGATCTATTCAGTGAACCCAACTGATCGCTTGCCTTTGAGTCATTGGGTAGTATCTTGCACTCACCGCCGTTGCCTCAGAGCTATGGATAAGCCCATGTTCAGAGCGGACAGATATATAAAATGGAGATGCATCTTGCGGGAATAACGAGACCGTGTCCACGTAGTCAGTTGACCTGATATCTTGCAATACCTCATTGATACGCAAATCAGACCAAATGAGGTTGTGTCATGAGCTGTCTTGGATTGTTGGCATTGCTGTATTAGCAAGCTGCCTGAAACCACCATTTACCGCAAGAACCTCTGAGTGGCACCCAGCTCGTCTGGCAACAGAAAGAGAGCAGAATATCACCCGGCTCCAGGATGCCACAAGTGAATGTTTCTCTTTGGTACGTCCTATGCTGGATTGGGATTGGATGAGCTTGGTGGGTCACAGACAGGTTCTCAGACAGAGATAGTGTCAAAACCTCGCCGGCACATATCAAAATACCACCGCGTGGCCGGGAGAGGATGAATTCGCGGCCGAACAGAATGATTATTTCTCCCGTCAACAATCCGAGCTGAGCCCTGCCTGTTTCTATCGACCCTTCGATGAAGCTCAGCTATCGTACGCCGTGGCCCGTGCGAGAGAACACCCACTTTGTCCCATTGCCGTCAAAGGCGGAGGCCATGCATCATTTGCCGGGGCATCCAACACGGCCAAGGGCATTACCATTGTTCTCCGACACTTTGACCAGGTTATTGTGTCATCGGACAGGAAGACCGTGCTGGTTGGCGCAGGGAACCGCTGGTTGAGTGTGTACAACGAGCTGGAAAAAGTCAACTTGACCGTTCCCGGCGGCCGGACAGGGTCCGTGGGAGTCGGAGGATTTACTCTTGGAGGTGGGTCGCTCCCATCCTCCTCACCGCATCTGCAAGCAATGCCTTCTGATTGAGCGAACAAAATAGGTGGAATCACTTTTTTCTCTGGCTTGTATGGCCTCGCCTGTGATAACGTGGCAAACTATCGGGTATTTTCCTATCCAGGAAGAACAATAGAAAAAGGAACCAGATGACTTATCAAGCCTGTCGTTGAAATTGAATCTAATCTTTTCGTCGCCAACATATAGGCTGTCCTCGGAAATGGTTCTATCCTCGACGTCAACCGAGAATCCCAGCCCGACCTCTACTGGGCACTGAGAGGGGGAGGCAGCAATTTCGCAATCGTCACTCACTTCGACATGTACGCGATCCCTCACGACTTGATGTGGGGCGGCACACGAAACTATACGAAGCAATGGATTCTCAGTCTCATTGATTTCTATGTCGAGTCGGGATTCCTCTCCCCTTACCAGCCCTCGGCCTCCCAGATCACCACCCTCTACTACCGAGACGGCGAGTACACCGCGACGGTCGATCTCTTCAATGTCAACCCCGAGTCGAGCAATATGCTTTCCAACACGAATCTGACCCAGGTGCCCTACACATCCGATACCATCGCCGTCACGCGCCAGTCGCAGCTGGCAGAGTCCAACTACCGTGGCCAGCCCGACGGACTGCGCCAGACATATTGGACCGCCACGTACCTCCTCGACGGGCCGCTCGCGCACTTCATCCACCAGGTTTTCGAAGAGGAGACCGCCGCCCTGGGCCCGCTCGACGGTCTCGAGGCCCGCTGCATCATGCAGGTCTTCGCCAACAACACTCTCCACGCCATGATCAGGAACGGAGGCAACGCCCTCCCCATCGCCGGCGGTGACCAGCCGCTCATAATCCTGAACCCGGCCTTCCGATGGCAGCAGGCGGGTGACGACCTGAAGATCCTGCAGGCCAGTCAGAATCTGTTCACCCGCGTCAAACATTATGCGAGGGAGCGCGCCCTCAACGTCGAGTATCTGTACATGCCGTATGCAAGTGAGTTCCAGAACGTTCTGGAGAGCTATGGCTCCGAGAATCTTGATCGCCTGCGCAAGGTGGCTAGCACCTACGATCCGGAGGGCTTTTTTCAGACGCAGACACCGGGGTATTTCAAGCTTAACGGACGGGTTGGCTGCTGAGAGGGACTCGGTGTGAGATGAGGGGGAAGGCGGCTGTTCTCTTGGTTATACTATCTGATTGGTCGAGCTGCTATCGGGATATCTTTTGTCTAGATGCAACAAGCCTAATACCGGGGCTTCTTTTTTCTTAGTATTGCTCTGTATATTTCATCCTACCTCCATTTGATCTTCCAGTTCCCTCTCCTTTGGAACAATTCTTGCAACCCTCGCGCACGTGCATTGCGGTTACAGACTCGTGGTTCCACAGCCCCTTGCAGAAAAGGAAACAGGTTATTGCACGCAAGCGAATCTTCAGATCACTTCTTACCAAAATCGCGAGTAATGTCGGTTTGGACTCCTGGAAGTCCTCTTGATCAATGCTCATCTTCAGGCCTAGCGAGCTATTACACAAGATGTGGAATAGTGTTTGGAGGGTACATAGTAGCCCAACCCTTGCACGCCTACTCACTTCAGCTGAATCTCAAGCAGCTGAGCCCCAACCGCCGTCTCCACACCATCGACATCGATATTGACCGCGCTAGCCCCGCCCGTCGTGACAAAGATAGTGTTCTCCTCTCCCTCTCCACGCCCAAAGAACACCCCCGTCGGCTCCGCGACCTCCGTCGAGTCCTCAGCACCCGCGATAATCTCACTGCCCACGGCCACCCCGTCCTTCGTAAAAATCACCTGCTGAATGGTATTCTCCGTCGCAGTGGCCAGGTAAGCAAACCGATACTCACTGCCATAGGTAGCATTGAGCGCGAACCCAGCGGGCGCGATGGCGAAGTCATCAAACTGACTCCCTTGGTAGATCAATTGGCCGGTTCCAGCCGTGACGTTGGAGAACAGCTCCGCGCGGTACAGGGCCCCGCCAGCCGTCCAGTACACAAAGTCCTCCGCGACCTTGATGCCGTTGATGGACGACATCAACGACTCTTGGGAGATGGCCTTCCAGGTGGCGCCGCTCGTCGTGTCGATGGCGAAGATAGCGTCCTGGTAGCTGGCAGTCGCCAGGAGGATGGTCTCGTTGAAGGCGGCCAGGCCGTTGAAGCCCGTGGGCGCGGTGGGGCGGCACAGCAGCGAGATCGTGGGGCTGTTGCTGTTCTGGGTGAAGTCGACCTTCCACACGTGCGTGGCGTTCTTGGGCGGGTCGCTAATGTTGTCGGAGGTCGTGTTGGCGCCGGCGACGTAGAAGACGTCGTGGGCGCCCTCGGCGATCCCCGACAGACCTAGCACGGAGTCGAAGGTGTGGATCACCTTCGTCTGGGGGGGGTTCGTCTGTGGATTGACCGCTAGCAGGCTCGCGGGAGGACCGATCTCCGTGGCCAGGACAACGCCGTTGGAGCGGGTGGCCAGGTTCTCGAGCCAGGTGTCGTTGGAGGCGAATTGGAAGACGGTGCGCACTGGCAGCTGGGCCGCAGTGGCGGTCGCTGCCAGGGACGAAGCTAGGGCGATAGATGGACGCATGATGAATGCAGAGAAGAAGCAATTCCTTGATGAGCTAGATGAACACTTCTGAGCCAAATGATCCTGCGGCCATTGGCAACTTTTATAAGGCTCGCTCGAGGAAAAGGAGAAAGAGCAATGTGATACCTACTATACCTAATAGACAGATTAGATTCGATCAACTCATGACTATGACGCGGCCCCTGCCGCCCGGCTCCATCTCTCGCCCCGGTTTAGGTAGGGTTACAGCCAGGCGCTAAGGCCAAAAACGGACGGATTTGCCGCGCTGAGGTGGAGTAAACCCGACATCCGCAAAATCGCTCGGTGCGGTTGGTTTGCTCGGATTTGATTGCCGAAAACTGGATATCCTTGCGCAAAATTGGCCGTTGTTAGAAGTTTCGTCAGCACTTTCTGCGCTGAAAGAATAAGGAATTCCAGGGCAGAGGTGCCTGTTGCACGCGCGTCTTTTTTTCCCTTCCGCGCTTAATGCTCCCCCCCGTTAGCTTATCTAGGACTTGTTTCAAACCCAACAACAAGAACAATCCAGCCAGCTACGTGGCCTGGAATTTAGATGTTTCAAGTTCTCGAGTCTAGACAGCATTGCGGCCTCCTGAGCTTGGGGGCCCAAGCTCTCCAGACAGTCAATAACCCTACTTGGGGTGTATCGGTTTCCTGTTCATTATGCTCCAGCCCGGGAAGAAATCCCACGGCGGGTTGTCAGACTTTCGACACTATGGTTTTAATTATTCAACCATGTGAAATGTTCTAACAAGAGTCACCCGTTCTTCCTTACTAAGGCTTTCAACTAATATTGCAAGTCCTCAAGAATCTAACAATTTTCTCATTCATATTCGCGACAAGCCAAAGCTCTGCCCAGATGAACTCGAGCACAAACCAAGAGACATCACGCCGCCAAATCTTTCTCTCCTTTCGAAAGAAGCAGGTTCTCATGCAGCCAATATTGATAAGGTACCCAACTCGATCATACGACTTCACTAAGGCGAATGACGCGCCATGGATTCACAGACACGATCACAAAATGTCTGAGGAGGGGAAAGGTAACAATACAGTGCATACACAAAGGATTCACGGTGAAGAAAGATGTAAAGCTCCCCAGCTGACAGGCATAATACCTTCTCTGCGTCTTGTGTCTCCGGCACCTCATCACGACTGCTCTGCGATATCTACAGGATGAGATATTTCCTAAGCTCTACAGCCAGAGGCAATTGATGCCTCAAGCTTGACACATCTTGCAATCGTGCGAGTGGTGGCCCGTCATGTCTTAGTTGATTTGTCGTTGGCCACCATTTGTCTCGAGAGACGACTTGCCGAACAGGCGGTGGAACGAGACGCTGCATGCAGGAGCTCGGAGACATAGACCCTGTGCAATCTACCATCGTGCTTCTCTTTGTAAGAGTGGAACTCTGTGCGTGGTACTAGCAGGCTCTTAGGGATAATGTGATAAGGTCTCTGAGCAAGCCAGACTTACCGTGTCTATACCGAAGAGATGAATGCGTAGTTTATCTTAAGCCACTCTCTCTTTGTAGTAGTCTGGCACTTCCCACTGCCTGCACACGGTATGCGGTGTAAGAGTATCTATAGCACTGTTGAGGGCTCTAGATTTCACGCGCCTCCTGCTTTTGACAGAAGGCTTTTGCCTTGATCCAACCCCGTTCATCGCATTCCCGAGCCACCGCACCACGCGCAACGCAAAGGCGGTCTATTTGCCCATGCCAAAATCCTTACAATGGATGGAACTGGAAAATGCATGACTCGTAACGTTGACAATCTAGCTCTGTGCTTCCGAGAGCGTCAGTGTGTAAAACCTTTTGTATCTTTCAAAGATTTTCCCACAACACTGGTAGTGGGAGACTCTTTTGGATAGGGATCGCTCTCGGTAAGATGCAAGTTGAGCTACTTCAGAATTCCTGCTCCGTCAACAAAATAAACGAAAGACTCCCCCTTATCATAATGATCTAGATGTTGTCGCACTTGTGATTCCGCAATCAACCGCTCGAAAATGTTCGTCATCGCAGCTGTAGCATTGCTCGCCGAGTTAAGTTCAAACACCCACGTCTCGAGCTTCATCAGTCATCGAAGGACAAAGTTGGAAAGAATTATGATCAAGTAAACATCCGCAAGGCGAGGAAGTAGATCCGTGAAGCACATGTTGTTGGTCTTTGACGTGGGCCTGAAGCTACTGTGGGCGTAACTTCTCTTGTTGCCAGAGCATATGATGCTTTATACTCTGGAGGCGGGTTTGCGCTTCGTCCAACGCACACGTCGATGGAAGAGGTCTATTGGGTTCCGAAATATAGCCGATCACCATTCAGATGACGTGCCCATTCTGTGGGCGGCCCTGAATCCTTCAAGAGCCAGGCGGTACGGCAACATGCAATGGCCGCTCTGCACTGTTCCCTGGAAAATTTATGAGAGAATATATTATTAGTTCTGTTATTTCAGGTTATTAGGGTTCATAGAGTGACCGTTATATCTTTCTGTACTGTTCATAGTCAGTTACTGGCTGCTCGCCTCCCGCCACGCATATTAATATCTCCTCCCTCAAATAGCCTAACATAGCCTGAGTTCATCCATTATTCAGGTCTTGACACATTCAGTCGCTAGTGTGCGATTATTTACTAAGACCGTTTCTAAGGACACAAAGGCAAAGCAAGCCCCGAGTCTACCCTCTCCTCTTCCTCGTCATCAACAAGCAGAGATCTCATGCACAAGAGGAGCTGCTGGAGCCACCAATCGCGTACTACCGAGAACCGATCGCGGATAACCAACCGTGCTAGGTTTTCAACTTGATGGTGAGGTGCAAGCATGTAGACAGGGTATTGGTTAGGAGACTGTCGACCCCGATAGTTCAAGCTGCCGAGCCTCATTTCCGGGAGGTCGGAGTCGTCGGTGGTTAGGTACATTCTGGCGCCTCGGTTCCTATTACGCCGCCCCTCCTCGGCATACCAACGACCCAGATCGTGGGGGTAGGAAGCGGGCCCGGGTGGGGGATCCAGGTAGTGGTTGGAAATGAGCAGTTTCTTTGGGTACAGAAGAACCCCGCGGCTTTGGTTGGGATCCTTCCGATGACGGGGGTAGAGATGATCGGTATGAAAGTGATACGCCGGGGAGGGGTACTTGTTTGAGGTGAGTTTTCCCTCCCTCGGTTCTTCCAGTAAAGCACACTGCCTCGTCTCCCATTCTCGCTGTCCGTCCGCCGGACATCCGGGCAAACCGTCCTCACGAAGCACCTTTGAAGCCCGGGCAAGGTCGGCGTATGGTATGGCCCAGGCAGAATGATGGGCCGCTATCGGCACACCGATCATGCTCATCGCCGTCTCCCCGCAGAGCACACAGCGTATTCCAGCCTGGTGGAGAAGGAAAGACATCCTCTGCTCTAGTTCGGGGCTGGTAGGCGCTGTCTCTGGAAATTACACCGCCAGGGGAGGAACGATTTCCAAATCCTCGGACCTGGGCTTTGTTCTTGGGGTAATTTGACGTCCCGGGTTTACCCGCAGCCATTCTGGTAGCTCGTTCCATCCGGGTAGGTTGTCGTCTGTATCCTCTTCAATATCTGAGCAGCAGTCTTGCCATTCGCTTTCAGAGGCAGTATCGTCGTTGCGAGACATGGTGCAGAGCTAAGAGGTCCGACGAGTCATGAATGTATCGCGCGCTGCGTAAATCAAGCGTTGTAAGATGTCAAGGGGGTGGCACAACAACAATTGTTGGTATTCGCGTGCTTATATATGGTATGATCTCATTCCAGTTATGTACAATATCTTGTGTGCTTCATCAACTGATTAGCCCTTCTTTCTTTGTCAATCCTCCTTGATTCAGGATAAGAGCTCAACCATTATCAGTCTAGTACTTCAAACTCGGATACCTTTTCCCTTCGTTGCAGCATGTGAACCTTGTGTTGCCAAGTACTTTGTTGGGGCTTCATTCACCTATGATGAACAACCGAAGTGCATCTTGTGTATGTTAGGCGGCCTTTATCTGACTTGATAATCCGTTCTAGTGTTTGATTAGTTCTTTGGAAATCTTTATAGTGGTCATAATCTTTCAACCACAAAACAACGTTTTACCATCTCCTATCAAATCTCTGTAGCTACAGGCAGAGTGGTGACAACTGTCAGGCGGGTCTCATAGCTTACCTTATTGTTTATTTTGTTTCTTGGTTCTCTGAATTCCATCTATCTGGCTTACAATTCTAATTCACTCAAGGCATTGTACATGCCAGATATTAGCCTTTGTTCCCAACATGTAGTAGTGCCCCAATTTGTATTACGGACGTAAATTATCCGTGCTCGTATACCTTGACAAAGATACAGAAACAATATTTATGCCGAGGACGAGCACCAGATCAAGGAGCTGCATGCGAATCTGGTTTTCCTGGACGCCGAGCTCAAAATCATCGAGAAGGAGATCAAAGAGGCGTGGAGAGAGGGCCGACACCACTGGAAACATTTGTGAACAGGCTCGCAAGGACGGTGACTAGGCGGCGACTAAGCCCAACCCGTGGGCGTGTCCCGATCTTCCCGGCACGGAGTGACTGACTCCTGTTTTCCGCAAGTTTACCCCAGTGCTCACGGTTGAGGAACTTCAGGTGGTTGAGGTTCATGCTTGAGGGTGGGAGGGGCTTCATGGAGGCTGGTTCTATATTTGCCTTTCAGTTTGCTGTGCTGTTCATCTCCATCTCATGTAACAATTCCTTACTCATCAATCTAGAATCCTATTGTCACTCCAATGCCAATCCAATGTCACGCCTGTTCGCTGTGATCATCTGTTGTCGTTGAATCTGAGTCCACCACTCGATGGAACTTACTTTCTGTAGTTTACGCGCAGAAGTATTTCTATCTTTACCTTTCAGTTGAGCAAACCGCCGTGCGGCGTGAGCCTGGTATAAGATATATGTAGCTTGTTTTGGCGTTCGCCTCCGCTTCCAGGAACTAAATGTGCCCATAGTATTTTAGGTGACCCAGAAACCCAATCCCAAGCTCTCATCGATGAGGTCCATTTCCTAACCAGGATATAACCAAAGGCAAGTGGGCTGCAAGCAGATATTACAGTTCATTTGTACTGTCAAGCAGGGATTCAACCAGTGACGTATTCATATCCTAGAACGGATCTACAAACCCCACTTTCAAGTGTTCCACCCTCGTATCACCTATTCTCTAACATGTACTGTGGAGCCGACCGACCGTATCGTGGTTTCTTTCCATTCTTTGTGCGGCACAATTAGACCTTCACTCCCAGCTGCTCTAATATGCGATACGAGAAGCTCTGTGCCCCTCAAAAAGCTGCGAGGATATGATTTGCGACCCCAACACGAGCGCAGACAGTAGAGGGCGTCATGGCTGTCAGACGGATAGGCTATTCGGGAACCCGGCGAACCCGGCGAACCGTCCCCTCCTCGCCAAGACATAAGCAACCATGCAGTGGTACGACCATGCTATAAAGCTGTCGGCTCTCCACACGCATCCAGACCATCCTCTTGGATCAGTATCACCATTATCAACAAAATAAACCTTCCTGAGGAAATATCTACTGAAGAGTCGAGCCACATACTCACCTAAAAATGTCGACCCCAACCACGATGCGGAAGATCGTCCAACCCGACGCAAACGCCAAAACCCTAACCCTAACCACCGCCCCCGTGCCGACCATCGACCCTGCAAAGGGCGAGCACCTAATCCAAGTCAAAGCCTGTGCCCCCTGCGCAGGGGAGCTCCTTTGGCCCAAGAATTTCCCCCCGCCCAATCCCCGAGAATTAATCCCCTGCCCGGACGTCGCCGGGACCGTCGTGGCCGGACCCAAAGACTCGCCTTTCCAACCAGGTGACGAAATCTACGCGCGAACCAACTACCTTCGCCCGGGGAACGCGCGCGATTCTACTGTCTGCGTTACCGATGAGATGGCGCACGCGCCCAAGGACCTGAGCGCCGTGGCCGCCGCGGCGATCCCCGTGTCGGCGGAGACGGCATGGCAGATCTTGTTCATCCATGCGGGGGTGGCCGGCGCTGGGGAGGTGGATCTTGCCGCTGCGGAGCAGGCGTGGAAGGGGAAGCGGGTGCTGGTGACGGCTGCGTCGGGTGGAGTGGGGATCTGGGTCACGCAGCTGGCGACGCTGCTGGGGGCGGAGGTGGTGGGGACGTGTGGTGCAGCAAATGTGGAGCTGGTGCGCTCGTTTGGCGCCGTGGAGGTGCTGGATTATCGGCGAACGGGCCTGCGGGCGTGGGCGGAGGAGCAGCCCCGGCGGAAGGTGGATGTGGTGGTCGACTGTATCGGGCGGCAGTCGCTGGCGGATGCGTGGTGGGCGGTCAAGGATGGAGGGGTCGTGCTGAGTATCTTTCAGCCGCCGGAGCAGGTCAAACCTGACGGCTGGGAGCGGTCAGCGGTGCGGAGCGTGTTTTTTGTTATGGAGCCGGTGAGGAGGCATCTCGAGGAGATCACGAAGCTAGTGGAGCTCGGAAAGTGTCGCGGGATGGTGGACAGTGTTTGGCCGTTGGAGCAGTATCAGGAGGCATTCAAAAGGTTGGATGAGGGGCATGCGAGGGGCAAGATTGTTTTTGATCTGTCTCTTAATCTGTGAGAGAAGATGAGATAATTTCCGTGCTGTAGCTGTTTCATCGAGTGTGTCGGGTTCAATGGATACTCAATCAAATTTGCAGTTCCTCACTGGTGACCACCTTGCCTACCAAGCCCTATTTGTGGGAAACTTTCCATCGGCATCACATCATAAAGAACTTGGGTAATCCCGTATTATTCTTATGTATGATCATCATTTGCCGAAAACGTTTGACGTTACTGTTCATTTCATATACCAATAAAATACTTGAAAGCGCATTGCTTGAATGTGATGAAAGACTTTGTAGACTCTAGACCATGTGAGACGACAGATTAGTGCAGAAGTACCATTCATTTCATGCCCCTAAACATACTCTCACATAATTTCCTTATGTTGTGGACCTGAATTAACTATTGAGATTTTAGTCCCCTCTGTTCTTTCTTCTTCTCTGACCGGTGAATGTGGTTCGGATAAGCTACCTCGGCTATCTCGGTGGGTCTTGAGGTCAGATTATAATATCACGGCGATCACGCCTCAACACTCCGAACCCAACAAAATTTCAACTTTCGAACATTTTTACCTGTTGAGTAATGTGCGCCACTGTGGTAAGAGTAATCAACATGCCAAGTGCCAGCTTCTTGCTATGGCTGATAGACTTGTTAATTGCTTATAAATACCTTCCACCTGAACGCAACTGGTATCCGGCATAATCGTCAAGCCCTGCCCATTGAAAGGCTACCTAACTACGAAGCGACCGGGAAGATTTGCAACTTGTTCAAGAACTGGCATTCCAATACTGTGGCGAAGACTTCAGTCACAGTGTGAAGAATCAACATGCCACACGCGCTGGACTTCTTCCAAGGCCTCTGGGTCCAGCACCCCTGGGCAATTGTCCTCAGCGTAGCTGGCTATATCGCGATGGTCCGACTTTTACGAAACCGTCGTGTGAAAGCGATCGATGCCCCCTTTGCCCATGGTCAGAGGAAACTGTCCAGTATGACAAGTGAAGAGGCGCATGCTATCATCAGCCAACTGCAGGAGCTCGAATTTCCATACGCTTTCAAGAAGGCGCGCAAGATCGCTCTGCTCAAGGTACGGCAATCCTTGCCCCTAGCAACGCCCACCCTCTACTTGCGCAACAAGCCATTGTATCAAGCGATGTAGACATGCAACTGAATTCAGCGTCTTCGACCTTTCGCAGGCGGGTGGCATCCCAACAATGTCCAAGCTCTTCGCCGTGACGGGCCAGAACAACAAGCGCAATTCGGGCAAACGTGCCGTGGACACGGAGATCCTCCTCCGAGAAGCTCAGTCACAGCCTCGCGACTCAAATCGCTATAGCACTGCGGTCGCGAGAATGAACTATCTGTATGTACTGAGATCCTATGCCCCTTTCTCCGATCAGAGTCTATTCACTAACCCCTCATATCTCCAGACACGCCCGTTACCGCAAAGCCAACAAGATCACGGACCCAGACCTCCTACATACCCTCGGTGACGGACTCGCAGAGATCCTCAACGTGATCGACCGAGATGAATGGCGCAAGCTGACGGACGTCGAGAAATGTGCCCTGGGTGTCTTCCACAAGAACCTGGGCGAGGACATGGGGATTCCCTTTGAGCCCCTTACTTCCTCGCGCGAGGGCTGGCGCAATGGGCTGCACTTCGCAATGGAGCTACGCGACTGGACGATCCGCTACGAAGAGGCAGTGGCCCGGCCCGTCGCGACGAACGATCAATACGTGCGGGTGTATGTCGATGCGGCGCTGGCTGGGCTCCCTGGCTTTGTCACGAAGACAGTGCGGAAGATGTTGGCTGCGGACCTGGATGAGGTCATGCGAACGAGTCTTTGGTGAGTAATTCGGCCTCCGATTGAGCGGCGGAATCATGCAAGGATGATGTGGCGGGCGGTTATGACCGCCTGGGTGCATGCTTTCTAGTTCTTCATCTTTCCAACAAATCCCAATGCTGACATCCGTTTAGCCTCGAGAAGCCCGGCCCCATTCTTGTCTTCGTACTGTCCTGCATCCGCCAGACACGCAAAGCCTTCCTCCGACGCTTCGCCCTTCCGCGCTTCTGCGCTGTCAAACCCGTGCATGAAACGGCCGATCCGAGGACGAATCGATATCACTTCGGCAGACAGACCCTACAGCCGTGGTATATGGAACCGACCCTATGGTCAACCTGGGGACCAGGTGCGTTGCTTGTGAGGATGCTCGGAGGGAAAGTGCCGGGTTCGCGGGGGGACCGCTACCATCCTCAGGGATACGATCTTATGACGATTGGTCCCGATCCTCAGAAGGAACGAGGCGCGGAGGAGATGAGACCTGATATCGGAGTGATCAAGGCGAGGGCCGTGGCGACTTGTCCATTCTCGCAAGCCAAGGCGGGAGGTTTTAATTGAGATTGTTCTGCACGGATTGTATTGTGTCGGACATGGTGGCAAGGGAGACGATATAGGTGGAGACGATGGCTGATTAGAAACTCAATCAGGATGACTTGCTTTTAGTAGAGTAAGTCAGCTACATCGTTCTTGAAAATCATGTGTTTGATTTAGGATACCGCGGTGGTGGTAAATCGGCAGGGTTGATAGATCCAACCCTAGTATAAGCCCACGATGTCAATTGACATGGCCTAAAGAACAGCCTGACTATCTACAGATATCCATCACGTCAGCAGAAGGTATAAACATAATGATTCATGTCTGTGGTTTATGTCCAATCTCTGTATCTGCAGCTCTTGGATAGGAGATCCAACACCTCTATCTTCTATGTCCATCCAACTGTCCGCCTTTCCCCTACATCCTATCGTCCCATGAACCCGGCAGCAAAAATGCACTCACCCCTCAAAGTACCGCCTTAAGCTCCCTCTTCGGCCTCAAGATACACTGCTGTGTCATATTCGCCACCAACCGCCCGCCCCGATCCCACATCCTCGCCTCCGTATACGTTCGTCCATCCGCGCCAGCCACCGTCTTCAACTCGCGCAGATGCCAGTTCTCCAACCCCCAATCCGCCGCGAACACCCGCATCGAGAAGTCCAACGACGCGCAGGCGCCCGCATCATCCAGAAACATCCCACTATGCGCGAGCGGGAGAAAGCTCAGGAATGCATCCAGCACGAACGCCAGGCCCGCGTACTCCTCCGAGCGGCGGTGCATCGGGTGGCGGACGCGGAGCCAGTCCGCCGAGGTTCGGGCCGTCAGGGGCAAAGCGTCCTGGCCGGTGGGGTGGGCCTTGGCCATCCCGTTGAAGTTCTGCCCCGACACGCCTTCGGGCGTCTGTCGCGTCTCGAAGAAGCGGGCGATGAGGCTGAAGAGCGTGGTATACTGCGAGAAGGCCTCCTCGGTGAGGACCCCGCGCTTGACCATGTCGGTGCCGATCTCCTGCGGGGTACGGCAGGCCTCTGGCGGGGAGTATGTCCGGTCCGGCGGGGTGGAGTAGCTGAGCATGGCTCGCTCGCCCTCCTTCTGGAAGTCTGCGAGGATGATCATGCATAGTCTGGTGGTCTTGTCGGTCTGCGCCTGCGTGATCTCTACCTGTCGCGTGGCAAATGTCCGGGTATCTCGGAGGCGGCGGACAGAGCAGGTGAGTGTCCGTTCGGTTGATACGGGGGCGAGGAAGTGTCCTGTTACCGAGTAGAGGAGATACTGGGAAGAGACGGTCTGGCAGGCTGCGTTGACGGCGACGCCCAGGGCGCACCCGCCGTAGGCGATATTGGCGGCGTTGCCCATCTTTTCGGGCTTGTAGCGTGATTGGAAGACATTGGGGCCGATCTGTTCCACAGAGATATGCTCGGCGAGAGTCCGCGCTTGAGTCGGCGTGGTAGGTGGTGAGGATACTGGGGACATTATGGTGGTTATGGTCGGGCGCTGGAAAGATTCTGCACAACGCAACGTAGCGGGGGTCTCCAGTCGTATTTATACTATAGTTGGGAGGTGCTATAACCTTATTTTTGGAATCACGGCCCGAGGTTGCGGGTCCAACTGCCGAGGCTGGCTGACCAAAGCGGCCAATCATACCACTAAAGAATGGTCGATTTCTAGGGATGGAGGATCCACTTTGGGGACGCAATTTTGATGCCCCTCTAACTACCATTCGACTGCTGACTTTATTAAAAAGCTATCAAGAACAGGCCTCCCAATATGTGGAGCATCAGTCCAGCCCTTGTTGGCTTTAGGATCCGAGGTGAAGCTTTTTTAGCATTCAACATTCATTAGATTAACGCATAGAATATTGCTGTGAGTGAGTCAAGATGTACGGTGTAGCTACTTGACCAGTTGCCAAGCCAGGAAAACGGCCATCCATACTTGGAGCGGCCCACATATAAAACCGTACCAAGCACATTCACATCACTTTTCATCAGAACCTTGTGTTCGAGACATATGTCTTGTAACAGAAAACCGCCAACGCCAGCCCAGCAAGGAAGTCGGTAAAAATGGTGAGGAACCAGAACCATGGGATCTGGGGCACGCCGCCAAAGAAATGGGCTGGTGTGCGGATCCCTAGCGACGCATAACTTGCGAGGTAGAAAAGAGCCGTCTGTAGGCTTCCGGACTTATACAGATGGTAGCCGCGGATGCCACAAAAGGTGTGAAAAGGATAAGAGATGGTGATGCCGATGCGATACGCCCGTGCGGAGGTGTAGATTCCGGGGACTGGCGGGTAATCTTCTGCGCGCAGGTAATTGTGGGCGTAGTGTATGGTTGTTGTGAGCCACAGGGAGAATAGTATGATGCACAAGGGGCGCAGCTGGGAGGGAGAGGGGCTGGGGCTGGGGTTGAGCATGTTGGAAAATCGGGCTCTGTCTGCTAAGGAGTGCAGTGAAGCTCGGGCGCGATGTATCGATCGTCCCAAAACACATGGTGAGGTACTGTACCTATCTGATTGTCCTGCTCCTTATGTCTGAAGAGCTCATCGCATGATTATATCGATGAAACTGTTGATAATGTAATCTGGACTGACCTCGGATGCTCCTCTGTTTGTATTTTCCTGCCTGGTGCATCCATTGCCTGTGTGCTCAGAAATGCAAGTTTTATCCAGATTGCATGGTATCGATTGCAAACATACGGATGTTACTTCAGGAAGTATCTACGGCCCAATACTACGCTTCTGTACCTTTTCGCGCGGCAAACAGTATATATACCGAGGCTTCCCCGAGGATATTATAATCGAACCGAGTACTGCCCAGCATGCATTTGAATATGCTACGAAGGTGAATAGTGGATCAAGTTTTTCATGACACCTGTATACTTCGTCATTCTTGCGATCTTATCACCTCTAAGCTATACCGGTTTCTTCCTGAACCAAGCATTGAAATGTACTTCACCCCGCCCCCAATCGAGGTCCCCTCATCGTACGAAGCCATCCCAACACGAGATTTCAGACTCTTGCATTACCCCGGCGCCTGACCAAGTGTGTGAGCTTGAATCAGCCCGTAAAGTGAAATGTCTTCGCCTTCGCAGGTAACCCATCGTACAAATCTATCGTAATCCGAAATAAGGCAGTAGATTGCTCCTCAACACACAGAATAACTCTCGTGTACACCCCGCACAAACCAGAGCACCAGTACCCATACTCTCCATCCAACATACAAATCCAAGTTCCGTCAAACCTTCGCTTTCCCACCCATTTTTGGCCTCAAAATTGTCGTTTGCGCCATCACAGCAACCAACCTGCCTCCGTCATCAATGCACGCGCACCCCCTGCCGCACAAGTCTGTTGCTCACTGACCATCCACTCCCCCACATCAACTCGATGCGTCATCATCCGCAGCGCAAAGTCCAACGTCGCGCAGGCACTCGCATCCAGCAGACTCCGGCCCGCGTGGTTGGCGGGTATGTACGCGAGGCCGCGGTCCATGTAGAACGCCAGCGCGGCGAGCTGAGCGGACTCACTCCCAAGGGGCGTCTGCAGGCGGAAGCATTCCGCCGAAATAATGCCAGTGATATCCCCTTCAGTCTTCCGGTTTGTGGCCGGAAGGGGCTGTACTTCCATAAACCGGTTAATGTATTTGTACAGGCCTGATTCTGGTGCTCTGGCGATTGCAGCTGTAACAGCATCGGCGTGTGTGGAATGTGGACGAGTGGAGTAATTCACCATCTCGAGCGTCTCCTCGATGTGGAAGTCGGCGCTTGCGACGAGACATAGCTGCTCGCCGGTGGGGCTTTCCTGGTACACGCGGAGATGTCGGGTTTGGAAGATCCGCGTGTTCCGGATGCGTTCGACTTGGCAGATAAGCTTGAGGGAGGGGCTTGCGGGCCGGACGAAGTGTCCGGTGAGTGAGTAGAGATGGTGGCCGGGTTTAGTGGTGGCGTAGGCTGCGCTGATGGCGATGGCGAGGATGTTGCCGCCGTAGGCCCAGTCGGCGAGGTCGCCCATGCGCGTTGGTGGGAGGCACGAGATGAATCGGTCGAGGCCGCGCGCTTCGACGGCGAGTTGTTCTTGGAGGGTTACCATGGTGCTTGTGTTTGGTGAAGGTCTTGGATTTGGTGGCAGAGATAGGAGAATGGTTCTTAAATGACTGTTGAGGGCATCGTAGTGACATGTGATGCTCTGGGTGATATTGTAATCAAGCGTGGTCCAGGACCCTTATGACTCCCGTGAAGAGCTTATGCTTGGCGATTTCAGTTTGGTGCTCTTCTCGTTATAGGATTTTAGAAAGTTGTTGACTTCTATCCTACTCGGATTCAGAAACAAAAGTCCCTCGCTCCGAACCGGCACAGGTCGCCTTCATCGTATCCACGCTTGATATGCCGCAAGCCTACAATATGAGATCGTCCACCGAAGCGCTCGGTAGAAGTTTTATTCCTCCCAGACCCGATTGCACTCCTGAGCCCAAGGATCGTAAGGAGGCATGAAAAGCGGCGTTGACATCGATCATTCTGAACCCGGGAGCGCGCCCGAGAATGACAAATCCATGAAGAAGCCCTATCCACATCAGCTAAGTCAATCACAATTCCGCAAGGAACTTACTCCAGAGAAAGTTCTCCAAATCCAACACATAGGATCTATGCTCAGAGCGCATCCGCCCTGATGGTTCATCTACTATGCGTACCGTGGGAAAGAAGCTCGACCCCTGCAGATCCACCCCATGCTGCTCAAGATACCCTTCCACGTCCCGACTATCGAACCACTGCCCCCCAAGCCCGCAGATCTCAAGCAATCGAGCGCGATCATCCACTGATGTCAACTCATCCCCACGTCCGCTACTTGGAAGGATTCCAAGCACTCGACGTGGCAGCCTCATATTCTTCGGATGCATTGGAATGCCGAATTCATCTTTGTCGGGATAATGCGTACCTGCTCCACCTACACCATAAAATGGAAGGCCGGGAACCTCAAGTGGGGACTCGGATCCACCTCGTAGCAATTGCTCAAATCGCGGTTGCATCTTGGCTTTGTCCTGTATGCAGGGCACGAGACGGAATACGCGGTACACTTGTTGGGGATTTGACTGGGGATCGATAAACAAGTTGAATGCGTGCTCGAGGCAGTATCGTTGCAGTCCACGGGCGAAGCGCCCTTCCTGGAACGAGTAGGTGTGACCCCTGGTCGAGATGGGCCGGGGTAATGAATGCTGCCGTCTCCGCGGCGGATTTAGTGGCTCCTGCTGAACCTCCCAGTTGCTTTGAGTTTGATCGAGACGGTAAGCCAATATCTGGTGTGATGTGGTGGAAAGCACATCAGGTTCTGGCGTAACTTGCATGCGAGAGGAATCAGTTTGAAAGGCTGAACCGTGAGAAGCACCCTGCTCGATCAACACCCCGCGCATTTGCGTCAGGCGGGCATAGATATCCGGATGAGACAGCTGCAGCCGCGCCTCAGTAGCAGCCTCGCAAGTGCTGGAGACCTGGTCTGACAGCCTATGAAGCTTCGCTTCCAAGTCCGTGACGCGATCGAGGGTTTGGCGGAAGACCGCCTCTTTTTTAAGGCGGTATGTCTTCTGGGCGCGCCGAATCTGCGTGCGCCGGTCTTCCGAAAGGATTGCCGGGCCACCGGCCTCGATGCGGGGTCGGCCCACGCGCTTCCCTGAGTGCAGTCGCGTTTTAATCGGGCTTGAGGGGTTGAGCTGTCTCTGTGAGGCATCTGGCATTGCTGTATCCTGATTTGGTATTCCTGTGTCGGGTTGTGGCTCTGGTGGCGTTGCGGATGGTGCGATGATGGCGACGACATTGCTGGGCTCATCCGCCTCTCCTAGGAATGACCTAGCAGAGAGAATAGATAGGTTCGATCGATGTTCCATCTCTATGGGATCTCATCATGACAATTTTGAGATCACGAGTGCGATGGTGAATGAATTGACCAAGGGAAGTTCCATCACAAGATGTGTTAAGCGTGGTTGACCGCCTTGGCCTTCCGAGGTCTGGAAGGCGCGGCAGATTGATTCTGCCATTGTTACTCCACCGCCGTCTTTTCTCAACAGAATTATGCACATAAAGCTGAGCCCTAGAATTCCCGACTAATGATCTGCATAAAGCATTAGTCCTCGGCCCTGTCGACCACGCCTTCACTAGCTCGTTATCGAGGCCATCCATGTCTCCCTTTTTCGCCCTTTCACTCTCTCTGTCTTCTACCCCATAGGCTTATTCCAAGAATAGAGTTCAGACAAGGACTTAATCCACACCTTCGGGGACATCACGAAATGACTTCACTGAGACTTCTACTCGGGCACGGATGTATTTTTTGAGTCCACAGAGCCGTTCCTTCGCCAACTCAAGCAGCCCATCCTCCTTACAAACCGCGAACCGGAGATAATTCTCCCCAAGATGCGCATTCCCCTCACTATAAAACACCGACGGTGGAATCGCGGCAACCCCAAACTCCCGGATCAGAAACCAGCACAGGTGAAAGTCGCGCCGTCGAGTGGCAATCCACGGCGGGAAAGAGTCAGTGTCCGGAATCTGCACCGACGACAAGTCCGCGAGGACAAAGTATCCGCCTTCGGGGCGTGTATACTACTCACCCAGATTGCCAGAGTCAGCCTTAGAATCTAAAGTCGAACTGGGAGACTGGATGAGGGGGTAGACGCAACCGGAATCCTCAGCTCATCCCAGACTTCGCAGAAACACCGGATCTTCCGCTGCATCTGATCACGGCTTTCCTCCCAGAATCCCATTTCTGCTGCCCAGGTGTAGGCGATGGCGACGGCCTCCTGGAGCGGGGACGCCGTGCTGTAACAGATCTTAGTGTGGATGGCGGCTACTGCATTAGTCAGGGGTGGCGGTCCCACTAGATACCCGATTTTCCAGCCGGTGGCGTGGAGAGATTTGCCGGCGGAGCCAACTGTCAACGTACGGCTGTAGAGGGCGGGCACGTTTCCTGGCGAGTCTCAACCGGCCGCCGTATGTGAGTCCGCGCCTGCGCCAGGTGCAGTGGCCGGAATATCTGGTGAACATTGCCTTCTTCCTTGGGATTTTGTCGCGCGAGGCGCTGCATCAGTGTCTGGATGAGGTCAGAGGTGCAACGAGGGAGGAGGCTGTAGAAATCGTGCTTCCTCATGTCGATCAAAACGCGGATGGTTGAGTTAGGGCTGGATGACAGGAGTCTTGCGAGGTGGATTGACGTGGCGTTTAGCCTACAGGAGATTGGCAGGGAGTATCAGCCGGGCGGGACGGTGGCGCATATGGATGTTTTCCACTGCGAGCCCTTGGACTTCTTGAATGTGGGTAAAGAGGAGTGGTTGCGGCGGCTGGCGGGTTGGGAGGAGTTTGCAAGGGAGGAGAGCGAGTACTATGAGGTTCCGGGCGAGCATCACTCAGTTTTAGGAGTAGCACATGTTCAGCGATTCTTTGTTAGGCTGGTCGAGGCCCTGGCTGCACGTGGGCTTTAGACAGCAGGGCAGTCCATTTTGTGAGTATATTGATTGATGGTGGTATTGATTGATGGTGGTTGTTCGTTGAATCGATTATTCTAACAGTATGAGGAGTAAAACCTGTCAACGTGAAGGTAGGCGAATCCGCATTATGGGGAAGAAACCCGGAACCGCCATGCATGTTCTACACATACATAAACGTGGGGCAAAGAGTGAACGCAGTGCATCGCAGGTGGGTCTCAAGGTGGGTACGAGAGTGGGGCACCCATAACCCCTTGATTCTGTCGAACGACAAGGACTATATGTGCATTGATGACAGGCAGGCTTAAATGATCGCATGGCAGTCTTGATTGGCGTCAATATTAGAGAAGGGTGGACTAATTATGAACACAAATGAGCAGGCTGAGCAGCCTCTACCCTGTTCTCTGGGGAGGAGAAAATCGTATCTAATGCAAAAGAGGTTGCGGCTTCCACATGGCGATAATATAATGGTGACGCTACATCAAAATGATTAACAATGTCGTCACATGGGCAACCAATGCCACGAGGTGAGTGTGGCGGGTGGAATGTGGCTAGTGAAGTCCAGCGCTCCGTCTAGGGGCCGTGCCCGTCTTGTGGCAGTGGCCGCGCTCATTTCGCTGTGGTACTATTTAATATGTGACAGTCTGGCGCACGGCTCTAGCAATTTGGCATCAGAATTTTCCCAAACCATGAATTCACTAGTCGAGTATACCTATAACAACAAAGTCAAGCTTGAAACAAAACCACCAATCGAGCCATAGTTTCTTCCGAACACACTCCTACATGGTCGCATTTAATTTCCACTCCCGTTCCCATTCGTAATCATGGCCACCTGCACCGCCGCAAATCTATCACAGAACAAAAGGTCAGCAAATCACTCTCCCACCCACCCACAAAATAGAAAAGAGAAATAATTGCCAAAGGCCAAACCCTAAAGGCTCCCAAGCCTCCAAGCAATGATAGAATCCCGAGGTATGAGGAAGGCAACTTACGCCGTCGCCGTCGCAAAGATATCCACCTTTCTCGCCTTCACCATCAGCCCCATAACGAGGACAAACACCATATTGTAGACGAAGATCGTCACCAGCCGCGCAACCGTATCCCGCAGGAAGTGCAGCACAATCATGGACGAGGCCGGCAGAAACCCCGCAATCAGCAGGCTGGCCACGTAGGTGCGGCTCTTGATGGTGCGGTTGTTGTAGTACCAGACGTCGGTGGCGTGGTTTCTTCGATTCTGTTTTGGGATTCATTAAGGTTTTGCTTGGGGTACAGTTGAAACATGGGATGTGTCATTGTTCTTGTGGCCAGGTCGGTGATTTCTCCGATAAGGGGAAATGGTGTACCAGTTGGGGGTAGGGGTCACTTACTAGATCGTTCACCCCCCAGCGCCGATGGAACCAGGGAATGACGGATCGATACACCCAGCGCGTGAACGCATCGGCGCCCTCGTGGCGACTGCACAGGGCGATCAGGTCCGGCTCGTTCTCATGCCACTGGTACATGGGACGGAATTTCTGGTAGTGACTGGCTTCTTCGCGCAGGAGCCAATCCTTGAAGACCTCAAGGTCGCTAGGGTCCGGGGCACTGAAGCGGAGGAGTTGCGCTTGTTGGAGGAGGGCTTCATCTGCTCCATACTCAGCTTTTGTCAATTGCTATAGTAGCAAGGAGTCTTGGGCTAAACAAAAGCCCCAGTAGCAGCTCCCCCCTCCTTCGATCTTGAACAAAGACAGACGGGAAACGGCAAGTGAACCAGGATCATACTATATTCCCTCAACAGCGCCCGCGCCTCCAGGACCTTCCGCCACTGCGACGGATATTCCTCCTCGGATTGATCTAGCGACTCCTGCAGCCGCCACACGGAGAACGCGTAGGCGCGCTTCTCGTCCGAGCTGGACCGGTGGTCTCTCTGGACACATTCGTCCAGCTCCGTCTGCAGGTATACCAGCTCCGCCTGGAGGTACAGAAGGTTCTTGGCGTTGAGCTTGGCAAACCGCCGGAAGATGCTGGATCCCGGGTCCAGGGCCATCAGGGTGGCGAGTTTGTCGTATCCCGGGGTGGTGGTTTGGTGGGTTGGGAGGGGCGGGCGAGTCATTTTTTTCTTTTGCTTTCGCCTCTTCTATGTAGCTGAATGGTTGTGTTTGCTTCAGATATTTTGTCTGCTCTCAGAGTATCTATGCAGAAATATTAGCGATGTTGAAAGGTGCCGGCTTCACTGGGCAGCTCTCTAAAGGAGAGCTCTTGGTTAAATACAGGCAGCACGAGGCGGAGCAGGCACTTTATTCCTCATGTGATTGGCTTTTCGACATCATTGCAGACGGATCTCTGCCTAGGGCTAGCTGCCTAGACTGCGATGACTACGATGAGGCTCTGGTGATGCAAAGGCCGAGTTCGAGGCCAGATCAGTTGGTACTGTTTTTGGGGGAGTGTCTACTCTGCTCTATGGCCTATGGAATTGTTGGACGGCCTGAATAGGAGCCAACAGCGACTCGTTAGAAGGGTTCACAAGACTCATTCATTCTGATTAAACGGGAGGAGGACTCGATACATTGTCGTCTTATCAATGCCCAGCCCTACCACCCCCGCTCCTTCTATCATGATTTCCAGATTCGCCCACACTGTCAGCCTGCCAAGTGATGGCACATTCAGTCCCCTGTATCCTCCTCGCAGAAGCAAATGTAGCGAAGGCTGGAACTCTCGCGCTATCACGCGAGAGAGCGCACACAGAAACAAAAATATCCATCCATATCCACAACCCTCTCCTCTCACTAGCCTGCGGATTGCTAAGTTAGACCTCACTATATCTCCTCTCAAACCCGGCCAGCCTAACATATACCACAACGGAAAAAAACAACATTTGAAACGAACAAGAAGCCGAACCACCCATTCTATCCAGCAAAACAGACCACACAACGAAATCCCTGATCACCGCACTTCTGAGGCTCGCAATCTCTTCGCCACTGCCGAATCCATCCTCTCCAGCTCCAGGTGGCGGATCGTAGGCCTCCCCAACACAAAATCCGCATCGAGATCGCGGACCACATGGAACGTCGTGCGATGCGTCTGGCGCTGGCCGCAAAACGACCACTCCACTTCCGCCGTTCCTACCGGTTTGAGGTCCGGATAGCCCGGAATCGCCGTGAGTGCGGCTCCGTAGTAGGGCTGGATCGGAGCGCCGAGCCGGCGACACGTCTCGTCGCACATGATGTCCACGTCCACGTTGAAGGGGAGTACCATCTGGCGACGGAGGCGGGTTGTCCCGTCGGGGGACTGGACGATGATGGCGTAGACATAGTCGTACCGCGCAAGTGCGTGCTGTTCGGTTTCCGAGTGTTGGATTCGGTCGTCGGATATGAGGGCGTAGTTCAATGGCTTCGTGCGATGTTCAGCTTCTGGATTCTGTAGATGTCGTGGTACTGATGGTTCTTCTATCGGGGTTTGCTGTTGCTTTTGCTTCTGCCGCCGCGGTGTATGTTGATACGCCGGCAATGAATCGGTCCTGACACTCGAATACTCCGGCGGTAACGTCTCGCGTCGTGCGGCTTGGGACTTCTCCCATTGCGCCGAGGAGCGCCGCTCCGTGGACGGCCTTGTGTCCCGGTTGCGAGGACGTCGACCGCGACATAGAGCAGCAAGCGGGACTAAGAGGTTCATGTTGCAGTTATAACAGGATGATGGCTGCGATGGATCACTTGCTATGCGATGTGCCTAATATCCCTCCGCGCCGTCAGCTCACTCAATGTTCGTTCAAATGTATTCCTTCTAGTAGGAGAAAGGACTAGGGTGTTTCGACACATACAGAGTCATCTTGTCCATCCCTCGTGCGGCTGCATCGGTTCCATAGCCCTGGTGACGCGCATTAGCAGTATAAGCCACGATTGTTCTCTGCCTAGCAAGCGCTCCAAAATTTGAGATATGGTGTCACAATCCAAGATAGGGGAAAACCAAAACCACTTACGAGAAATGATCCTAGGCATGTCAGTTCAGTTTGAGCCTCAATGGATAACTACAAGGCTTTTTTTTTGAAGATTTCCGGAGTAGGTGGGCGGGGAGGGGGCTGTAGAAATCAGCCTGACGGGTATGTGGTGGACACACAGGATGAGAATGAGGGGCATCGAGGTTCGCTGTCTGATGAACTTTTCTCTTTGGAGGACAACTTGCATGTTCCTGCTTATTGGCTGGGTGGTGTGATGTGTGGCCACATCCTCGAACCTACTGGGTACTATCTATGTGTAGGAATAGTCGCCGAATGTACACCAGCTATTTTGGGGCCAATGCGCCATCTAGCTGACAGCCACAGGTAGGCTACTCCCGTGTGTCGCTTTTGTCGCCCAGAAGTCTGCTTGCAATCTGTGGACTTGTAGCTGAATTCATCTAGTCATCCCAGTACTACCTTCGGCCCATGCACTCAGCCTCGCGCTAGCAAGTGCGGGCGGGTAGTGAGTGGTGGGTTTGGCTTACACGAGTGAACACGGCGTGCACTTGTCAGATGCAACATTGTCATTTGACAGGCTGCGCATGGGCCGTTTGCCACCTACGGTAAATTGCAGTTGGAAATATTGTAACCCGTATGGGTAACCCGATGAACTCCAGTGCGTTGCGGTCCAAGCAAGGGCAAAACTGAGACTTAACTCCATGGTCCTTTAGTGCAGAAGCTGAGAGTAAATTGGTCAAAATGTCTCAAAAGACGTACAGTACTGAGAAGATCACACAAACAGGACGAGAATGAAAAGAGAAGGGGAACACGAATAGCAAAAAGCAAAACGAAACCAAAGACAGGGAGATAATCAAGGCAGGACAATTGTGACGCTCCTCCCACGGACTACCCAGAGGAGTAATGGAACTAATGCTGTCACTGTGCTGCACCTTGTGAGGGTTGGCTCCTTTCTTTCCCCCCACCTCTGTCCGCATCAACTCTACGCAGATGCCGCTGGCTTCGCAGCCGCTGGCTTCGGCCCAGTAGACTTCTTCTGACTTTCTCGCTTTTGCCTCTCCTCCTCCTCTGCATTCTTCTTGATCGCTTCCTGGATCTTCTCCTGTGTGGTTTTTGCGGCTGGGATATAGAGGGTCAACGGTGTCCGTGGGAGGAATGCGGGTGCATCGCCGTACCTTGGGTCTGAGGAGCCAATGCTATCGGCCACATCAATGGGTTCCGCGTGTCCCACGCCTGTAAACTCAGATCACAGTCGCTTCCGATGATGATATGCACCTTGGTGGGATATTCCCGGTCTACAATCCCTGCAGCTTCATCGACGGGAATGTAAAAGTCTCTCTCGTTGCTGGCTGCGGTGCGATGGAGCCAGAAGTGCAAGCGGATCGAGTCGCGGACCGCGAATGGCCTGCCGGTAGGTGATTGCACAGCGATCTCGTCGGAGCGCTGCTGAATTGGAAATGCCGGAGGCAGGCGGGAAAGTCCATGCGGGGTCAGGATGTTCACCGCCAGCTCGGTTGATATGGCCGCTTGGAGCAGTAGTTGCACGCCATCCGGTGCTGCGCACCGGACTTCTACAATGCTTGATTGCATTCGAGATAGCGGAGAAAAAGTCTCTGTGACCAGTCTGAAAGGTTTCAGCGACGGTTGCAAGATAGACAATTTGTCGTGGTAGTGCGAGGGTTCCTAGGCAAGAATTGCTTCACCAAGACAGCTCGATGGCAGGACAAACTGCCTGTTATATTTGCTGTCCGACCTGGGGAACCCCATTGCCCAGGGCAATCACAAACATTCACCGCCATCATTGATTTTCCAAGAGCCGCAGGTGCGTAGTGCTGCATGGTGGAGGGAAAAAGGCTACACGAGGCTGAAGCAAATGGTAGCATCAAACCACCCTACCACTGTTAGACACATTTGCAGACAGCGTCACTATCTTATAGAAAGAATATCCTAGAGTCATAGTGACTAGTCATAACTTGTACTTTAGATAAATAAGAATAAGCAAGCAAACAAAGCACCGGATACATGCTAAGCATGCAACGATCCTGGGCCGGTCGGAAACAGCAGGAACAACTTCAAAGTTGGGATAACAAACAGCAGGAAAAGCAAAGGGTGGAAGTTGCTGGTTGTGGGTCTCAAAACAATTCTAAATCAGCATTATGCCCACCCCACCGTTTGCCATCTATGTTTTATTCTCTTTGAACCCCAAGGTTCCAAACACCAACCACAGTAAAATGCACGAATAAAAACTGAAAAAAAAATCTCCTCGGGAGGAGAGAAGTGAGTTGCATCAATGGAAGTAGGACAGGGCGAGGAAATGGACGTAGTGCATGAGACGTGTCACTGCCCGCACCTCAACGCGGATAGGACATATGATATATGCGCTGCATGCGTGCCCTTCTTTCTGTGCACCCTCCGCCGCCTCTCCGTCTTTCTAAGTATATTAACCCCTCAAAGGCGCCGAAGAACACGTCGTGGAATCTCGGTGTGCTTTCTGAGAAGTCCATATTGTTTGATCGTCGGTTGGCCAATAACCACGTCGAACTCTTCAATGTCCACTACATAAAAGTCCGTGGTGTACGTACGAGCCGTTGCCGCAAAGTACCAGTCAACATCCCGCACAATTCCAAGAACAGAGATCTTGTAGTTGTTCAGTGTGGATCCGAGGGGTAGTAACACGAGGTTGCAGGGCTCTAGTATCAGCTTCGCTTGCTCTTGGATACTCTTCTTCATAATACTCGCTCTTGCCTGGCTATCCAGCGCGGCCAGAACCTCGATCGTGATGTTGGGATCGGCCGTTACCACTGTTGCTGTCGGAGTGAAGAAGTCGTCATCGTCATCATCATCATCATCATCATCATCATCACCACTGGACACTTCAGGGGCTTCAGGACCGCCTTGGGCTGGAATTGGCTCCAAGGGGAGTGGTAGTGGGATGATAATTTCTTTCTCACTCCTCTCGCTGCTCTCAAGATGTGCATTCCCCAAGCTGAGCGGACCTTGAATCTCGCTCATGGCTTTTTGTGTTGACTGACTTGATGTATGATCGATCCGACAGGCAGGAACGGTGTTGTTCTCAGCACAGGTGTAGTGTACGGTGACCGTGCTTGGTGTCCCGCTCGCGACCGATGAATCCACTCCCGCAGCAGCCACAATTGCTTCACCCATGTTTTCAATCACCGTCGAAGGGAGAGCTATCCCCGGCCCATGGCTTGTAGGAGCATGTGTGGAGGAAGGTGGATCAGAAGGCTTGTTTGCGGATGCTCGAGGACCCCAATGGGGAAAGGATTGAACAATCGACCGGAAGAAAGCCCAAGGTCGTCGCCAGCGACGGCGACCTTTTACCATGGTTACTGCCGGGGGACTCACTGTTAGGATCGAAATGGTTAGAACAATGGATCTGAACGTCAAGCGAAGGACCAGCTAGTGAATTACATTCTGATCGACCGTAAGGTGTTGAGAAACCAACCATCGAACTTTGGCGTAATCAAGTATAGCAGGCAGAGCGTAGGCTCAGGCAGAGAGCTGCTTATGGCGGAGTAGATTTGTTGGAAAGAAGATGAATAGAGAGAGAAGATGAACAGAGTAAAAATGAGTGGGGAGTATCAGAAAGAGTGAAAGATGGGTGACTGGACGTTGGTGAAGGAAAAGAAGGCACAGGCGGGGAAAGTAGAGGCAGGAGTCCACGACACAGACAAAACGAAATGCTCTTCAGAACGGGTGCACGTTCTCGGCACCGCCTTTTCAGAAAAGCTGTGCTCTGTGAAAAACCGACAAAATGATCTTCTGGCAGAGTACGAGATAAGTCGTAGCTTGGAGAAAATGAGGGTAAGGCGGAGCAAGTCCTTAAGCCAAATGAAAGAGGGAGACCAATCCAGTGGCCCCAAGCGACACCTTGCCAAACTGGTGCATCCAGGACATTCTCATTATCACGACTAGCCTCAAGTCATGTTGGAGTGTAATAGGAAGCACTTTCCAAATTGCATACGAAGCCCAGCTGTAAAAGTATGGGAAGACGACCACTAGTAGCCAAGTTGATGTGTTTTGTAGTCCCTATGCTGCACCGCTCCGCGCTTCTACACATAGCAATCTGCTGCACTACAGAGCAAAGCGTGAGATAAGCTACCAGAACTTTTCCAAACTCTCTACACACATAGAGCGGAACCGGAGCCAGACCCAGTCCACGAGTCTCCCCACGAGCGAGCCCAGTGGCTGAAGAGAAAGGTGAGAGGGTAGAATTATGCTGAGAATGGGCTGGTCATCCTGTTATGATGACATCGCCGATGGCCGATTGCACAGCCACAAACCAGAGATTACGTGCTATGCGTGAGGTGAGCGCACCACTGAAAGCGTGGAAATATGCGATTACACAACCTTTGTCAGCCATTCACACCTATTTCCCCAATGATAGTACTCTATAGGTGGCAGGGGAAAGAAGAGCGCCCGTGTGGAAGTTGGGCATTAGCGGAAAATAGTCACCGGCGCCTGGCTCAAAATAGCAGAGAATCTCCCACCTCCGCGTTGCGCGGCAAGATCTTCTCTTTGTCTCCCATCTCCGAAGATGCCCTAGGCGGTGCCAAACGTTTCAACTCAATGTTATTGTCACGATTATCTCTTCGGTCTTTGTTTTAATGCCAGTTCCTTTCAGGGTTGGCCTGACCAGAAGCTCATTTTGGCACCTATTATCGCACTGGGTCTTCACTAATTGAGTTGAGTCTAGTCTGGTAGTGCCTATCAGGTGCCCGTGTTCTCTATCCAAGTGTTCACTTACTCAATTGCCCCACGTTGATCAAACGCTTGATTCTGTTTCTGAACACCGCCACTGACTTTCCTTCCCCAGATCCTTTTCAATTATAGGGCGCCAGTAAATGAAGACGTCACAGGGGAATCTGACGAAGCAAGACCCCTTTCACTGCCACACCAGACTATAGCTATACTGTAATACCATCCGTGGTTTCAGATCTTTGAAGGCCGAACTACAATAATGCAGCATGCATGGCTCATCATTACTCCCTTGCAGCTGTCAGTTTAACTGGAGCGGGGCAGTTGGGTCCGTAGTGCACGTGCCGTGCCCCATCCGTGGCAGCTTGATAAACCTCCGGTATCGCTCCAACCACGCAACACCAGTCCTGCGAGTGTTCAAAATTATCGTATGCCAGGTGTTTGATATCTCAACATCGCGATTGCAGGGCTTTGGACGATATATCTTCATGATAGTCAGCAATCGTAACCCGCCAGTGAGTCTCTATTTGGCCGCGGAGAGAGAGAGGGTATTGCCGGTCAAGGCCCGGACCGAGCCGTCAGGGGCAGACTCCGCCCAGATCTTGTCGAACCAAACATCAACATATATAAACACGGCGGCATGTTAGTAGTGATTACCATCTGCGCTCGTGCGGACGCTGTGTCCGAGCATTGCTGAGTCGAGAGTTGCTGAAGGCGAAGTGAAGCTTCTTCCTCAAACGCGCGATACCGAGACGGGCTCAATGAGGCACTGCTTCCGGTCGCCCGGGATCTGGCTATGTACCCGAAGGAGGACTTGCAGTGGGCGGACAATCATATCAAACTTCCAGTTAGTCCTCTGCTTCCTCTCAACCCCAGCCTTCATGGCTCTCAACACATGGAGGATTGCTAAGGAGTCCATCCTCGCAGAACGTGATTTGCTTGGCAGTAGATCGCTATGGTCATGCACTATCAATAATTAGAGGCTTGCATAAGTTCCCCGGTGAACGTTCTAGCTCGGGAGACGTTTTACCACTATCTTATAAGATTTGCAACCGACCACATCATATCGTGATTCTGTCGTTAGATCAACCTGACGTGCCAGTGCCAGGCCCCCCGAGTAAGTCGGAGAGAATCGATCATCTCGATATCAGCCATCCGCCATACGCCAACGACTATTCGTTGTCAACTGAAGAGATCATTACCGTGGTGGAACGACTCATGCGGGGGTCTGCAGTGGACATAGCAGTGGGTGGTCAGACTGCCTCGACGGAGACGGAGCACGAAAGCCAAGGGTGCAACCAGATAGAAGAGGAAGAAGAGCAGAATCCGGAAGAAAGAGGCCAGGGCCTTTCTAAACTCGAAGTCCTCAAACGTCTGTTCAAGGATGGGGTTGGGTGTTGTTGGATCCTTCACCACTACGTCCTACTGGTATTCCCATCGCTCTGAGCCCTTGTCGCCCCTCGCCTTTTCGGGTCTTGCCCCTCCCCCTTTTTTTTGTTTTGTTTCTGGTGGGAGGATAAATTTTCTGGAAATTTGACTTCTGCAGTAATGTTGGAAACATTTGATTCATGAAGTAAATTAACCATATCAAGCAAGCTGAATGGAATTGACTGCCCTGCTTGCTTACTTTGTAAAGGAAACTAACATCTAGCTAGCCGGGGTAAATCCCAGAAATAGACGACTATCACGGTGACCGGTAGTGTCGTGACCACGGGTCACCGCGCCATCTGTACCGCGAGTCGTAATTCGCACTAATCCATTTTTCGAGACCATTGCAGCGGTTGTCGTCGGAATCAAAGATCGATTCCGTCGACACCCCCGGAAAGTTGCCGCGGAGTTTGTTCCAGGCCTCGAACTGAACCTCGGGGAACGGACCGGTGCCATCCGGGAAGATGTCGGCCTCCTTGAAGCGCCAGGCAGACTCATTCATCGCCGGGTACGCTGCACAGTCGCTGTGAATACTCAGAACGGGGCAGTGGTCGATCACTGGCCAGCTGGGTGAAGGCTTCTTTGGCACGCTCCGCGACAGAACCATCGCTTTCCAACACTCCTGGAATAGCGGCTGAAACTCTGCCAGGCGGATCCAGGCGGGATCCAGATCTCGCAGGGTGAGCGCAGGCGTTTCAGTCAAAATCGGGTTCCGAAAACACTTCTGAAAGCCCCAGGGGAGGTTGTGATCTTTCTCACCACTGGGCCCATCCGTATGATCGGCCGCAGCAGCCGAGTAGAAGATGTTGGTGAGATCGTGCACCCACGTGGCACCTTTAAGCCAGTCTCTTGACCACATGCGACGTTGAGTTATCAAGTACAAATCTCGGTAGCAGAGGCGAACCAGAGCCTCCACCAGCCGCGCCGGACGCAACACCTTGATCTCATAGGAGTTTAGATCGGGGCAGTGCTCTGCAAGACGCGGGTCGGTTGTGACCAGATAAGTATCGTCATTCAAGGGAGGCCGTCCCAGCTTCGGAGACTTCAGGAGCGGGAAATAGTACTCATGGTAGAACAGGTTCAGGTCCACATGGCGCTCTTCCCCGGGGGCCGGCCGGAGATGGAAGACATGGGCGGGCAACCACCACCCTTCAAGCGGATCCCGCAACCGCAGGTCATAGAGGTATTTGCATGGAGATCCGTGATTGCCTTTACTATCTTTCTGGGACTTGAAATGGTCGGTACTCTGGGGCTTGTCGTCGAACCCGGCCTTGCGCAAGGCCTGGACCGCCTTTTTGGTGGCCCGGGCTTCAATAACTAGATCAACGGAGAGGATGCGGTTCTTACATCCGTATACCCGCCACATTCCATCATTGATCAGATAGCACGGGACATCATGTTGTTCCAGGAACGTGGCAATCTGGCAGATCAAGTACAGGTCCACAGATTAGCCGATATATCGAAACGGTTAACCCTAATCGGCAGTCTTCACTAACGCGTATTAATAAAAAACGGATTCCACCTCTGGTTTGAACCAGCTATCATAAAATCTCCAGACATAGACTGCAGAGTCCACGAGCTCCTGCTGCTTCTTGTTATAAATCGGCATCTCTGATTTTTGGTATAGTAAAGTCTGTGGAAATTTAGGGAACAACCACTCAAGTAATAACTTTTATAGGATGTTGAGACCTAGTATTTTGAGAAACAGAACAACTGATCCAGATTTTATCGACCCAGCAGTGAGCAGTGGTGGGGCCAAGGAGAGGCTGAGAATAATTGCCTGCAATTCCACTACTATACTCAGTCAGGTCGTGTACGATTGTCAGTGGAGACCTGATTACTCATTTCAGATCTGCCAGTTTTACGAGTGTGTACACATATCCATGATCGTTGCCGAAGGATCCACAAGTGGGTGGGTGTGGGGCAGATTTTGTGGGGAATTCCTGGGATGGAAAATCGTTCGGTTGCTGTGCCCTAATTGTCGCAATCATCCCGGGCGTGGCTGGGTGAACTTATCAGGCCAGTTATCCAATCTATTCTTATCATAGAATCACTTCCATACTATCACAGGGAAAAGTCCGGTGACTCACTACTAATATAGACACCCGACACGTGATAGACTAGGTACTGATTACTCGCACTTCCATCGGCTGACTTGATGGGGTGTGCTCCACTCCGCATGCTAACGAACGGCCTAGTCACCTAAGCCACAGCACAGTGCCTGAGCTAAGCTTTTCAATAGTCGGGTAATTCGGGTTGAACACCCATCGCACTAGCTTGCCTTGTCATCACTGAAAGCAGTCCACCGGCGGAGTTTAAATTCAATGGGTAGCCGCTGCCTCGTGCTCCTTCGCCGACTCCCGACACGTTGTCACTTGTTTGCCCCACCATGACTCCCACGCGGGAAGATATCGCCAAGTTCCTCACGATCGTCCCGCAGGCCAACGAAGGACAAGCTTTGTTGTACTTACAGGTAAGCTTTTCCCCTACTCAATCGCTTGCCTTTTTCCGATTCACGTTATTTATCATTGATAGGGAGCAAACACCCTCGAAGAGGCCGTCACCCAATTCTACGATGGTTCTCTCACACACGCCAACGGTGCCGCACCGGTCGACACCTCAAATTCCGTGAGCCAGGATCAGAGTGCCCAGCCCGATCATGCAGATCCTCTTCCTTCCTATCAAGCGGCCGTCGCAATGGGAGGCAACGAAGCCAGAGCCGTGCACACCAATTTGGTTATTGAGGCGGCGAAGCTCCGCGCGCGCGATGAGGTGTGTGCAGAGCCTCGTTCCCTTGGCCCTCTTTTTGTGTTGTTCGCACCTAACTCAGAAGTCTCTCTGCATCTATAGCAAGAGATGCAAAACCGACTGCAGCAGATTCAGTGGGACCATCAGATCTTCAACGACGAGATTGAACCGGAGCATGAGGCAAAGCACATGCTGACGTGCGCCTGCGACATCCACCAATACAAGACCCGCAAGCAGAACCGCGTGGCGGTGCTGAAGATGTGGTCCGAAGCCGTGATGTATCCCGGTGAGGCTCCAACCCACTACGTTCTCTTTTTCTGGGTGGTCGTTGTCGAGACGGGCGAACAACTGACATGCCAGAGGGGGAACAGGTGAGAAATACTACCACGACTGCTATTACTCCCAGCAGATATGGAACAACAACCCTTACGCCCGAATTATCACTCCGTATGGCCCCGTAGGTCGCGTACGCCAGAAGCCGGTAGCCCGATACCACGCCCGGTGGCTGGTGGAAACCATTCGTCTGAACTCCAGCCTCAATGCTACTGCGCAGAGGATTGCAAATCAGTACGAGCCGACAGAGAACATCTGGGAGGTGGAGGATGAGCCGGTGGCCGCCAACGACGGCGATGGCTCGGACACGGCGCACCATCGATCCGACTCGCTCAAACCGTCGATTTTGACCCAGATGCGCAGGTCATTGTCCCTCCGGTCGTCTGAGGAGCGGGAATCTACCAGGAAAGCGAAGCGGAGAGAAGAATATCGCGAGCTGCGCCACACAATATTGGCGGAGGAGGCGGGGCGATGGCCCGACCCCGAATCCCGCCGCATTGTCACCGAATACCAGGAACACCTAGGGTTGACGCAGCGCATTGCGGCCCTCCGTGTGCACCGCCCGATGCAGTATCTCCACCTCCTGCGCGCCGGCTACTTCGAGCCAATCCCGGTTGCGTGGGCAAAGCAGAACTCCAACCCACTCAAGTTTCGGATCGAAGCGGCCGAGGGATGGCGTGGAATTACACCCACCTGGCGCGGGTACGAAAATACGGCTGAGGAGCGGCTGTACTGGGTCCTGAATCATCGGGATGAGTCCACTAATGGGTCTGAACCGAGACAATGGCTCAAACCGGACGTGATATCCGCGCTCGAGATGGCGCGAACGCGCATGGCCACTGCTGTAGACCTGCCGCCCGTCTACGAGGCGCTGGACGATATCTGTCAGACGCAAACCCCCTCAGCCGTTGGCTACTCGCGCCAGGTGATGCCATCTCCATTGCGGGCTATCGATGCGCCTGAGTTGCCGACGGACAATACAATGATCCTCCTGGACGTGTCGGGTTCCATGGACTTTGACCCCGTGCGGCCGTCCTACGAGCAATATATGGTCACCCGCTATGAGCGGACAATGCAGCCCAAGAACAAAGGTATGTGCCCCCCCCCCTCCTCAATCCATGTAATGATATAAAAGTTTTTCCCTATCCTAATCTGCCCTCCACCCAGATGTCGCCAAAGCAGTGATCCGCCGCTTCACGGACGCGCTCGCCACCCATGACCAGAACCGCGAGGGCTACCAGCTGGTGACCTTCGCCAACAAAGCCGCCTACATGGGCTACATCAACCACCGGAACTTCGCTTCGGTGTGGAGCCAGATCACCGTGGGGGGCGGCACGCGCGTCATGGCGGGCTGGCAGCAGGTCAAGGACCTCCATTTCCAGCGGCACGCGGCGTTCGCGACCTACCACGCGGTATACGGATGGCAGGCCGGGCCCCAGATGCCGATCCTCCGGCTCCTGCTCCTGCTGGACGGGGAGGCGACCGACATGGATGAGTTCGAGCTGGAGCTGCTCAGCCTGTCTTGGGTCCACGTGACGATCTTCCTGATCGGGGCCGATGGGTGTCCGCATCACCACCGCCACGCCAACGAGCTCCAGCGCATCAGTGAGGTCAACCCGCACGTCGCGTTCGTCGACGCGCAGGGCAACACCCCGGAGCGGTATGTGACGCATGAGCTGTTGAAGCGGCATCTCGGGTACGAGGTGACCCTGTCGGAGTTTGAGGAGTGGGAGCGGCATGCTCCACCCGCGTATGAGACTCCTGTTTAGGAAGGGCTGGGTGCATATGTCATATGTAACTGATTATCTTCTTCTGGTTTCTTGACGACACACTTCCAGCATTGTGACCAAGACGATGGACGGGAGCGAGGCGAGGATGCCTTGGAGTATTGGCCGCGGATTAGGTAAACGAGGGGTTTATATTGAAGGGAGTCGAGGAAGACTTCTTTCGTTCTCCCAACTCACAAGATTTCCCTTGTCACGAAGCTTATTCCGTCATTCTTTCTATCAATATCACGGCTTTCGATTGTGTCATGCTTCTCAAGTACGTTATACTGCGATATATGAATTTAAGGTAATTAATGTTAATCCAAGTTCATCCAAAATCGGTCAACGTAGTGGAGCTTGCTATAGCTTCTAGCTATTTGGGCTCTAATTCAAGCAAGCGCTTGCTTTGTACGAAATGTTGAAACCAGGCGGTCGTAGGCCTTAGCTAAAGCTGAGCTTGATGGAGAGTTGGCTGGCTCTCGTTACCACTGCTTATTCAGTCTTGGAGACAGGAGTTTTCAGTGGCTGAATTATGTCGGCATCGAAACAAAGTTGACACGCCGTACCAAGAAAAGACAGACAGTGTGTAGATCAATCGAATACAGTCGTCAGTAGGGATCCAGGAGGGGCCTGTCTACAGACACAAATACAGAGCAGTTCGATAAATGATCCATCTTATGAGTCTCGCAAATATTACTCTAGCCGATGGAATCAGCGGGCTATCACTAGATTTCCTGTTATCTTAGAAGCTAAAGTTTATGGCGGTATTGACTACGAATGGGAGGGATTTTAGGGACAGGTATAGTTGACATTTGGATTGTGTAGAAAAATGAGATTACTATAGGGTAGGAAAGTTTGTTCTGAGAACCAAACGTATAAATAGCTACGGTTAGAACGCCAAGTTGCTCCTGTTTATGCTGGTAGCATGAATAAACTTGGCGTAGCACCCGCGAAGAGTGTCGGGCGCGTATAGCAAAGACATGCACCTTAGAGTTTGTGGAAGCTCAAACCTTAGCACTCTTGTTGCATCCAAGCATACTTAGAAACAATATTATCTTTTCCCGGGTTCGCAACCCACTCGATAATCCTAAATCCAGGATACTTCCAATTATCGCAAAAGCATTTTCATTCTGCCGTGTACAATACACACTCCGTGGCCGATCAGAAAACATTCCGCCTCTTCATTCATCATCGACATCAGTACTCAAAGCGATTTCCTTCATCTCCTCCAGGTTTTGCTTCACACTCTCCAACTTCTCCACCATGCGCGGGAAGCAATCAGTCCCCAGCGGCAGGCGAAGGAGATGCTCCTTACCCTGCCCCTGGCCCTGTAGTTGAATCACATCAAGGATCCGCTGGACCGCCTTTGATGGATCTCCGCTCTGCTTTCCCGCAAAAGTCTCCCATTTACCCATGGCAGCTGCCAGAGGTGTGTCCTTGTAGCCCTCATTTAGCCCAGCAGCGGGGGTCCTGTGTGATCCGATGAAGTTGGTCCGGAAAGCGCCCGGCTCCACTAGTAGGATACGGATATTGAATGGGTCGAGCTCGGTAGACAGGGCTTCAGACAGGGCTAAGTTTGAAAGGAGGTTAGCAGGACATCCCGACTTTTGGCAGCAAGACCGAGCTGGCCACTTACGTACCTTCGACAGCGAACTTGGTCATGGCATATGCCGCAGAGGATGGCCCGGCGGCAAAACCCGCAATGCTACTAATGTTGACGATGGTGCCCTGGCGTTGCGCCCTCATCAAGGGGAGCACGGCTTTGGTGACCCTGACCACACCGTAGACATTGGTCTGGAATTGAACGTCGAGCTCATCTTCGCTGTAATCTCTTAGCCCCATACACATGCCATCGGATTGCAATTTGTGCCCTCGTACCTAATATCCTCAATGCTACCCACGAGACCGTACCCGGCATTATTGATCACAACATCAATTCTACCGCCATGGTCTTGGATCGCTTGTGCCACTTGCAAAGTCGTCTGCTTGCTAGTCACGTCCAGGGGAAGCCATGTTCCACCCAAAGCTGTGATCTGGGGGTAGTCCTTGGCCGCTTTGGTCGGATTGCGAGCCGTGGCGATAACTCGATGACCGGCCTTCAGCGCCGCTTCAGCGAGGAGGGCCCCAAAGCCGGAGGATGCTCCAGTGATTAACCAAACTTGAGGGGCCATTGGGCTTGAGTTTGTTGCAATAGTGAGGTACATATATATTTGTAAAAGGAAAAACGAGATGGGAGCAGAAAATATGCACAAGTGCGTCCTCAGCTGTGCATGGTTCGATATTTATATCTGCCAGGCGATATGGATGGGAGCGATCACTCCTGAGTGTGGAATCGACGCCGTGTCATCGCGCCCGAGATAGCCGGTCATCGAGTCGAAGGTTGGTACGCTTCATTGCGGGTCTCCAATATACACCGTAGAGAAGAAGTTGAAAGAAGAACATGGGTGACAGGAACATATTCAATGCATGCCTAGCAAATCCTAGCGCTTAACTGTATCTTCTTGGCGTGTATTTTCTGATCGCATCACCGTTGCCACCCATGCTGGAATGTATTTGCTATCGTTGCCAATAGTTTGTCTAGAAGGCATTATACTCACTCACACCCTGTTTCGGCAGGTGCAAGGTGATCTTCATCCCATCTACCCATCAGGTACAATTGATTGACCGAGTATACTGCGGGCTATTGATCCATGTGAAGTAGGTGGAGCTCAAGCTACGTAGAATCAAACCTGACTACTCTAGAACCGGGGGCGGTCTTCCAGAGGTAGATGGTTTTGATGATGATCACGAAAAAAAAAAAATAAAAAAAAACAGGTTGATGGAATCAGATTTCGGTACTTCAATGACAATGATAGTGCTCTCTCAGAGTGATAAATACCAGATTCAGGGAAGAACATGCATTCTTGACTATGGTCACTGGATTAAAAGACCTTCAAGGTTTATAGTGTAACTAATGTCCACTTCTCTCGACTACCCTGAACTACAGTAATTTACATTAAGACTCACCGGCTAGCCGAGTTTTACCCGCATCAACTAGCCACTTTAGGCATAGACTTCGAGTGTCCAGGGTACCACGGATTCAACCTCGCGACCAAAATCTACGCAAGCCAATACGTCCGTTAACTCCGGCGGTGCTCATATACGAATCAGGACAGGTAGGCGGTCGCCGATACTTGAGTAAAATCAATATCTCCAGGCTACCTCTCCGGCCTTCAGGGGTGGATGTAGTCCAGAGAGCGTCCAGAGGGCCACGCCCAGAACTTTCCAAGCTTGATAACATCATTCCTGTTCAGAGATAAGAGGCTATCGCCAGAAGTGGTTAGATCTCCTGCAGGTGTATGACAGAGTGGATTCCACTAAGACAATTCAGGACTGATAAGGCCCCACTTCAAATGAACTGAGATTGCAGGCGAAGGCTATCGCTACTTTAGCTCTACGCTTGCACCACAGAGGTATATTCCCGCCCACTTCTATGTGCTCTTTCTTCCTGTTCTTCTTCATATACACGATAATTACAGCTTCTCTTGTCATCCGATTGCATATACGTCCGCAGCGACAATCGGCAACATTGACCGGTAGCAGGATGGCCCACAGCACCACCCATGGGTTTTCCATTCAGCGAGGAGATGACTCCTCTGGGACATCGTCAGCCAATAGAAAAATCCGCGTACAGAGAATCACCGCACGAATTCAAGAATGGCCCGAGGAAGATTGGTCGGGTATCGCAGACCTCAAATTGCGCAGGAGGTTGCAAAACCGGTTGAATCAGCGAGCGCGACGTAAGTCCTTGTGCGTGCAGAACACCCATAAGCCCCGACCCCCACCTTTGAGGGAAGAAGGTTTTGCAAGAGGCATGTAACTGAGCAAGTGAGTATCTGTGCAGGTCTCAAAAAAGTGGAAGGCCCTCAGTGTCTGCCGACTCGTCGGAGCGGCGACAGTGCCGATCCCTCATCTGCTGCGGAGCTGGGTTGCGCTCCCGTGGCGCCACCGTTGGCCTCTTACCCTGAACAGGCTGTACGTACGCTGTCAGATCATGAGGAAAGTACGGCTCTAGCTGCTCTGAGAAAAGTCGAAAACATCCACGTTCTCCACCCGGACATCAGTCACCCGGAGAGCGTGCTGCAGCACATAGAAGCGGTGGCGCGCAAGCAGCATCCGTCTGGAGACCCACGTTCCGACATGTTGCTCCATCTGATACAGTTCAATTTTACCAGAGGCCAACTCCAAACTATGAGGATCCTGGGTCTGACCTCAGAGCACATGGACGAGGATGCCATCTCGTTCTTCAACTTACCGGGACCATGGCCGCACGAGATGGTACAATCTCTCCCCGCCAGTCTCCAACCTACTCTAGTGCAGCGCACCGTAGTCCACCATCCGTGGCTCGACCTGCTTCCCCTCCCCGCGATGCGGGACAACCTGATTCTAGCGGGAGAGTCATATGACGAAACTAAGCTTTGCCTTGACATGAAGGGGCTTGGCAGCGTGCACGGCGAATATTCGGGGATCATCATCTGGAGTGATCCGTGGGATCCAAGCGGGTGGGAGATCACTGAGCCGTTTTCCCGCTCCTGGGAATGGGTTCTCCGGGGCTGCTGGGAGATCTTTCACTCGACCAACGCCTGGCGAGCGCGTCGCAATGAGGAAGCGCTTTTTCCTGTCACATAAGGTTAAAGACTCTATCTGCCTATACGTCATTCTAGCCCTATGAATTGGAAGTCATAAGCAAGGATTGGTGCATACAGCTCCTTCGGTTTTCGAGTAGCGTAGCACGAACAGGTCGAAATGCATTCTAATGATCTCTTACACCTGCCGTGGATGTGATTCCTGGTAAATAAAGAGGGACTGGATTAGGCGAGCCCAGGGGTATGCTTTTCGGGGCGAGCTACCAGGCTGAGGGTATTCCTTCCGCTATTAATCCGTCAACAAAGTTGTTACCTTCATCTAGCGTCCCCAATTTCGCCATGGGTATAATAAACCACAAAGCCCAGTGCCGAATTTTCACGCAAAGCGGTAATATTGCTTTTATTAAAGAGTGATCATCTTTCTATTCTTACATACACCGCGCAGGGCCATATTTACTGCGGTAGCCAGACATTTGTTGAATTCCTTGTGCAGATGTGCCACGACATGCAAGTCAACCTTATGAGAATAGTAGATTCATTCTACGCAGTAGCTGTGCTCCTAACACAAGGTTATATCTCCAAAACATCCTATCTCAATCATTGCCCAAAAGTTCCAGGCTCAATTCCAGGACACAATTCCAGCCAGGTCAGCCCCAGACGAAACAACCTGCCGTCAGCCAGATGTGCTTGAGCTTTAATGGCCGCACAACGATCCAAAAAGCTCGTTGAACCGCTCTCCAGTCGGCTTGGTGTTTTCCACCAGCCTTCTCATCTCGCCGAGTTCCGCAGGTGTCATATCCACATTGCGCGATCCCCAGTTCTCCTCTAAACGCGAGGGTTTGGTTGTACCCGGAATGGTGATGAGTCCCTGCGCAGCCACCCACGCCAGCGCGATCTGCGCGACCGAGCAGCCCTTCCGAGTTGCCAGCTTCTTGATCTCATCGACGATGGCTTTGTTCTTGTAGAAGTTCTCGCCCTGGAACTTCGGGACTGGAGTTTATCCTCAGGAAGTCAGTCTCTGTTCGCGAACTTGCAGTCAGTGTGGGAGGGCGTACCGGTGCGTCGGAAATCATCCGCGGCAAAGTCATCGGGAGACTTGTAGTCGAAGTCGTCCACGAGCCAGCCGTGTCCCAGCGGGCTGAAGGCCACAAAGGCTACCCCCAGTTCCTTGGCCGTGTCGATCAGGCCACTGGTCTCGTGCACCGTCTCAAACGCAGAGTACTCGGCTTGCACTGCATCGATCTTGGCGACTAGCGAGAATATTAGCGCCGGGATATCAAGGTATCCAGCTAAGTGCGGGTAGACGAACTGGCGTGGGCCTTGCGCAAGGTTGCAGCAGAGCATTCCGACAGGCCGATGTACTTGGTCTTGCCACTCCGGCGGAGTTCATCGAGGGCGCCGATGGACTCCTCGAGAGGGGTGTCTTTCCACGGCAAAGGCTCGGTCAGCATACATTCCAACAGCACGGTTCCACGGTCCGGTAGTTGTCTGCTACATACTGGGATCGATCCGGTGAAGATAGTAGAGATCCGGTGTGAAGCCCAGTCTCTCGATGGTGCCCTCAATGTATTCCTTGATGTGAGCCGCCGAGTTGGTGACTTTGCGCTCAGGTCCGAAGACTTCGAAGCCACATTTCGAGGCGACTACACCACACTATGATGTGAGACTGTGATGCATCAACAAATACAGAGGAAAACTTGATTTGACTCACCAAAGAGCTTATCGCGAACGTTATGCTTCTTGATGAAGTCCCCAAGCAGCTTCTCGTTCTCACCGGCCTTGTAGGCAACCTGCCCCGTGCACCGTGATTAGACACAACCTGGAAGTGCTTCACACCCTAAACTTACCGCAGTATCCCAGAAGGTGCATCCGAGCTCGATAGCCTTCAGAAGAACAGCCTCGGACTGGGAGGCATCGAGATCTGTTCCCATGCCGTGATTGAGGCCCATGGCGCCGAAGCCGGGAACTGGGACCTGCTGGTCGCCGAATGGGAGAATCTTGGTCATTGTCGGGAAAGTGAAGTAGTTTGATTCAAGAAGTCCTGGCAAGTTTCGCAGTTTCGGGAGTGTGCGTCTAAACATGAGGGCCGACACTCATGGACCGCGCCATCTGCGGGTATTTATGCAACCCTGGCCGAGCGGCGTGATATTGCAACCACGACCTAAAAAGGGCTCTTCTATTCACCATCCATGGAAGAACCCTAAGGAAGAAGGTTATTTCTCTTTTCAGTTAAGCATCATGCAGGTGTATGACAGGGCCAATGAACAGCAAGTGGCAAATCTGGTTCTGCGGGGCGTCGGCTGCGCGGAGGTATGGGAGCTAGTGGCTACCAGCGCAGCCAAACCCGATATCCGTGCTAATCTCCGATTCTTATCGGACATTCTAACTCGCGTTATGGTTAATTATATGATGAATTTGTGATTTTATAAGCCTCCCATAAGAACAACAGGGCCATGCTAATGAAATCTTTGTGCATTTGTCAGTTATCATTCGTATTTCAGTGCTATGTTGTTCATAATTCATGAAGGACACAACATGTATTCTATCTTCCTTCATCGTTCCACCCTGGTTCTACATTATGTATCTTTTCTCTTCCAAGTACGTGCTCTGTTTATGTCGCTGCAATATATAATGGGTGTTGGACTTTTCTCGAAAGGCTAAAAGGTCCCGAAGTCATACCTAGATTGCTCCTTCTTTGGGGGTCAGGAGAATGAGACTAGCTCAATTATGGGTGATTGACTCCAAACCACAGCATGTGGACCTCATACTACCAACCACCGGATATCACAAGTTTTATCTTCTAGAAATTCCTTTACGCAATACTCTTCAACCATAAACACAAAAGTATTATAACAGGGGAGAGAGAGAAAACGAGAGAGCAACCCCAAATTTCAAGGATGAGGAGAGCCCAGGGAGGGGAAACCCCCCTCACGAACACACAACAAACCCATCCGTGCCCGAGAGGCTCGATTCCACTGTCTCATGTATCATCACACCGCAGTAGATCAATTTCTCGTTGCCCCCTTCCATGTACACAACTCGCATCGGGGTCTCCCAATTGGTCCCCATGGCTTTCTTTTGCTCGTCCTTGGACCACGCCTTTCTCGAGGGTCCGATCCAGTAGACCGGGTACTCCAGCAGCTTGCTGTCACTGTTCTTCGGCTGGTCGTCACACTCCTGGACGCCCCAGGTCAGGGCGTTGAAGTTCTGGTACTGGTGCGGGTAGCCGCTCTTGGTGGTCGTACTGAAGCCCCCGGACTTGGCTTGAGCCTCGGCGGTGGAGGTGGCTATCTTGAAGCTTTTGACCGTACTCTTGTTGTCTTGGGAGTGCAGATGATAGTGCCCTATCATAAACATAATTCCACGTCAGCCATTGCGGAGGGGTGTGTGAAGCTGAGAAGGTAAAGAAAGAAATCAGGGTATTGGACAGTTTCATCAGAATTTACGCTACGTGCCCCCAAGATGTTGAAGACATCGGTGCTTTCCTCGTATTCTCTAGCATCGACCCGCCATTTGTTGTTCCTCTTGATTCCCACAAAGCCATTCTCACCATACTCTCTGGTGTGAGCTGACAGTGCCGGGGCGGCAAGAAAACAAAGCGCGAGTATGTTCTTGATTTGCATTTTAGGCAAAGGAGTGAACGTGCATACAAACAGATCGGTGTAGTAAAGGAGTGAATGATTAAGAAAGGCTGTTGACATGTCCGGTTGTGTAGGGCAGAAGGTCGTTCACAGAAAGAATCCTGCCGGCTTTATAGCTCATTGTCTCCGTAGCAGAAAGCTACTGACCATCATCAGAGCGAGATTATACTGTACCCCTCAATGCTTGCCTTCTCGAATGCAACTAGTAAGCGAGACATGATGTCTCTGGTACCTACATTAGCACTGCCAACACAAGCAGCTCAGTTCGCCAATAAACACACAGACTGCTTGTTATGCGTTCCGGAATTAGCTTCGTGGGAAGAGATTATATCCTACTGGAACTGTTTTGGCATATATATCAGACAGACTAGACTTTCATTGTAAGACACGTCTGCGCTTCTATTGGAGAGTTCGTCTGCTTGAAAAGCTGAGGTGATTTCTGATGCTTGTATGGGGGCAGAATGATCAGAGACTGCCAGGGGCGATCTGGGGGAAAAGACCCCAAGCTTGGGGGCGTTATCCCACGCAAAGCTCGAATGATCCTCCTTAGGGAATTTAGACAACCTCATTGTCATTTGCTCTGACTCATCTGAAAATATTGTTGGATAAAAGCGTGCTTCTTATAGGCCTGTGCACGCCTAGGCCTGTTCATTGGGCTTGGCCGCTGGCGAACCCGACCGGGAAGGATAGCCCTACCACCAAGCAAGCTGTAAGTCATTCACTAGTGCTTACCATGTCGAAGCCACGCCACAACCAGAAAATGACCCCCATCACCCCACCCCCAGCGGCTCTTCGATTCGGATCCTCAATCTACTTTTTCCCCATTTCATACTTCTCGACAAAGCCAAAGCGACAACTTCACCCTCTCAATGTCTGCTCCAAAAAGCACGGAGAACCCCGGTTTCGACACTGTCCTTGACTTCAACATATTCGAGCACCACGATGATGAAGAAGACCTCTTTTACAAGAACAAACTGGTCGCAATTGTTGAGGGTGAGATCACCCCAAAACAGGCTGCAATAGAAATAGACACCTTCATCACGCACGACTCGGAGCGGTTATACAAACTGCACCGGGCGTATCATTTTTCGCCCGAAGACCTGCCCGACGAGATCCGTGGCCAATTACCATTACCTGCTGACAGCGATGAGAGAGAGCTGGGAATCCACTGTCCGAATCCCGGAGGACATATCGAAATGTTCATGCACTGGGTTTTCCGACTAGGCTCGGCCTTCCCGCCCGGCCATGTCGGCCAAGACCGCCTGATCGCCTTTCTGGAGGCGCTGCGTGATCTACCAAGACATGAGATTGTCACTATAGCATCACCTTCGGTAGCATCACCCTCGGACGATCAAGTCGAGCAGAACATGTACACGACTCTAGAAGTGTGACCGATTGGGGGGCATTGGTTACTCCTGCAGATGGCGGCTCATTATGAAGAACAGGGTATTCCTTTTTTTTTCGTTCCCCCTCCGATCGATTCCCTGTCTTTCTCCCTGGCTAGAGATTTAAGTGAGAACCGCTGGCTAACCTCCGTCTCTCAGCCTACTTATACCGTCTTTATGCGGCTACGCGACTGCCCCCTACTGAGATAGACCTCCGGCTGCGGAATTTCCAGTCTGCCATCGCGCGCATGACGGCACTGGATCTGATCGATTGCGGGTGGCTCTCTTCCTTGGAGGGCATCCTTCCTTCGCATCCCTGGTACCCTGATCTAAATGATCCCGAGGGTCAAGGGTTTGGCCAGGATCAGGGGTTCCGATGGCTTGCTGGTTGGATCATTGCGGGTGTGCAGTGGCTGCTTCGTGCTGAAGTGGGGCAGTATGTCTATCAACAGTGTCAGAAGAGGGAGAATATTGTCGAACGGTCGGAGATGTGGAGTATGCAGCGGTGGCAGCAGTGGAAGGACGCCATGTATAGCTAGATCCTGATTCCAATACTGCTCTTATATGCAAGGCACTCTTGGCGTTGCTCTGTGACCAACATTCATTGAAGATTAAGCAACGGGGCAGCTTGAAACATGGGCAAACGGTGTTACAAATGGAAAGTAGAATCAGAAAGAAAAACAAAAACATACAACAGAAGGGATTCGCTGGTGGTCACCCACCCAACTACTAACCTCCCGGCGTGTGGCTTGAGTACGGCTGAGCGGACGGGAAGCCCTATTTTCCACACCCTGTGGTCGTATGTGATTATTCGTACCGCATTTTAAAATACATACCCATTATCTATGGATCAGTGCTATGTTCCAACAGAATACGAAGAAGAGGTGAGAAGAGAAGGACCAGACTTATATGTGGCGGTTGCGATTATAGCAATTTCTGTGGGACGAATTAGGGCTGGATTTGGTGAGGTTGGGACTAGTACCATTTATAATGTGATTCCTCTCCCTTTTGATATCTTCCCAGGGTACTCAGCACGTTGATATATACTCGTGTTGAACACCTGAATAGACACCTATAAAAGCAAGCCGCTCAACACAGACGCCCAAGAAAATGTGATCACTCGTACCAGTAGGTTCATCTACTCGTTCGGGTCTGGTTAACCAAAGTCAGTGGAGTAGGCTGTCCACATACGCCAACGCCTCCTTTCCCTTTACAACCCACCGCTCCCAGGAGAGCTCATCTCTTGCCATCTCCCACTCGGGCAAGACCTCCTCATCCTTCTCACCCGGGTATCTAAAGCGATACTCGTAGCCCTGGCCGTCAGCCCTCAGCTGACGAGCATACTGGCCCTCATGCAGGCCAGCCGGACGATACCCCGGCACGTGCTTCAGCCGAAACCCCACCGTTGGATGAATGTACTCGCAAGTATATCCGCGAATCTCATTTGTGCGCGCATCCCGGAAATAGCGACGCGGCCTGCGCGCCAGCGACCCGTTGAGGCGGTAGGTGAAGTCGAAGCTGTCGGGCAAGTCGCCGGTGGCCCAGCCATACTGACGGATCTGGCGATAGGCCGGGGAAGCATCGCCCGACGGGGTGAGTGGGTGCTGCATGGCGGCAACCAGACCCCGCGCCGTGCGCCACAGCCACTGGGCCCAGGATTCGGACTGCCAGCGACGCTCTTTCTTCTGGTACGCCTCCAGCGCCTCGTTGATTCGCCGCAGACGATCCTCCCGGGTCTTTTCCTCGAGCTGGAGGAGCTCGCGGTCGAGGGAGACGTACCCCTGGATCTGGTCCAGCATCCACGCGAAGACGATGTGGGACATCTCTTCCATGTTGCCCTTATTCTTGAGGGTCTGGCTGGATCCGCCCCCGATGTGGATGTGGAACCCCGGGAACCAGACCTGCGTCAGCTGGGACGGCTCCTTCTGGCTGTCCTCACACTCCAACAGCTCGCGTGCAGCCGCATTGCGTCGTTTCTCGGCTGCGTGTAGCTCCTCGATGCTGGCGGTGCCGCTTCTTACGAGTTTTAGCCACTGACAGATGGCGTCCCGTGCCTGGCTCTTGATTTCTCGCGATCGGCTCTCCGTGATAGTTTTCGGCGTCGGGACGAAGAACATGGCTGGGCGGAACAGTCGTCGATGCTCGTCCAGCGCCAGCGCTTGGAATGCGTTCTTGATATCTGGGGCTCGAGTTCAGTATCGTCTCACTCGGAGTCAATGATAGCTGGAGGGAATTGCTTACTAGGCGAAAGACCGACATTATGCCATTCAGGCTTATCAGTCCAGGTCAGCCACGCGGGGAGCTCATGGCCGAACAGCTCGGGGAAGCCCAGATTGCCGATGGTATCGAAGACCCCAACCACTTGCACCTGCCGTGATTCCGGTGTCGATGCCCATTCTGCGGCCGACTCCCAAGAACCCTCATCCTCCTCCCTATCCTCCTCCCCCTCTTCTCCGACAAAGGATGGTTGCCGCCCCCTGAAAAATTCATGATACGCATCACTGCCATAGAACCGCTCCCCCGCCGGCGTCTTCTTATACACCTTCCACAACGCCGGGAAATTGGCGATCTGATGCGGCGGGCAGATACCGATATCCGAAATCAAGCCGGCGATGGCGCGCGCCGTGTAAGCTCCGCGCGAGAACCCAAAGCACAGGATCTGGTCGCCCGGGTTCCAGTTCAGGGCGCAGAAGTGGTAGGCCTCGACGATGTTGCCCTCCAGCCCTTTTCCCAGGGCGCCCTCGACGAAGTTGCGGAGCGGACCCGCCGCCGTGGTGTTGGTGCCCACCCCGGAGTCGTACCAGACGATCTGCTGCCAGGGCTGGTGGTCCACGGGGTCGATCCCCACGCTGTTGACGGCGCGACAGAGCCGGGTCACGTTTGACGGGATGCTCTCTTGGCCGTCGACGGCGGATTGCCAGGTGCCGTCGCAGCAGATGATGAGGCGCTTCCGCGCGGGTTGGGGTTTGGGGTTTGGGTTGAGGGGGCGGTGCATTTTGCTCGCTCTTTCTTTGAATGGTGAAGATTAACTAGTCATTAGAGATCTCTAAAAGAGCTATTCACTTTCTCCTCCCTTCAGGAGACCAAGTAGTAGGGGAATCGGCTGGGCTTATCATTGATGTACAGTACATTCACGTGTTGCCCGTCCGTCGCTACAAATTTCCTGCTCGGCTGAAATGACCGTCTTTTGTTCTCCGTGTCAGTGGCTGATGACCCCTTTGCATCTCAGCTGAACTGTTCTTTGTGGGTTGATTGGCAGTCATCCTCTTGAAGTCTTCTTTTTCAGCTGCGGCTGGATACCCCGAGGGTTCGTGGCGCATCCTCAGCTCAAACCACGTCCGTGCCACTGTAGCCCTAAATCGGCCCCCACCCCCAGATATGCGAAAGATTTTAAGAACAAGATTTAGGGTAAATAGTTGTTCCTCTAAACTAAGCAAGCTTGATTGTTTGTGCAAGTTGGTAGCAACCTATCACAATCAAACAAGACATATCTCAGTCTTCTGACATCAATTTCGCAACGGTAACTATGTCATCCGAACAGCAATCCATAACCATCACACGCAAGCCCTAGAGCTGACGCAATGCCTGCTTCCCACTCCAAACAAGAAGTCTCAGACCACGGACCGAAAGAACTCATCAAGAATCTCAATCAAAGAGTCAACAGCTTCGCCTCCTTCTTATAGTGCCCACCTACTGTAGCCTTCAGGTCCAACTTGACCCACACCTCTATGCACACAGAAACCCATCAGCCAGGAGCTTCAACGGTGGCAGCACAACCACCAGATAAAAGGCTCACCTTTTCCATTCTTAAGGAAGAAACAGATCGACCCTTTTGCAAACTTGATATTGATCTTGGCGCAGATCCCACGTCGCAGATCCCCGGTGAGATTCAACAGCTTGGCCCCGAAGACGGACACTTGGACCCGGATCGCGAACTTCTTGGGATTCACGTACCCGAGCACCTGTACCTAGCTGTTAGAGTCTTTTTTTCCATGCCTCGTTTCCTGCGCTTTTGCTTTGGCAGTAATCAAGATACGTGACTGTTGCAACTGAATGCTCACCTTGACAGGTCCGTACGACCAGTTGATCTTGGGATACGCCTCCGCGCTCACCTCCACATCATCGGGCAAGGAATAGACGTTTGGAAGCTGCGTGGCGACGATTGTGCGGGGTTCGTCGGGTTTGGTTTTCTCCTCGGTGATTGCCACGATGAAGCCTAGACACAAGCAACAGCCTAGTTAGTCTAGTTCTTCGGGTAGGGTTGCATCCATAGACTTGGTTCAGTGAGGCAAGGGAGCAATGCCTGCGCGCACCTCGGCCGCCTCCGTGTCATCATCCAGGAGGAACTCCTCGGCCTCGGTGTCCTCTGGTTCAACGGCCATCGATGTGGATGAGCGCACTTCGCCTGCCTCCGTCGCCAGCATACATTGGTCGGCTTGCTCGGTCATTGTGGACTGGTTTTCCATGTTCGTAAAGGATTTGAGGGGTGCTTTTAGGTTGTCACTGCTATGGTATGAGAAGAAACGCTCTTGGAGGTGAGATCCTTCCGCGAGGACATCGTGGTCAACGTCATGCCTTTTATATCCAATGTCACAATGAGCCAAACGAATCCCTCACACCACGAAGGCTAGCTAGTGGCATCGACATCAGGTATCTCTTACACAAACCACGTAAAGCATCCCCAGAACATGCATGCAATGCCTCAGCCTACATATCCTTCAACGTAACAACAACCCCAATATCCTATAATGGCATTAGAATCTATCATGCAGACGTTGCACATCACATTTATATCCCCAGGACAAGGGGGGCAGCAGCCCTAATTCTCCGTAGTCAGGTCCCACATACCACAATCTTGTTTTAGTTTCTCTGGCAAGTCGACATCCCTCGTTTTCATGCATCACATCGATGAAATCTCCGAGAGACTCTCCCTTCGGATATGCAGAGTCAGCATCCCATAGGGTGAGTGAAGAGGCTCATCCTTGCGGTCTAACGGTGTGACGGGAGGGCGCCGTTCCGGATGTTTGCTTTTGTCGGACCCCGCGATCTATGGCGCAACCTGAGAAATGATGGGGTATCGACAGTGGCCAACATGGAGAGATTTGGGATGTGGGAGACTGACAGAGGATGTCTCGGCGATCTGCTCAGTCACGGGTTCTCAGTTGTTCGAATAAGTCTCCTGCACAGTATCGGCATGCATAAGCTGCGTCGGATTCATCTCCGGAACTATGGGTTCTCGGATACACGCTACAATCAACCCGAATTGCAGCAGGGTCATGCTCAAGCTCCGAGAGCCTTTGGAGATTGAGGCAACGCCTGGAGATCCGCTGTCACAAGGAATAAACTACTGCCAACGAGAGGGTTGCATGACTTCCCCAAACTGTAAAAGGCCTTTCACCTACACCTACATCTGTACGATCTCAGACTGACTCTGTTTGAATGGCATGACGTCGGGCTAGGTTGCAGATGGTCAGACAAGCAGTAAGCCGCGTACATTGTGCTCCCTTCTCATGGATTTCACCACTGCATCTGCTCACAGGATTGTCGTCAAATCAAATGTGTCTTACTCTTCAAGATGTGGCTGCATCGAATCATATCTACCATCTTTGTAGGCAAATTCTATACTCACTACCTGACTCCCTACAACCTATAACAAACCACTTGAGCCCACGGTGGTCAGACTAGAGCTCAAGATCAGGTACTTCATTTGCGACGGCCACCCCCCCTTGCATTTACCACCATTTCCTATGATCCGCTGCAAGTCTTTATTGTTGGTAAGGAACCTATTCAGAACCGCTGATCCAGGAATCCACCCCCTCCAAGTTCCACACTGCAGAGAGCCTGTAAAAGTCATATAGTTGAAAAGAAATGAGCATGAAAAAAACAAGACTGAACAAAACAGAGGGGGAAAGAAAGTCCACTCAAGCTTCCTGCACCACAATCCAAACTTCACCTTCCCACCTCCTCCACGGACCACCACGACAAGAAACCACCTTCCACCAACCCACCTCAGCCGCAGCTCTGCAAGCTCCCTACCTAGTATCCTACTTCCACCCGAAAGTGCCATAAAAACATGAGTATCATTCTTCCCTCATTTCAGCACACCTCATCGCATAACATAAAAAAACAAATCCCAATCCCTCAAGCCCCTTCCCCAAGCCCCCCTCCCTCCCTCCCTCCCTCATAACCTCATAAAAACCAGTCTCCACCCCTCAATTCCCGCGGATCAACCCCTCCAACCGCCCCTTCTCCAGAATCTCCCCCTCCGCCAACCGGCCCGTCTCGACCGTCCTCCCCTCTACAACCTCATACCGAATCACCGTCGGGATGCACGGGACCTTCCACGTCGTGCGGTAGACATTCTCCAGATCCTTCCATCTACCCGTGGGAAAATGCGAGTGAATAGCACATCGCGTTAGCCGTCTTGCACCACCACCACCCAGCAAACAAAATACATTAAACAACAGACAAGGGGAAATGTGTCTAGCACAACACCCCATCCACTGTCCAGCAAAAAGACTATATGCAAAGTCAAAGGGGAAAAACATACTCGGGCTTCTGCCCAACCTCCACAACAGCCAGGCGCGGGGCCTCGGCGGCGGAGAAGGCGGCGTCGAGGACCGGCCACGCGGCGCGCACGTCCGGGCACCATGACTGTCCTGTGGCCGGGTCGGGCGAGGTCACGAACGCCAGGAAGAACGGGGCGGCGGAGGAGGACCCCTCGGGGATTTGAAGGGCGGCCGGGGAGGCGGGTAGGGGAAATGTGGTGAGGATGGGCATTTTTGTTTGGCTGTTTAGGTCTGTTTGGAGAGGTTTAGAAAAGGTATGGAACTCGAAAGGTTGTGCAACCAGAAAAAGTTGAGGGTGTGGGTGTGGCAGAACGGAAAATCCCGCGATGGCGGCATTGGGCCGTCGGACTTCGTTTTCTGCCGGCATTACCTTTTTTTCTCGTGGGGCGGGGGGTGGGGGTGGGGTATAGTGGGCGGTGAAAGGGCTGCCTCTTTTTGGCGACCTGTTGCTTGGGAGGACTATTATCCATAGGCAGTAATAAGTTATACTATGCACATTCCCGATTGGTTACTGTGCGTGTGGCTCGAGTGGTATGTACAGCTACATGTCTACTTACAGAAGATCCATTCCATCTTCTTTTTCTTTTCATCCAGTGTGACTATGGCTGCCCACTCACCGCCCATATACTGTACCTAGTACCCAGTCCTGGACTACCAGTCACATGCTGGACAAAGTACCAGGTACCTAGGCTACAAGGCATAATTTCCGCTAACGGCCTCAAGACCGAGTGCCGATTGCATCCCTTTCGATGAAAGCAGCAAAGTGGACATATCACTGGCACCTCTACACCGTGGAAGCACTATATCCAGCGGCTGAGCCCGCAACGGCAATCTGCGCACCGTGCAGCGGATTCCTCTGCAGGTCTCCGAGACCTTGTACACACGTTCATGCGCCTCGGCCCGTTTGTAGGCCTGGTGTAATTGCAATGTGCAACACTGGACCATCCCGCAGCCTGCAAAGAGCTCCCATCCACTGTCAATACCCGAAGCCAAGTGCTACATGGCCACTGGACAGTGGAGACTAGATCTAGGGTTACACGGGACTCGGGAGTCTATTAAGGTTCGTGCTAATATCACAAGAAGAAAGTCTATGTATTTTGATAGAACCAGATCGTTAAGAAAATCGCTAATCTCACAAAGAAACCCCAATACAACTACCTCATTTCATACACTTAGTTCCCCTCGTGCAACCGGACCGTCACGTTGTCCCCGGGAGCATTGGTCAGGCTCACCGCCATGGCAATCTCGCCCTCGGCCGTCTTGCCAACGCCCTCCAGCTTGTCGAACCGTTGCAGCAAGCGCACCATCACGTAGCCGGCTTCCGTCAAAGCGAACTGCTGGCCAATGCAGATGCGGGGGCCACCGTTGAAGGGAAGGTACTCCCAGCCGGGCTTGCGGGATTCCCAGCGCTCCGGACGGAACTCATCCGCATCAGCGCCCCAGAGATCGGGCCGGCGGTGCATCACAAAGGTGCTGTAGAACACGGCCTGGCCCTTCTTGACATACACGGGATCTGTGCCGTTGGGACCACCGCCGGTGGGGATGGTGGTGTTCTTGACGGCGATACGACGGTTACCAGGGACGATTGAGTAGAGGCGGAGGGTTTCGTTGAGGACGTTCTGGAGGGGCTTGCAGCCCTTGAGGCCGGCAAAGGTGATTTCCTTGGGGGAAGCGTAGGAGCCGAACTCTTCGACGACGGCGGCGCGGAGGCGGGCGTACTGCTCGGGGTGACGAGCAAGAAGAAGCACGCACCAGCTGAGGAGGGAAGCAGTGGTGTCGCGTCCGGCGAGGAGGATGTTGAGCAGCTGAGAACGTAGTTCGACGGGATCCCGGGTCATCTCGGCAAGGGCATGGAGGAAGACGTAGTGAGAAGGCTTCTTCTCGGCATCCATGTTGAGAGCAGCATCCACGAAGCGATCGACGTAGGCGTGGACATAGTTCTCAACTTCGCGGCTCTCCTTGTTGTTGACGATCCAGTAGATCTTCTCGAAACGGGCGCGCTGTGCCGCATACCATTGGCCGCGATCGAACTGAGTAGCAAAGTCATCCTGAGTCTTGCTGCCACTACGAAGAGCAGCAGCCTGGCTCTCAACGCTTTCACCGAAGAGAAACTCCGTAGCCGAGTCGAGGGTCAACCGGAAAAAGATAGTCTGAATATCGGTGGGTTCGGTCCAGCCGGTAGCATCCACGGGCATGAGGCGCATAGCCTGCTGTACGTGCCGCTCCTCCAGATCCAGATCACTGATCTGGTCGCGGGTGAACTGGGGCCGCAGAAGTCCGCGGGAGCGGGTCCAATATTCGCCATCGGCAGTGAACTAAACAATGGTGGGTCTACATTAGTCTCAAATAGAAACGTTCGGTGAGGTCAGTGGACATACGATTCCATTGCCCAAGAGCGAGTGAAAAGCGTTACGGCGGGGAGTGCCAAGCTCAAAATCCTTGAATTGGTGAGCAAGGACGGCCTGGACATTCTTGGGTTCACATGTCAAGATAATATCTTGTCCCAGCTGGCGGAACTGGAAGGTGGTGGTGTAGCGGTTCTGGCTGGCAGACATTTTCTCGATACGGTGACGCGACAAATAAGGCAGGTTGCGGTCCTTGTCATAGCGAAGGGCTTCCTTGAGAGTATTGGTTCCAAGCCAGTCTCCAGGGTAATGTGGGATGGAACCACAATTCCAGCGGCGAGCGTTCTGAGCATGTTGCCAGCGAAGTAGTAGTGTCCAGAGGACATAAAGAATGGCGGCGACAGCCGTTATCGTAAGGACGACAGACATAATGGGCGATCGGTGATCAGTCAGTCACCGATGGGGTTATCGCAAACGGAGGGAGGCGTAGGAAAAATTGGCGAGCAGGGGAATCAGTCCAGCATGGGAGATGATGCTGATATATATCGAATGTCAATTGGTGCGAGGGTCCATAAAAAGATACGTCTTGCCCGCGATCGGGGGGCTGGCACGCGGGTTGAATGCCAGAAAGAAAGAATGAACCGAGGCCTAGGCGACAAGTCGGTCGAGGCTTGCGGACATCACAAGTAGGGTTACAAGATTTAGATGATTAGTCGTGCAGATGGAGTGGGGTCGATGGTAGGCCCGAGGAACAGGATGTGCAACTCCAGAGTGTACAAGGCAGGACTGGCATGATATAATGCGCACGAACGAGGGGGCTCCCACCCGTCTCAAGCCGACGGCGAAGTCCTAGGCGTCGGCGGATCGGCGGGTGGGCGCAGAGCTAAAACAAACGGCCGGAGCAGAGGCTGTAAGCAGTAGTCGCTCATCTATTGTATCTGCTGATGGGGGCCCAAGTCTGACCATTGAGGGCTTGACAAAAAGATGAAATGCAGTGATGCAGACGTGTCAGCCATTCTGAGCGGGCCAAAGAACGGGGTGGCTCCGTTGGTGGCTGTTTGCAGTGCTCCACATTGCTCCGCCGGAATCAGACATCGAGCGAGTCTTGTCTCTGGACAGTGGAGATTAGACTACTCCCTGTGCTGCTTGTATTGCTGTTGCTGACGTTACTGATGCACTCGTGCTGATTAAGAAGAAGATCTTGGAGTCATGCGCAGCAAGGATTGGGAAGAAGCGACGTGGGGTGATGATGCAAGGAGGTGGAAGCCACATGATACACGATGATGTTGACGATTAGCTGCTGATCGAGGAACAGGAAAGGAAAGGGTGAGCCTGCAGTGGAGAGCCCTGCTGACTCACCACAGTATTCAAACCTTAGCCCTGAGGCACAAAACCCTTTCTCTTTCCGGACTAGTTCTCCGTCGGGGAGCCGGCCAATCCAACTTCGGAGATTATGCTCCTTGACTGCGATGACGGAGACGTTGCCTGCTTGGGCGAACTCATCCACGGCTCATTCCGTCGATCGGTATCGCACTTTTTGGAACTGGATTCAGGAGAGATCCAGTTGAAGCGATTGTTGGGGCCTCGCCACTCGGTGAAGACCGAGAATGTTATGAATCTCGGATATTACCTATAAAAAGTAAATGTACTGTGTATACTTGGTGTCAAATGTTGTCAGTGCGTATGTACTGTCTATTGTAAATAGTATCTACTATAACTACCACACGCTCTATGAAACCGTGTCGTCAACATCATTATCACGAGTCATCATATCATCAACTCCACAATCACAGCTACCATCACTAAACCTTTCGCCGCACTAACCCCCGGAAGAAATCGAAGCTGTTGCTGTCGCTCTGTAGCTGCCACACGCGACCCGTCGGTCGGTCATCCCAGCCCAGCTCCTGCGCCAACAACAGTCCATAATCTCGAGTGATGCCCTGAATGCGAGCCCGCGCTCCTCCGGCCTCCTCCAGGGTGACAACTTGGTGCATGTGCAGCCAGTCCGCATAGTACTGATCCTCGAACTCTCGATCGAAGCCCGTCCGCAGAAACCGTCCGTACAATTCCTCAAATGTCGTCAGAATCCGTGCCAGCAGCTTCTCCAGCGTGATGGGGGCCGCTTTCGGGCCCAAGAATCGTTTCGCCAATGCCGTCAGCGACGTGGTGGGGGATGCGTTGGTCGCGTTGACCCCAATGCCTACCACCGAGATATACTCGTTGGCGCAATAGTGAGAATTCACCAGGATTCCGCAAATCTTCGAGTATTGTTGTTTCTCGGGGTGCTCCGGGTCAAGCGCATCTGCAGGTTATCAGCAATGATGACAATAACAAAAACCCGATAGGAGAGATGGGTACATACACACGTCGTTGGGCCACTTCATCTTGACCGGCATGGCGTCGTAACCTTCGTCGTACCGCTTGATACCCTGCACCACGGCCATCGCGGCTAAGTATTGAATGAACACCACTGGGGCCGATTGAATCTTCTCCATCGGGTGTCGCAACACCGTCGAGAAGATCAAAGCCCCTGCAGGCGAGACCCAAACATTGGAGCCCCGACCCCGCCCAGCGACCTGGGTGGTGGCCGTAGCGGTGAAGCCGGTGGGCAGTGTGCGCAGCAATTTCGGGTTTCTGACCGGTCAGTCATGTGAGCTGTCACAGGGTCGATCTCAAACTCAAACTTACTTTTCCAAAATCGTATTCGTACTGGTGACTACTTCCCCGTATACCAGGTTGGAGCCGAATTCAGAGGCACCCTCTCGGGATTGTCCCTGGTACTGGCGCAGGTGCGAATAAAAAGCATGGTGGTTGAAGTAGGGTGTCAGCTTGGAGGATGGCACATCGTCATGTATTACCAGTCGCTTGACGATCGCGTTGTAATCCACAATACCTTCCGTCGGGGTCGCCGTCGGGGTCTCCGACAAGGCGGGAAGCGAGGCCTCCAACTCACCCAGGTTCCAAGTTCCGGGGCGCTCGATGCGGAATGTATCATTCTCATCCTTAAGAACTTCCTTATCACCATCCTTGGTGATATGCTCATCCCACAAGGCCACAAGGTTGGCCGTATCCGTAGGCTCCTGAGCTGACAGGTGCAGCGAGGAGAGCGAAGGCACCGTCGTCGTCGTTTGGCTCACTTGCAGACCCAGCTTAACTAGGCAGGCTTTCAAAAAGTCGGTGCGACCGGTATCATCGGCCGCCAGAGCATCGACGACTTTCGCATACTCCGCACCTCCGTTCTTCTTATCCAGGTTGACCGCTGCAAACCTACGTAGAAGAAAAGGCAGTGTTAGTTTCATGACCCAATCTAACCATCCGTTGAAAGAACATGATTCGGCGCTACTTACTCTGGATGGGGACTTGTGAGGATGGCGGCACCTTCACCCACGCGACAGTAGACCACGGCCGCGGCGCCACCCTCACCGGGGTCAACATTGACCTTCTCGGTATAGCTGGCCAGCACCTCGACACCTCGATCGGCATACTGCGCTGCATCAACGAACACACCCCCACCATTGTAGTAGCACCGGAACTGCTCCGGAACCACGCCCGCCCGCAGAGCGTCCTTGGCCACCTTCACCTCGGCGGCGCGGGCGCCGGCCTCACTGTGATAGACAAATCCGGGGAAGGCACCCCCGCGACAGGTGCCGGGAAAAAAGGCCAGCTCGCGCTCGCCGATCACCTGCAGGGTTTTATCGCCGACCTCGAACTCACACCGGCGGCAGCCGTAGTAACCCCCCGCACAGAAACCGAGGTAGGCGCCCCCACGCTTGACGAATTGTTCGATGCGACGGTTTCCGGCACCGTTGAGGGCACGACAGTAGCCCATATCGGCGCCGCCGGGGAAGACGAGACATGCACATGTCAGGGTCCAGGGTTCGTGGAGGAGCATGTCGGCGGTGACGGGGATAACGGCGTAGTGAGGGGCTAGTAGGCGGCGGAGGGAGTAAAGGCAGTGGCGAACGGACTCAACGGTGGTGCCATTTCCTAGGAGAGGAAGCCATTAGTTTTTGTAGACGAATGAAGCGAGGGAAGAAGACACGTACCGGAGTAGACAAGAACGTTGACCTTTTTCCCGGTCAGGTTGGGGGTTGTCGTCGCCATGGCGGAGGAACGGTTCAGCCGTGCAACTTTCGGGTCTCGGAAGTTTCTCTTCGCAACTGCAACTCTCCGGTCGAAGGACAGCTACAGAACAAACAATGACGAACAAGGAAGAGAGACAGAATCCGCCGGTTGAGAACGCGGCAGAGGACGACGATGAGCCAGACGAGTGGTGAGTTGTGAAGAAGGAGGAGAAGGAGAAGAAGAGAGAAAGTGAGAGAGGGAGAGAGAGTTGACTCGGACTGACGGCGAATCCGACAGGGAGAAGCGGATCAACAGAACCGGCTGTGCGGGTGAGTGAAGAAGAGTCACCCACAGCCATTGACCTGGCACTCTATCAACAAGAGATTTACTAAGTCATGATACAGACGAGCAGATGACCTTGAACGATTGCGTCTATCAGAAGAAGGACTGGCGCAGTTGCCAGAAGGAGGTGGGTTGAGTCCGGCTGCGGAGGCCATATACCCTCACATTGGGCGGAGCCTAGATGAGCTTTATGAGATACTGTCCAACATTATCTTGACCATCACTCACCCTACACGACCTCAAACCCTCACTCCCAACAATCGAATTCTCGACGTGTGGCCGCTAACTCGACCTTAGATGGAAGCCTTCCGCGAATGCTGGAAACAGCAGGGCAACGACCAGCGCACGCAGACGCAGGATGCTTAGAGCTAGGGATGGCTTGGCCGACGATGATTCCCGCAGTGTATTCTGAAGTCTTCCAATTAAAGTGATCTATAGCCAAATCGCAACTCCTTCAGCTTTCCTCAGCACAAATCCAGCGTATTCCCACTCCACACCACAGTATCATCACGTGACTATGTCCCGAGATTGCCTTTCCGCAGCTCAGCTTCGTCACCTCCGCACTCACTCACCTCTCTACTCCAAATCCCAAATTTCTTCTCATCATCCCACCCTCTCGTCACCCGCGATGTCCCTCCCAACCCTCGCGCGTACTCTGCGCATGACGGCGCCCACAAAACCCACATCCCTAACGCGTCTCCCCACCTTCAACATCGCGCGCACCTTCACCACAACCCGCCACCACCAAGCAACCCAACCATCAGCAGCACGCCCGAGACCCAACAACTCTACCTTCAACAACAACAACAACAACAACAGCAGCAGCAGCAGCAGCAGCAGCACAAAGTCCTCCTCCCCACCCGACAACAACACCACCACCACCTCTCCCAATGCCCCCCAACAAACCCCCCCAAACCCGCCCCAAAAAATCACCCCCAACCTAACAACCTCGGGGCTACACGACCAGCCGCCCTCCCCGCTCCCCACCCCCACCGACTCGCCGTACCAGCCAACGGAAGACCGAATCGACTGGACGCGCTCCTTCCACGGCCTGTCCGCGGAGCCCTTCCCCAAAGAAGCCGCCGACATCCTCCTGGCCCCGACCGACCCCGAGGAAGTCGAGATCAAGCCGGACGGGATCCTGTACCTGCCGGAGATCAAATACCGCCGGATCCTGAACCGGGCGTTCGGACCGGGCGGGTGGGGGCTCGTGCCGCGGAGCGAGAGCATCGTGACCCCCAAGATGGTGACGCGGGAGTATGCGTTGGTGTGTCATGGGCGGTGAGTTGTTCTTTCCTCCCCTCGGAGTCGTGGATTGAGTGGAGGTGATTGCCGAGGCGGACGCTGATAATTGCTCGATGACAAGTCTCGTTTCCGTCGCCCGCGGCGAACAGGATTACTTCTCGCCGGACGGAATCCCCACGGCCACGGAGGGGTGCCGCTCCAACGCCCTGGTGCGCTGCTGCAAGGATCTGGGCATCGCCAGCGAGCTCTGGGATCCCCGGTGGATCCGCAAGTACAAGGCCCAGTACACCCGCGAGGCCTTCGTCGAGCACGTGGTCAACAAGCGCAAGTCCAAGATCTGGGTCCGCAAGGACGATGAGGTCTCGTACCCTTGGAAGGAGACGAAATAGGTTCGTTGTTCCTTGTTTTCGGCACTGAAAGGTGTCTCCTCTTCTCGTGTTCTCGGAGTTTGGGGGGCTGTATGTATTATGGACTGTACAATAGACTCACGGATGGGGAGCTAAAAGAAGAAATCGGGTGAAGGTTACAATATCTCTTCAGATGGTATTATCATACTGTCTACCTGCGTAAACTACATCGGTTCTTGGCAAATCCACATAACATATCAGCTAAAGTCAGTCTTTTGCTTCTTGGGGAATAGATCTTTGATAATAATACAGAATTCACGCCATTCCCTTTCCCCGATGGTGGAATCGAATTTGATCGTCACTCGTGATCACACTTTATTCTAGTTTGCTTGCGTCTTTTGGTATCTCTTTTGTTTGGTTGTTCTTATTTCTTCATTCTTACTGGCTCTCATACGGGTTCCGCCGCGGGGGGTATGCCCGAGTCTGGTGCTCCTCTGCCGACTCGCCTGAATAGGCCGTCCGCGACGAAGCCAGTGTGTGTGACGAGTACTCGCGTTCACCATCAGCCGACGGCTCCGCCATCGACGGGAGCTCAAAGGGTTGGTTGGGGTCGTACGACTCCTCGGCGGGATTGTAGTACTGGCCCTGGTAGCTGTAATATTCCGGCTGGCGTGCGACCGAAGCCCCGTTCACAGCTGCTGCTGCTGCACCGGCTTGTTGGGTCTGGGCTTGCTGATTCTGCTCAGAGACTAACCGCACGGGCTGCTGCTGCTGCTGTTGTTGTTGTTGTTGCTCTTGTTGCCGCCGAGGAGGCACTGGCTCAGACAGGACCGGCACACCACCCGTAGCGGTCGAGATGATGTTAGCGGTGCCCTCCTTGCGCCGGCCCGTCGACTGCTCACGCGTCATTGAGCCGTAGTTGACGCTCCGCGTGCGCTCCTGGCCCGGCGACCCGGCTGGGGTTTGATACGTGTCGACTTCCTGGCCATCACGGGAGCTCGGGTAGGGGCGGTCGGCGTGCTCGGCACTGAGTCCCTCGCTGTAGGAGCTGATGGATGCGCCAACTCCACGACGTTGGATGGAGCCCGGCGACTGGCCCATGTCAAAGCCGGTAGAGCGCGACTCGGTGGTGGCGAAGCTGGAATCCGGGGGAAGGCGTCGGACAGGCTCGGCGGACGAGGCGGAGTCGCGTCTGGCGCGCTTGACCACATCCTCGACAATGATTTCAGGGGTGTCCTCCAGCTTGTCCTCGGGCTTCTCCTCATCGTCGCCACCACCGGATCCTGGCTTGCGGATAGGCACCCGGCGTACCGCGGCGATCAATGCACACATGAACTTCGAGCGACGTGTCGCGCGGACTGCTTCGTTCGACCAGTTGGACTTGTGCCGGATATACACGCTCAACTCCAACTTATCCATGTCACCGACGCCGCTAACATCGATGGTGATGTCGGGCTGGAAGTCACGTGAGTTGTCCTTGTCGCGCACGAATCCCTCCAACTCCTCGCGGAGGCGCTGGATGTTCTGGAACGTCGTGTCAAAATCGATGGGAACCTTCAGGACCTCGTGCATGGCGTTGGCACGGGTGAAGTTGTCGACCCACAAGGCGTTAAGAACCGAGTTGGGAATCTGCGTGATACGGTGGTCGTTGACGTTGCGAAACACGGTGAAGAGGAGGGAGATGCGCTCGACGAAGAAGGGCTTGTCACTAATTTCCACACGGTCACCCACGTCGAAGGGGTGCTTGACGAAGAGGAAGATACACGAGCCCAGCACTTCCTGGGCCGTAGTGGAGAAGACGAAAGAGAGGGAGAGCAAAGAAGTGGCACCTGCTGCAATGACCGTGCCAAATCCAGTCGTCACGAACGAGACAAAGACCAGAACGCCCACGATGAATGCCACGGTCATCAAGAGATTGTCCAAGACTCGGGTGGCCTGGTCAATGTCATGCAAACTGTGGTTCAGAGCCTTCTTGTTGCGCTGGACTTCTCCAACCGCCAGGATCATCTCATCCAAGCTGATATCGCCGTTACCGTCGCGGTCGAGCATTTTCATGCATTCATCCGCCTCCACTTCCAACCCCGTGCCGAGCACCTCACAAATATCTTCGAAATACAAGGCATCCCGACCCTCGACCACGAATGACATCCAGATTCTGCGCGCGAGGGCTTCCGAGGTTCTGCGGTGCTCCAATGCCCCTGTCACGATCGAGCGCGTGGAGGTGTTGTTGAAAACTTGCTTGCCAGTAAGTTCTTGGGCCACATCACCAAAGGCACCCTTGACCTTGCCACCGATTCTCTGCACATTATGGCCAATTTTCTGAACGTTCTGACCAACTCCGCGAATGAGACGGAGAGGAGCTGAGCCGCTGGTCGGTATGCGTGTCTTGCTCGCGGGGTTCAGTAGCAGGAAGTCCGCAATGGCGGCGTCCTCCTCTCGGAATTCCTTGCAGTGCATGGGAAACATCTGACGGGACGCATCATACAAGAGACCGATAAGGTAGACATTCCGCTTCCCTTCTTTAATGCGGGCATCGAACTGCTTCCGATGGTAGCTGATGGAGATCAAATGCACGAGTGCCTTCTCGCCAAGGAAGATCAAACTGCAGACGAAAAGAGCGAAAAGGATGTTCTTGATCGACTTCTCCCATGACTTGGTCGAGGTGTCGTTGATCTTCTTCTGGTGGGGGTTTTGCGTCATAACCTGGACGAAGGCTCAGTCAGCTTGTGCAAGGCCCAGTTGTCGAAAGGAGCGTCTCTTACTGGCAAAAATGTCACCAAGCAAACCACACACCACAGGACCGTGGCGATGGGAAATTCGAGCTTTCGCAAGATAAGAGCATACTTGCGGGTTCCAGAGCTAACAAATCCACACAATGTTTGGAAGACGTAGGGGATGATCCGAGCTGCGAGCTTGCATGCCCACAAGCTGATCCAGACAATTTCAAACCAGAAGAAGAACCAGGGAAGAGTCACTCCGCCGATGGTCGCGTCCTGCGCGGCCGTGGCTCCTACGATAATCGGAACGGCGAGTAACAAGGCGAGCGGTATCACGTAGATCAGGTAGCGGGTAGCGATTGAGTAGTTGAGGACCGCCTGGTAGAAGCGGCCGACACGAGTGACGGTACCATCTTCGGGATCATCAATAGAACGGCCAGTGGACTCGTCGATTCGCCTGCGCAGACCTGGGTTTGGTGCGACGAGTCCCTGCTTCTCTTCGCTGTTATCGACCGGTGGTTGGTAAGGGCCTGGGGAATCGGGTCCGTTGACGCTCGACTTGCGAGCGCCTGTTTGACCGCGACTGGAGACCGAGTGCAGCGGGATATCGATTGTAACATCATTAGGATTCAGCATATTGTCGGGGGCCATGTCGCGAAGCTGGTGGAAGCGTTTGGCGGACAACCGCTTCTCCGTAATGCCAGGCCTTCCTGACATCAGGGCGGGCGGACGGGGGGAGGGCGATATAAGAACGATCGACTAGGGTGAGGAGTCCAGAAGCTGCCCGGCAGCCCCAGTGCGTAAGCGCAAGCGCAATTGGCGGGAGGGGGGTGAATCCCAAGCGATTCCCACCAGAGGCAAAGCAGGAACCAACGATCAATGGCAGAAAACGAGTGTGCTGAGTCCACCGGTTCGTGTGGAGTTGATGGTGGGTCGGATGGTGTAAATTGAGGAGACCGCGTGGATTGGACCAGCGATCGGCAGTCTGTCGAGGGAATCAACAATTCCGAAGCGAGTGGTTTAATTGTGATTACTGCCCAGGCTGAGACCGAAAAGTGAGCGAACGAGTGAAAAGACAGAGCCGGTCGGGAAAAGAAAGTAAGAGGAGAAATCAATAACGAGAGGTGAGACTTGAACGGGGTTGAAACCGACACAAAGGACCGACCCCAGGCCAGGCGACAGATAAGAAAGGCGGAATGTCAACAAGTGCGTGCGACTTGTCAGAAAACCCCCAAGTCAGAAAAAAAAATGAAAGAGAATAAAAATAAAAGTAAAAATAAAAATAAGAATTGCAGCAAAAAGACGGAAACCCACGCGGACCATGTTTCAGTTTTTCCCGATGTGTAGAGTGGAAGACTCAGAGAGGGGAGGGGAGGCCCTGAAGTCATGGTTGTGCAATTGGAAGGGGCGTTTGAAAGAGGGAGAGAGGAATCCGTCAATCATTCTTGAACCCCATTGTTGCTGTCGGACTGGCAACTCAACAGTTGACCATTGCTAGTCACTCTGCCTGTTCCCTCTATCTTTGCTGCATCAATTTTCAAATGAAGCCATCTCCTCCGGCTTGATGAATAGAGAATAGATTGATCGCGTCCGATCGGTGCAGAAGTGGACAGGGTCATGGAGATATGGTGGCCCCCACTTGAGAAGTGGTGGCGGTGGGAGAAAAGCGAGCTTGAGAAAACAAGTGGAAACGAAACTCTGAACCTTGAAGCTGAATGGTTTGATTGCCTGCAGTGCTCCCGAGTCGGTCCTGAAAAGAACTGAACTGGAAAACCCCCAAAAGCACCCAAACAGGCGACGGTCATCCCCTCCACCAATCAAGCCTCTCCTCGACCCGGCCCTAATTCCTCGTCCTGATCAGGGCCAGACTTAGGGCTCATCTTAGTGTTATTTAGTTTCTTAGTTTCTTAGTCTGAGTCCCCCGCCCCACCCAAGAAAACGCCACTGGTGCTTTCCCACTGCAACCCAGGGGATTCCCTCCGCCGCCCCCTCAGGTACGGTCGGGGCGTGAATGGACAATTCCTTCAAGAATCAAGATTAAGGGTGCCTGACATTCTACATCTTACACGGGATAGAAACCACATACTCAGTCACATTTTGGGAAAGTCTCTCCTCTTCACCTTGGCTTTCCCATCGACAAAAGGCCCAACCAAGGGATCTGGACCTGTCACTCGAAACCATAAAAGCCCCCGGGCTAGGCTCAGCACGGTGCCGTGTGTGTGCGTGTGTGTGTATGTGCGGCACGGCTCCTTGTAAGGCTGCGCGAGGGCTTCAGCTCGACGCCCCTTAATCTCACTATCTCAGGGTCAAACTCGCCTCTCCTGAAACGAGATGCACTCTGTCATACGCAGTGGCCGCTGGCTAGCTGCATGAGCCTTTGGAGCTAGTTCCAATAGTGATCAGTTAGCGGTCTCTTCCCATCTCATGTAAACTTTATTCCGGTTGGGGCAATGCAGCATCCACACCTTGTGAGTTCATAAAGGCATCACAAGCCTAGACAAAAAAGGACGATATCATTCAGCATCATCATTTCCAAGACCCAGTCTTTCTTCAAGATCTCCCCATCGAGATTCGAGGGAGAGAGAGATAGAGTGCCTGTCCACTGTGTCGATCTACGCGTATAATGTTCCCTGGTATTGACCCGTCTGGAGTCTTCTCCGCATTGCTTTGTTTCTAAAGATAGAGAGGCATGACATTATCATGACCACCACATGGTCGGCCGAGTTGTGCATAACTTGAGCACAATCTGAGGGCGACTTCGCCAACGACTTCTTTTTCTGTCCGATGATTCAAACATCCAGACGTCACCATGGTTGAGTTCATGCTGTACCCGATGCCAGTGTAAGACATGCAGCTCATTTTTGAGACGCCTCCTAAGGATCAGGTGTGTTTGATGTGGTCTATGAGAAGCCCGGGAGGGATTTGCGGTCTACCGGTAATATTCTCATCATCGTAACTACTATGCAGTATGAACGCTCGACTATCAGGGTCTATGGACGTTTCGACTTCTCGGTTAGGTTGAGTCCCCCACTGCCAAGATGTCAGGCTGGGGTATCTCGGACGTCCTTTGCGACCCAGGCACATATACAAGCGCTTCTGATCTGTATAGAACAGACTCTATTCCAGAGTAGGGGGACTCCGTACATGTCAATCTCACTGGCGAGCAACGACCGACTGACCTGTCACTTGGGGGGTGTCTGTTTGCTTCACCGCCGTCGTGAGTTGGCCAACTGGCCTCTAATCCTCACAGACGATAAACGGCCAGCGCGATCACTGTTGCCAACACGCGTGGTGTCTGTGGGCTTATTGGGTGCGAGTTTGAGAGTGGGTTTTCGCGATCCTGCAACACATGTACGATGGAGGCTGCGCCAGTTCGCCTGATTGAAGCATTTCCCGCAGTCCATGTAAGCACCGTTGCCAGCAAACGTGGGACTGGGAGGGGTAGACGGGTAAAGCGATTCTCAATACGTCAACGCACCACGGTAGCAAGAGGAAGGTTCTGGTAATAGAGGGGGAGGTGGCGTCCTGAGCAAAAGAAGAAATGCACCTCATTCTCATGTCATCGGAGATGGACGGAGTAGGAGCAAAAAGAGATGACAAGAGTGGGATTCGAACCCACGCCACTTGCGTGACTAGGAATATTGCTCGGATGGAGCGAATATGTGTGATCAGGTTGCCTGACCCTAGCGCCTTAGACCGCTCGGCCATCTTGCCCGGTTGTTGAATTAGTCAGTCTTGTAGGCATCCATGTTCCCCAGCCATGTATACAGTGCTCTAGATTACTACTCTGATGTTTGGACGCAGGCCATCGAACACAGGCTAGGCTTGCTCACTTGGTCTGATCATGGCTGTGGGCTCAGTTGAAGGCATAACGTCTCATGCAATTCACCTCCCTCTCTCGCCGGAATAAGCAGGCTCCAGGAGGATACATAGCACTATTGACTGGCAGTTGGCGGATGGATTCGCTATTGAACTACGGGAAATCATATTAAGTCGCACCCGCTCTACCATCGGCGCAACTCCGAGGGCGTGTACCGCATACTCGATCTGTCACTGTCAACGACCCGATGAGGTCATGGCCGTATGCACGACCGATGCAACTCATCTCGCTTGGATGCACGTCCATGAGTAAGATGGTTTGCGTCCAGAAACCAGGCAGGAAAGAAAAGAGGCAAACTCAAAATCAGACCGCAGTGGGGTGTCTGGCGTGGCGAGGCGGGAATGGCCGACACTTTGCTCTGGTAGTCGTATGCAGGTGCAGGGCAGTGGCAAAATGAAGTAGAACAACGCGATGATATGTGGGTTGATGAGTAGGGCAAAAATATCCGACTGAGTCGGTGCAAAAAGGAATGACAAGAGTGGGATTCGAACCCACGCCACTTGCGTGACTAGGAATATTGCTCGGATAGAGCGAATATGTGTGATCAGGTGGCCTGACCCTAGCGCCTTAGACCGCTCGGCCATCTTGCCTTGGATGCTCATTAGCAGTGTTGATGGCTTTATGGACGGCGGGAAACAGAAGGCATGTCACTAGGTGTTTTCGGTTCGTAAGTAAGGCTGATCCCAGACCGTTCTGGCTCTTGCATGGTACCCTGCTATTAAACTCCAGGGTGTCAGATAAATAGGTCTCTGGGACCCTTGTTGTGGTATTCGCCCGTTGCAACAGTTCCATTGAATCCAACATCGTGTGGCTGAGCCTCTGCTTACAGCCTTGTATAATGGGTGATGGTCATCGCAACTCTGTGGAGAAGGCAGCCATCTGCCGGTGTATTGATGTACATCTCGGGCTATCCAGTGCTGCGTTTGGGTTCGTGGCTCTCAAGGGCTCGGCTTGGTTTTCAGTGTGCTTGAGACTAGTCTAACCGGAGAGGTACGTGGCACTTGGCAGCCCAATGCGCTCGGTGTATACCAGCATGCTGGTGCTTGTTGGCGTGTGGTGGTATACTGTTGGGTCTGATTGTCGGTGTCTTGCCGTGGTCGGTGTTCCGTGGCCTGTGTGGTACCTCGCATGTCACACTGGCCGTGCTTCTTTTGTATGTGGTATGTGATGCATGCTTCTGCTTGTGGCTTGTGGCTTGTGTCCTTGTATGGCTATCGTTATCCGGTGTGCAGATACCATGGAAACGCAGTGGGTTTGTTCTCGCTGGAAATGGCAGGGAATCTGTCAAGTCTTACTTGTCATTGTTTTCATATGCACTCGCCTGGCGCGGCCCTTGTAGTTGGTTTCTCCCCTCCCCCCTGGCTATCCGATGTATCTCGCGGTTGTGTCGTCATGGTTGTTGGGGTCAGGACATATAGATGATTGCTGGTGATGTTCTGTAGTTTCGTCTGGGGTGTGGTTCGTGCTTCGTGATCCTGACAGACAGTGGCTTCGCTTTCCAGCTCTTGTTGGGCGTATTGACTTGTTGTGGCTGTCTGGTTTCATGGGTGGTGGTCTGGTCGGCCGGGAGGCTGTGCCTTCCAGTAACCAGAGCATCCAGCCCGAAACAATATATAATCACAAACCAATTCGCCATGTTAGTCCACTACCACCCAACACCCCATAAGGATAACTTACACTTACTATAAAGAACAATTCGGCAAGCCCCAGTACTAATTACACCACTCAGCAGATACCTCCAGCACAACCTCCTAGCACCTCAACTCCAAACTCACGCATAACCGATTCTGGAATGCGCCGGGCCAATTTGCGCTCTACATGGAACAAAGTCTATAAGCTCTTCTCATTAAATAGGCAAGATGGCCGAGCGGTCTAAGGCGCTAGGGTCAGGCAACCTGATCACATATATTCGCTCTATCCGAGCAATATTCCTAGTCACGCAAGTGGCGTGGGTTCGAATCCCACTCTTGTCATTCATTTTTGCTCCTTCTCCATTTCCACACACTCTCTTCCCTCTCACGCACGCCGCAGGGGAACGCAAGGGGTGGGATACGTTCTGTTCACTCGTCGACTGCGTACAAACCCTACGGCCTACCCAGCAACACGGCATTGCCTTATGATTTCCTGCCAAAGTTGAACCCCCCCCCGGCTATATCAATCTAATCTAATCTGATATTTCGATCAAATCAACGGAGTTCGCCTTATGCAACCCCCCTTGCACCGAAGGGTCCACACACTGCCCTCTCCACCGCGTCGGAGGTCGGAGGGCGAAAACAGGTTCATACCCGAGGACCCTTATTCGGTGCGATTCTGCAGGTGAGATTTGCTCGATCGTATACATTATAAGGTAAAACCAGCGCCGATGATGTTGTGGTCGTGGAGGTTGATCAAGACGGACGCGACGGTCTCATGCTGCCTACGAGTGGCCAAGGATTTGTTTTTTTTTTGTTTTTTTTTTTTTTTTGTTTTTTTTTCTTCCTTCTCTTTTCTTTTCTTTCTTTCTTTCTTCTCTCTTCTTTTCTTAGACAAAGGCCCCATTACAAGTCGAGCACCATGCGGATACGTTCATCATTTGTTTAGGAATTAAATTGCGGGTGAGGTACAGCGGACGGATTCTGCGTAGGCTCATCGCTTCATTACACATGTATACATCATCAATACGGGAACGACAGATCCGGGAGCGGTTCATCCAAGCGCCACCCGGCGTGGCCCGCAGGAGGCGCGAAGTGCCCACCGGCCTCAACGGCGCCCGGGACCGGCTGCATCGAGGAGAGATACATCATTGGCGCCGCAGCACTCCCGACGGCCGGCATTTCCCTCACGGCGTCCGCCCTCCCAGCCGGGTCGTCTGCATACCATGACTCCATGTAAGCCGGGGCACCACCGGGAACCAGCGAGGGCAACATCCCAGGCGGCTGTGCGCCGGGCACACCTGCCGTCGTGGAGGTCGGGGGCGGGAAGATCCCGCGCAGGTACGAGGGATTCTCGGAGGAATAGCCCGCCAGCCGTCGTTGGAGCTGTTCGTACCACTCGCGGTTCTTGACGGCCACGACGTGGTACCATTTGCTCGGGACGCGGAATTTCTGGTTATCGCAGGCTTCCGATAGGGCCTGCGATAGGCGATCCAGGTATTCGTCGACGTTAATCATCTGCGGAGTGATAACCTCGCTCAGAGGGCCGAGCTGGGTCATGTGGTAGATACGTAGAAGAGAGGAGACCCCCAAGATCATCCGCGTGTAGGTCATGTTTGGTAGCTTGCGCATGGTCGGAATGTCGCATTGCAGGAAGACGTCGAGGAGTTGCTGGGCAGAGAGCACCCATTTCGTGATGATCTGGACCCGCGCCGCGCTGATCGGCACATTGGCCCTATGTCGCTCCGTGTCGCCCTCGAGAGGGGGGAGTGTGTAATACCTGCGGGTTGCTGCGTCGGGGTCGCGGTAGCCCTCGCCCGCAGCTTGTTCGTGAATCGCAAGGTAAAGGTAGTGGTACTCAAGATCCATCCAAGCTAGAGAGAATGAGTGTCTGGTGTTATGTCATCAACCGCGGACGTGGAGACGTACTCGTGAACATATCCTTCGGAATCGACATCTTCCACTGCAGCATACGAGTGTCGAACCACTTGAGGATCGGCAACATCTGCGATTCCAACATATGAGTGTCCGTCAGAGTGTTGTCATGGCCTGCAGCAGCCAGTGTCTCATCCACGATCCTCTGCAGTCCGAACCATGCTGCCAGTTGCTGGTCCAAAGCACTGGTAGAGACACTAAGGTGCTTGACATAACCGCTGATGACAGCATTGTGGCAGAGCATGTTCGGTCGACGTGTCTGCATGCTAACACTGTAGACATGTCAGTAACTCAGACAGTAAATTGCTGGTGAGCGAGTGGCCCGTACTTTGATGCGAAATGATAGCAGCCGAGGACGGCCCGGGCCTGGTCACTATGTACTGATGGGGGCAATTCCCCCTCACCCGCATGGCAGCGTTGGGTCTTGCGACCAACGGCACCGGCTGCGATCCCAAGCTCTAGCGCCATAGTGGTTGCGATATGCGTGTATTGGTAATACTGCCCATGCATGGCCGATTTGGGAGGGAGGTAGTAGATAAGCATTACGAGGAGGGCTTGCACCAAATCCAGTGACTTTTCCTGCCTTAGAAAGAATCGCGTCGCGAAGCCGGCGAGAAGTTCTTCATGCAAGACGGTCGCGTGCGGTGTTTCAAGCGTTAGCGACGCTGCCGCGATGATGGACAGGAACAGCACTGGCTTCGTCCTGCGTAGGAAGTCGGCACTCGTGTCCCCCGGAAGAACAACCACCGGAAAGAATTGAGTGAGTTCAGAGATGAAGACGGACAGCAGCATCTGTGCCGTCTCCAAAGAGAGGATACCACGGTCGACGACATCTGCAGAGCCGGGCGAAGAGCTCATGAACGTCGAGCCAGTGGTGCTGACATGGGAAGGAGGGTTGGCAACCGGGCTTGTCACGATCGGACGAGGAGGACAAGATGACGAGGCAGTCTGTAAACGGGCGGAGTCGGAGATGGTGGATGCAAAAGGTGTTGTTGTTGCCGCCGCGCGAGTGGGAGCCGTCTCTGAGACGGGACTTGCAGTGGTGGCGGTAGCAGCGGAGACGGCAGCAGTGTCGGCGGCGGTGGTGGTGGTGGTGGTGGTGGGGGAAAGGGAGACAGCAGCGGCACCGGTGTCAACGCCGGCTGAATTCGATCTTTGATTCGGGGCATTCTGCTCGTGGAGTAAAGCGCGCAGGTCGCGGACATCTTTCTCCAGCTGGGCGACCCGTGATCCGGTCTTTTTTCGAGGCTGGCGTCGCAGGGTGTGCGCAAAAACACAGATCCGTCTGGTGCGGGTGCAACGTTGGCATTGATGCGCAATATTCGGATCCGGCAGGCAGCGGACTTTGAGGGCTCGACAATTTTCACACGACTGGTTCAAGGGCGGCGTTGGACTTGAGGGATGATGCGGACGGGCAGCAGCAGACATGATGTGCGCAAGGTGCAAGAGTTCGCTCAGGACGGACGGTGCCTGCAACTCTGCATTGATAAGTTATTTATTAGACTTGCGTAGTGCCAAGACCAGTAGTGTAGGTTCGCTTGTCTGTGGGGAGTCAGCAGGTGCAGATTAACATCCCTGGCGAGGCCCAAGGGATTTGTGGCAAGCATTGTCAATAGAGTAAGAGCCAACCGCTCATGCTCATATGGAATTTCAGGGCTCCCCTCACCCAGAATGTAATCGTGCTAGACCATGGGCAGAAGGGAGTTCATAAAGGCCTCGAGGACACTTGTGGTGTGGGCCTCTGCAAAAGCAAGCAGGCATGCAAAGGTGTAAGATGCAGTCTAGCCAGTGGATCGAGAGAGCTCGGTGGGCCCAACGGAAAAATAAAGCGTCGGAGGTCGGTGGTCGATTTCCCACCCGAACCTCCGACAGGGACTGGACTGGACTGGACTGCCCTTAAATTAGCCGGAGAAGGCCGAGATTCCCAGGATGATGTCTGAACGGCTGCAAGTCAGGTCCTGGAAGCACAATTGGTGCAGAGCACAGCTTATCGCTACATGCCGAGTAGTACTGGGCCTCCAGTGCATTCAGTCTAGATTGAAGGGCGACTGGTTGCTGGGGAAAAAAAAAGGAGAAGTGCGGAAGTGTGGAAGTGTGTGGAAGTGCGGGCAAAAAAAGCGGGCTGCGGGCGCGGGCGCGGGAAGTTCAATTCAATTCATGCCTGAGGTGTCATCATGCACATTGACTCCCCAACTCCGACCCATTACTGAGCTAATTTCTGCATGCTTTGCCTGACAACAACGGTCTTTAGAATTCTAAATTGAAAAGGACAAGCTATTATTACATGCCACACCATTCAGTGACTGACTATAAAATTTATGTTCCTCTCCATTGATCGAAGAAGACATGCTGATGTTCAAAAAAAGGGTTTCCACTTCTTAGTCATCTCGTATTCGAATCATCCACACCACGACAGCTTCAAAGCGTCGCCGGGTTCACCATGCAGTAGTCCAAGTTATGAACACTCGTGTCGGGATTGCCGGTCCAGGTACTAACTCGATTAGCCGGTCAATGTCACTCAAAATCAGGCTCTGGGACTAACTCACGGGAAAGGGTGCGAAGTGCCACTACCTCCGAAGACAGCAAAAGTAAGGATGAAGACACAGATCTGTGTCCCGCCATCCAGAGCAGCGGAGACAATGTAGTTATACTTGTTGAAAAGGTGCGGGTGGTAGCGACGCAGCCAGAACTGGGCAGCGAAGCCGAGAGCGAAATAGACCGGAATGGAGGCATTGATGCCGACAAACAGCCAGCCCATGTACCACAGAATGATGGAGGTATTGAGGTAGGAGAAGATGCCGGAGGGGTAGAAGCGGTTCGCCAGCCAGAACGGGACGGGCACGGCGAAGCCGACCAGATACGAGATCGTGACCCATTGGTACCGGCCACCGATGGAGAACATGTCCTTGGCCATACTCCAGGCAATCGCAAGGCTGTTGAACTGGTAAACTGAGATCAGCCGGGTTCCTCTTTGTCTGGGAAGCCAGAAGGGCACTTATCTGAACATTGGCACCGCTCCAGATATTGGTACCGTCTTCGGAGAGCAGGATTTCCGATTGATTTTGCACGATGCTTCAGGACGGCAGGTCAGTACACAAATGGAAATCGCAACCGTGGACTAGAATGGAGTCGCACATCAACATCATCACATAATTGAATAGGGCCCCGATAATGCACCCGCTGACTTGCACGAAAAAGGTGCACCGTGGCGATAAGTGGACCTGCTGCGCAAGTCGTAGGTCCTTGGCTAAAACCTGCCCCTGCTGGAGAGAGTTATACGTAAAACAAGTGAAATAGAGGTCTGAGGACGCATTAGCAACAAACAAAGGTGGAGAGTGCAACCGGGAAGACACATACTGGCCAATGGCTTGCCAGGAAACATATAGCCCGCCAACATCTGACAGATTGGCTGCACATTGAATTGGAATCCGGTCAGCCCATATTGGGCGCCGAAGAAGAGCATGAAAAGAAGCGTGAGCAAGTTGGCAATGATGAACCCCCACCAGGGGAGCGTGGACTTCATGGCATACAGACAGCCCATACCGACGGCGAAACTGCCAAGGAGCACCGCTCCCCACCACCAGAGCGGTGTGTCATAGTACAAGTTGCGCAGCATGAGCCGGTAGTGTGGGTCCAGAGAAGTGTCATTCACGCGACGCTGCAACCGCTCCTCCGGGGTCTCCTGGTTTGCCCAGAACTTGTATGTCTCAGGCTTGAGCCACTTCTTGAGCTGGCTCGGTGCAGCCCACGCCCAGCCCACCTTAATATCGTCAAAGTTCCATAGCAACATATGCGTCAATGTAGCAGTTAGACCCATGTTCGATGTGATGAGGTAGGCGACGTAAGTGCCGGTCAGCCAGGGCAGACCTTGCTCCTGCAGGGCTTGAGGATCAACAGTATAGTCCGCATTGAGGATGAGGGTTTGGTTGTAGGCATTGTAGTTTGTGGAGTTTGAGTCACCATAGTAAAGCAGCTGAGACAGGAACGGGAAGTCCTGCGAGCGCCAGATGTTACCGTAGTACACACCCATGAAGAGTACAATGCACCCAATGTAGCCGATAAGGTTGTTGGTCAAGTAGTAGAGCGGAACCCAAAGTGGCGAACCGAGAGAGGCTATATAGTTCCAGTCAAAACAAAGGGAGAGGAATCCCAGCCCTTCGTTTCCAGAGGCACCGCCAAACAGATTGGTGAATACCAGATTGTGCTGGCTGGCCAAGCAGAAGATGGAGACACCCTCTAAAACCGGGAAGATGTATTCGGGGATGATCGTCCAGACGAAGAGCGCCCCGAAGAAGATATAGAAGATCTTCAATTTTGCCTTCGCCTCTTGCTTGTCCTTGTGAATGGACTCGAGAAGAGTAGTGATGGGCAACGTCATGGGCCAGATCATCTTGACTGGGCGCACGATCACATCGCGCAACAGGCCCGCAATCCCGAATCCGATCAGCTGGGAGGAGAGGACGATGAAAATGGCGGCGGCATGGTTGGGATAGCCACCGTAGAAAAGCTGTTGGGCCGAAAGTGCTTCAGTGGCTAGTGCAGACTGAGTGGCAGCTGAGGACATAAGGGCAATAGCAGCGTGTTCTTTGGCATTGAACGGCCCGGGGTTCAACAGACGTCCGATCATGCCACGGCGGGGAATGGCATACGCCATGGCTTCTCCCAAGATATAGGCAATGACAGTCAGGAACACCTGGGAAACGTAGATGGTCTGCGGCTTGAAGTAAAAGATCTCCTGCAGCACACCACCAAAGATAGACAATCCAGCTCCTGTATGAGATTAGTCATAGACGCCGCCTGACCCTTTGAAATGCAAAGACATACCCAGAAAAACCATCCGGAAACTCCAAGGGTTGAGGGAGGGATCATCCTCGACCTTGATGATCTGGGTGACTAGATCCGCCGCAGTGCTCACCACCTGGTCGCTCTCGAAGCCTTGATCCTCGTCCGCAGGAAACGTTTCTCCCTTCTCGAGGATCCTGGGCTCCATCGAAGATCGATCGTGTCCCGACTTCTCTTCATACTTGTCACTTTGCCCCTCGTCTATCGAGAGCCCTGCCTGTTTGATCTCCATGGTTGCAAGAATGCGAGATGTGCGTCCTTGCACCAACACCCATGACGGATGGAGTTCCCAACTTATAAGAACCACGGGGGCCCTCACACCCTTTCAGGACCGGCCGACCGGCTCGTGCTCCAGTGGGGAAGGATTTAATTTGCAGCTGATAAGCGAACCATACGTTGCTAATTGCTAAGTTATCGTCCAATGCCTAGCTCCGACGCAACGCGGCATACAGCATCAGTATCGAGGCTAAGCATCGGCTAAGCATTTTTAGTGGCGCTACCCGAGGGGACTAGCTGATAAGGACCCTGCTCGGTTACAGTAGGCCTAACGTAAAGACTTCTGAGATGTTCATAGTCTCGTCTCGGATTGGGCGCGATAAGACACCCCGCCATTTTGGTGGGGGCATCAACAAAATCCTTTCTCGCACTCCGTCGGACTTGCGCGGGGGGGCGTCGGGTCCAAGCGACACCCCATGGTACTAGATATCAGAACGGTAGTTACCGGCCTCCCCACAGGTTTGTCGGGTCATTCGAATCATTTTGGGGTCGGGGGTCAGGGATTTTCTCCATAGTGCATACCGTGAAAACAATAGCTGCCAGAATAGCAGTTCATGTTTCTCACTACCAAGGATAATCTTGAATATGTGTCTCTTAGAAGCTAATTGTGTAGAAGACAAGTAAGCTGAAAAGTAGCAAGCAAAGCAACGGTAGTTAAGCACAAATACAACTCAGCTGATAAGGAGTGTGCAAAACTTACAGGGATTTGTGTAAGGTGGCACAATTGTTCGGCTCTGGCTTCGTTGATATGACTTGTATTCACCGACCCCGACTCTCCTATGGATAGCGCCGAGTTGACTGAACAGGCAATAAACTAGTAACAAGATAAGCTAGGTAGAGCAGATGTTGTTATTGACGGTAACCTCACTCTAGGTTGGAGCTGTTGAGTCAATTGTTCGTTTGTATAGGCTGCTAAAAGTCGCACCACTACTGCAAGGACCACAAAGACTTGAAAGGGTGCATGAGGAGCTTGCATATCTGGTCGTCTTGCCTTAATCGCCTGAGTTGGTTCGGAATCCGGCCCGCTCAGGCCTTGGTAGAGTATGACCTGCTGTCTCTGGAGCTTATCGTGATGGTCTCAAGCATTTACTACTTCAGTAATATGATTGGTGTAATTCGCACATATAGTGCTTGGATTAAACAACTCAAGAACTATACTATACTAGGGCTTCGCTGCCACATAGCCATCGTGGCCAAGACCTGCCCTTCCGCATGCTCATGGCTAGCAGCACAAGTGCCGCTAATCAGATCTTGTATTCCCGTGGGCAGGATCGCGATGACTCCAGTTGATTTCTGGTACCGCCTCCGTCACATCTGCCCCCAGAGATTGGGTCAAATGCGAGCGAAGATAGCTATTGTGGATGGTTTTGATGATAGCTAGCCCGATGCAGCCGCCTGTCACTCGAAACTGGGCAATCCTCCCATGGCGACCGCTAGAGAAAAAAAAAAGATAAAGTTTCCCGAGGCAGCAACGTTTTATCAAATATAGAATTAACTTACCATGGTCTCTTTTTCCCGTAGCATACGGCGTCATCAATGTCAACAGCGGTATGTTGATCCCGCATGCAAGCCCAGCAAGGACCTGGTAGCCGTACTGACGGGCTGAGATGTCATGTTGCCCGGACACTGTTCCCAGGAGAACGTAGGCTACCACTTGCTTCAATGAGCTGATGCCAAGCAGATACAGCAGGGGAACCTTGAACATTTTTGCCACGGTTGAGGCCAGAATTGACCCGACCGGGGCTGCAACCGTGAAGGGAATGAACCGGATGGCAGCATGAAAGGGGGAGAGTTGGTTGACCCATTCAAACCGCTGCGGGAGTTCAAAAAAAAACATGGTCACGAGCCAGATTCTCCCAAGGAAGACCGCATTCCTGTAGACCTCCCGTTCCGAAGGGCTGGTCTTTAGTACCGTGTTTTTGTATGAAGAGAAACTGGCGGGTGTACTGTAAACCAACTTACAGGAGCATTGCGAACCACACCCGATTCCGGAAAACCCGCCAGGGGAACACATGCTCTCGGCTCCCCGTCACTCCCGAGCGACGAAAAACTACCCATAGAGACCCGAGACAATGAGTAATGTGATGGTGAAGCGCCGATCGCCAGGTGAATTGCTCGTTGGGTTCATCATGAGCAGTCACCGGCAGAAGGGTCGCGGCCAGGAGCAGGATAGCTCCGAGAATGTCAACTCTGGGATAGGTTCTCTGCAAGGACCTAGCAAAATCAAGGCCAACGCTAGCTTTTGGCTTATTATGATGGGGAAAGTTGTTACATCAATAGCATGATCAGAGATAGGGCGGCGACAACTCCCGGGGGACACTGGTTATTGTCGTTCAGCGGCAGAGACGGCGAACTAAGGAGAATAAGGGAGACCTTACTTGAATAATCGACAAGGGTTGGTATCCGCAGCGGGATGTTGTGCACCTTGCCAGTGATTAATGTCGGAACTCACAATTGTTCCATCGTCTGAGCGACACCACAGGCTGCGAGAAAGAGTTGGGGAGTGGCTACCTACCGGCATATCCAAGCATCCATGCTGTGGTAATCCAGGAGATCTTGTCCAGTCCGCCCAACTCAGTCGCTATACTGATAAGAGAGGCTTTCACCATAGGAGTCTCGAGATTCTTTCAGAAGAGACACAGGCAAATTCTTTAAAGTCCAGGTTAGCGAGGTACACCGCATTATAGCAGAAACTTGGGGAGGTCAAACTCACGTCGCAGTCATTACATGCAATCGATCCCCGTGAAGGTAGGGTGTGGCTGCATCAAGGTCATCATTGGGTGCTGTTGTATCTTCTAAAAATGCAGCTGAATAATGCGAGGTTGCGCACCAGTCCCGGCTTGGGTTCTTCCATAGCTGACTCACAGAGAGTGTGAATATGCAAGAGGAAAGTTCGAGCGTAGTAAATTGAAACCAGAAATATTTCGATTTGGGGACCTCAAAGACCTTAAACAAAGATCCAGGATGATCGTAGGTACCATTCTGTCTCTACTGTCTGACCCGAATCTGATTGGTCCTTTCGCCTATAGTATCTAGTGCTGACTGCCAGGTGCCGGGTCACGGGTGTGTTGTATGGTTAAGTAATGCTTATGTCGCCCGTGCTTTTGACCTCCCTTACTCGAATGTTGGGGATATCTTGCTTTACTCTCACCGTTAGATGCTTCTTGTTGAATATGCGAAGATGATATCTTTACCGTGGTCGGCCTCGTCCACGGCTGTAACCCGGAGCAGCCCTCCGATGGGCCTTCTTCGAGTACATCCTGATTTAGGCTGACCTACAAGCAGTCATCCCGGCGCGTCTCAGTCTTCAGGATGCGGCCACGCTGGGTGTCGTCGTAATCACCATCGGGCAATCGCTTTATCAGAGCCTACGGCTGGCTCTTCCTCCATCCTCTCCTCCATCTTCTCCCCCATACCAACCTCTCCACCACAACACATCCTCATATATGGGGTTCGACCGCGGTCGGCATCGTGGCGATCTAAGCTCTCCGACTACACGGTGGTCACGACTTGCTGACTGCGCCAGCATGAGTCCCTCGTCCGGAGTTGCGGCGCCGACCAAGTCTTCGACTACTGCGACCCGGCCCCAACCAGATCCGCGAGGCAACACGGCTGTTGGATGAGGGGACCATTGTTCCGCACCCCTTGTGGTTTTGGGCAGGGGGCTTGCCCGGGGTGATTCCGGGGTTACATGCTTTGCGGGAGGGGAAGACGGTTCGGGGTTGTAAGTTGGTGTTTGACGTTGAAGAGCAGAGCCGATGAAGATGAAGAAGAAGATGTTTGTATTGTCAGAACGGTGGGTTTGTTTCCATGTCTAAACCCGTTCATGTGTAAATCGGCTCTTCGGAAGGCTGTTGACTTGCGAAACATGATCGAGAATTGAAAATAGCTGTGTACCATAATTTGGCTCGGATGGTTCAAGGCTATAAATAAAACCATGAATGTCACACGTTCCTGTCTAGTAGTTGAAGACTCGAGGCTTTTATCAGACCAGGCCTCTCAGGCTAGGGGCGTTTGGTGAAAAGAGTATCTCTGGTGCGCGGACTGAACCAGCGCCTGATACACAAGAGTGCAGGGTTTTTGGAAGCCCATAGTTCCAGAATATCATATACTTGTTTCTCTTCTGTCTTTATTGGTGCTTCTTTTTCTTCCCAGTTATCGGTTTGATACAAGATTGACATGACATTATGCGCTTATGCAGTACCAATCTAGCAGGAAGTGGCGTCGCTCATGCATTAACGATCTTTAATCGAAAGTTGCATCAAGCGCAACGAGCCAATTATATTGTACAAGGAAATTGATCCTTGAACAACGCTTGGGTGGTAGTCACCTGGTGGTTTACCTATTCGTCGCATCTTTGGATCGATTATGTACACGCAACATATGGACTTCATTGGCCACGAGTTTTCTTGGTAGAGTCATCGATGATCACAGAGCTTCAACTGGGCGGCGAAACTGTATGGCCACAGAGAGAGAGAGAGAGAGAGATGCCATGCTCCATTGCTGGTCGCAACAACGTAAATCCCCCTATAACGTTGTTCTCTTCAAGTCTCAAGAATGTTCTAAGAGAAATGCCCTGCATGAAAGGGCTCACTGGCCATACCGGGGGTGGAACCACCGAAGAGAGCGGAATAGAGCAGTTCGTGGGAGCACGATGCTCGTGAGTCGTGAGCCACCACCGGCAATTTTCCCGCTACCCCTGACTTCGTTAGCCCTTCGATAGCCCTGCTGATAGTCAGGAATGTGTATGCAGGATCAGAGACGAAGGAATTGTTTATCGGAGCCGAGGAGCAAGGGAGAGCGCTAAACCATTCTAGAAAGGAAGAAGTGGGTTTCGACGCCGTATGACTGACGGGTGTTGCGCCATGTCATTTAGATCAGCGCAAATCAAACTGGCTCCCAAATGTGCAGTACACGCAGTGCATAATTTCCCGAGCATTGTCCGCGTTGAGTAAGTATGAGTGCAGCCACCCTTGGCGCCGAGGCGGGTTTCAAATGATTCCATGTCGTGCAATAAAGTTGTTTTGTGGCGTTCGGCTCTTGGAGACATATGCCAGCTGTACTTACCTGCTGTCTAGAGATATTGAATTTTGGTGTGTTGTAAGGGTCCTTGTAAATTTGAATTGCCTCGGCAACAAGGAAATGGTTCTCGAGCCGGATACACGGGCAAATTTCGGAGCTAGTGGGGGAAAGAGTCGGCCAGTAATGACAGACAAAGAAGAATAATGAGAATTATCATGCCTTTCACTGCATTACTCGCCGAAGGAGTAATAGGATACTTATCATATCCTATTATTGCAGCAAGCTTGGAACCCTTTCCTGCTTGCCATGTGGTAAATGGAGACCAGGAGGTCGCATGGATTTTTAATCAAATTTAATAAGCTTAATTCACACCGACACTGACAGGGGCTGATCCATGTTTTGCTCCCGTCTGGCCATGGCCGTCATGCCCATCATTCCCTCTTGGGTTCGTTCTTCCCTCCCACGTCATGAGGTTTGACTTGGCCTCTCCCCATCTTCCCTTTTCGGAAAGAGACAATAGCCGGCCCTTGTGAATAATGTATTACTCTATGACCATCACCGGCTGATTCTGAAGGATCAACTCTAAACTTCGTACAAGGGGAATCCCAACCTAACCCGACCGCGGTCAGAACGTTATTCGTGGTTCCGACCAATTATGACGAGAGTTGCTCGTGCCGTCCTCGGATTCGTTCCATCCAAGATGGATCCATGATGCCTCTCCCACAAACTTGAACAGGAATTGTGCCCCTCGGCAGGCGTCCGAATGCTCTCGAAGAAAGTCAAAACAATAGTACCTTTAGCACGCGTGTGTTGCTACGGATAATGCGAACTGCGCCAGAAGCAAAAAAATCCGAGGACCTGCCACGACACGAGAGGAAAGATTCCGCATTGGTCGAGTCAGGAACCCGTTGCCCTGGTGGAGCCAGCCGCCCGGATTGGGGAAGCAACTCCGTGGTCGGACGGTCCCCGTTCTTGTCAGGGCTGTCATCACCGTGTGAGGTGCCCCATCCAGACCTCCCTCGTTCTCCTTTTGCCCGCACACACTCCGAGCGCAGAGAATTTATTTTTTTTCCCCCTTGCCCGTGAGAGTGGTTGGTTGCCCTCGCATTGTGTCGCAGATTTGCAACCTGCGTGGCGTGGTTGTGGATCAAAAGGGGGTGTGTATGCAATTCTTGTTGAGAGAGAGATAGAGACAAGAGAGAAGAGTCTCCTACATTAAGATAATCAAGAAGTGACTACCTAAGGCGGAGACTTTAATTAACCAAGAAACCTCCGCATTAGCTCTTGTCGAAAATCTCCTGCCATCATTCTTTCTACCTTTCCCTTTCTTATCTGCATCCTTCCACAGATTGCATCATTCCATCAATAACATTCTTCTGATAATCATGGCCGCTCAACATACCATCACGGTCCCCCACTTGGGTGGCATCGAAGTCGGCTATGCCCTGTCCAACAACAGCACCTATGACCCCTCCAAGCCGACCTGCGTGCTCATCAACTCGATGTGCATGACCGCGTCGCTCTACCGCCCCCAGTTCGAGGATGCCGAGTTGACCAACACCACCAACCTGTTGGCCATCGAGCCGCTTGGCCATGGCGCCACCCGCTGTCTGGCGCCCGCCGCCGAACACTTCACCTACTGGGACTCGGCCATCATGGCCCTTCAAGTGATGGAAAAATTGGGCATCCAGAAGGCCTTTGCCCTGGGAACCAGCCAGGGAGGATGGGTTGTAGCACGCATGGCCCTTTTGGCACCAGATAGGGTTTGTTCTCACACTTCGACTACTTAAAGGGGGGGAAATCAACAATCGCATTGACTAATCTTACGTGCTTTCTTCTTGTTTTCTATTGATAGATCCTTGGCATCCTGCCCTTAGGTACTTCGATGGACTACGAATCGGCCGACTCCCGCAGCAAGGACTGCTGGGACCCCGTCACCCTGCTGACCCCATTCCTGGAGAAATGGACGAGCGAGACTCCCACCCCGGATTTTGTGGTCGACGATGTGTGGTGCGGGATGGTCGCGGGGATCGGCTTCGGGGCGTCGGGAACGCCCGAGACGACCGACTTCTGGGTGCAGACGCTGAAGCAGGTCTACACGGGGGATGAGGGACGCAAGAAGGTGCGCATGGCCTTGATGTGCCTGTTGACGCGGGACGGGCTGCTTCTGCGCCTGAAGGATGTGCGGTGCCCCGTGTATTGGCTCCAGGTGAGTGAACCCCCCTCCGGCATAAATCTACCTATGGGAATAGCGTCAGGATGGCTAATGTGTTGTATACCGGTTGGCTCAGGGGACGGAGGATTTCCCCTTCAAGACCACGGTCCCCGCAGAACAGATCCAGCGGTTCTCCGCTAGTCAGGAGGCTAAATTGCAGATGGTGGAGGGAGGGGCCCATTACCTGAATGCCACGCATCCGCGGGAGGTTAACGCGGCGATCCGTGAGATGGTCACTCGCTACGGTGCCTGAGCGGGCTGCAGGGGAAGCTACAAGAAAAAATGGATCTTAGGCTACTACTGAAGGGGCGCAGATAGATTACGAAGAGTAAGTAGTACACAGTACACAGTTAGTGTCAGGAGAGAGTTGGAACAGTTCAGGAACGAACTGCATGCCAACCAGTGCCAAGTGGGCAGGACAACCCGAAACTGCTAAAGGATTGACACATCGGATGGGGCGACCTCGAGTTAGGGTCTTTCTAGTGGCTTCGACTACTTGGAGCCGGCGCTTCCTTGGCCAAAGGTTGAATAAATGTTAACAAGCCTTGGCCGCCGGACTCGCTGGTCCAGCCCTAATTGGGACGGACAGTGAGTGGAACCTGAACATGTAAATTTTTTGACACTGACAGGCGGCGAACGCGAACGACAGCTCCATGCCTCCATCAATCTAAGCACCTCGCTTTTTCTATTTCTCTTTGCTTTTTCTTCATTCCCCAAAGTTCGGTTCGAGGCTACACTAGTTCATTGTTGGCCACGCGGCGTAGAAACTTCCCCCCTCCCCCCAAAGTACGAGTAAAATTCGCCTGAGCCCATCCCCAAATGTAGCGTTTGTCGGCAGCTTCGGGCAGTGGGTCTTCCACCAAAGGTTTTGTCCATGCACGGCTCCCATATTAATAGCGATCGCCTGCCCACCTGAGATTGATTCGAGGTCTCGCTTTCCCTGGCCAGCCGTTTTCTTCTCCGGTGTAAGTGGTCATGGCGATGGATGAACAGCGGTGGGCGACCGCCACCACCACCTCCGTGACGGTGCTTGCCTTTCTGTGTGTTGTGCTGCGGATCGTTTCTCGACTGGAACGTAAGCAGAAACTCTGGTGGGATGACTGGATGATCATCTTTTCCATGGTATGTACTCTGCGGTGTACTGCACTTCGATTCTCTCGAATCACACTGACACACCACACCATCTAGGGGTGGAACTTCGTCGTGGTCGGCTTCATCTATGCCATGATCCACGAAGGCATGGGCATCCACGCCGACCAATTGCCGACTGGACAAGTCATCCTGATCGCCAAGTTCCTGGTCGTGGCCGAGATCCTCTACGTCTTCAACCTGGTCTGGACCAAGCTCAGCATTCTGCTGATGTACTACCGCATCTTCCGCTTTGCCTACTTCAAACGCTGGGCCTATATCATCGGCACCTTTGTGATCTGCTGGGTCATCTGCATCACCTTCCTGTTCATCTTCATCTGCGTCCCCGTGCAGAAACTCTGGTACCCGAGTCTCCCCGGCCACTGCATCTCCCAGGTCGGCACCTGGATCGCCAATGCCACCTCGACCATCGCCACCGACCTGGTGATCCTCTTCCTCCCACTACCTCAAGTCTGGAAGCTGCAGCTCCGCCTATCTGAAAAGGTGGCCTTGACCATCGCATTTGGCCTAGGGTTCTTGTAAGTTCACCCTACAGCACTTCCTTACCCAGCCCTCGGACAAACGACCCACCAATTGACACAAAAAAAAAAAAAAACAGCGTGGTCTTCGCCTCGGCCTACCGCTTCAGCGTCCTCTTCTCCTACACCGCCGCCGACAGCTCCTACACCCTGGCCCCGACCGTCGGCTGGACCGCGATCGAGATGTCGGCCGGCATCGTCTCCGCCTGCCTGCCGACCATCCGGCCCGCGCTGCAACTCGCCGCCCGCACGATGGGCATCCAAGCCGTCATGCCCGCCATCTTCCGCAGCACCGGCCACTCCGCCAACCACCTCTCCTCCAAATCCGAGGCCACCCAGCTGGGCAGTCGCTTCGCCGCGGGCGATATCCCACTTTCCACGGGTGGCGGCGGCGGCGGCGGCGATGGGGGCACGTCCTCCTCCCGCCCCGTCGTCCGCCATTCGTTCTACCATCTCCCCGACGAGGGCGAGTTGTCCGAGATCGACAGCGTCCCGTTGAAAATGGAGGTGTCGCTGCGGCCGAAGCATGATCGGGGCCAGACGGTCACCAAGATCCGCGGGCGGACGAGCGTGGCGTCCGGGGAGGACGATCTCTTGCCGTTGCATGGGATCCGCGTGCAGAAGGACTTTAGGCAGGATGGGTAGGGGGTTTTCGTTTGTTTTTGTTTTGTTGTTTTTCTATAGCGGGGGGCATATTTAGGAGTTTGCTTTTCATATTGAAGTATGATTGGGTAATTGTCTGTATGCATATGGTGTATTTATATCATGTATATATTAATGGTATGGCATTAAGAGTGTCAATGTCGAGGCAGTGTTAGTTCGGCGGAGCTGGGATTCCACGATGCTGTATCTTGCTGCAAGTGCCTGTGCCCGATCTTCACTTTAGCTTTTCTGTTACCAAATAATCTTCTCATTCTCTATTGCGAATGAGCATGGAAAGACACAAAGAAGGTGAGTATAGTAGATGTAGAAGCCGACGGTAAGACTTACGTCTTCTATGATATATCCAGAGCCATTACGCTCCTCTCACATAACACATTGCTCATGCCGAAGAGATTTCTCACCTCAGTTGAAAACCCAGTGCCAACGTTACAAAGATAGGATTATCAAAGAACGTGGTCGATACTTCACCGACGCCTTGCAAGGAACGTGGAGCCGAGTCCCGCCGTCAAGCAAAGAATGCTATTCCTGTTTACCTTTGTTCTATTGTACGTCTTCTACCCCCACTCCAATCTCTTCCAAGTTCCCATGGTTTCAATTGTGACGAAAAAGGTTGAGTACACCTATAAAACCCTTCCTCGCTCTCCATCCCTCACGACCTCCATACAAGCCTACTTAGCCCAGCAGACAAGTCCCCAAGCGACCTTGTAGACCAAGTACCTCACCCCCCCCCACACAAGTCAACACCTAAGCCCCAACACCGCTAAACAATGTCCTACACAACGCACCCCACCCCCCTCACCTGCATGGTCCGGTGCAACGCCAACGCCTACGCCGTCGACGGCTTCTGCGGGCTCTGCCACGAGCCCCCGGCGCACGGCAGCCCGCTGAAGTGGCACTGTACCGGGTGCAGTGTGGACTTCCACACCGAGTGCTTCCGCCGGTGGATGGACCGGGCCCTGCGGATGAGTCTGGTGTCGACCTGCCCCAGCTGTCGGTCGCGGTGGGAGATGATCCTCACGGGGCCGGAGGCGAGGACAGCCACGCAGTTCCTTAGTTTTGGGGATTGAGGCTTGGGTCTGTGGGTGATCGGTGTGGTAGGATGAATCGGTGTGTACCTGGTCATGGGCATGTAGTGTTTGGCTTACGTGAAGGATGTTGGATTTATACTCTGCAATGACTTGGGTTTCTTTCATGAGTTTGGTCTTGGTTCGTATTACTCTCGTAATCGTGGAGATATTTGTGATTTTTCGATTGATGCCAATGATTAGTTGGCTATAGTGGATGGGGTTGAGTCATAGATGCGAATAGTACTTGTATGTTTGTTAAAAATCTCGAACGTAGTGATGAGACTGCTGTGTGGGCACTTCTTCCCTACTCAACCTGAGACGAAAGAATAAAAGAACGGAGTCTAAATCTCTTCCAGTGACTTTAACAGTGGCCATGCATCTTGAAACCGTCAGCAATTAATTAAGCACTATTCACTATAAACTTGCCGAACCAAGTTGTGAGTCCCGCTGGCTCTCGTCTGTGCAGTGGGGTCGGGCTAAAGGTGAACGGTGGGTCATCGTTCTTCCTTCAGCCTTCTATCCCCCCCGCAATCAAACACTCTTCAAAGAGGATCGATCAGTCGCGCATATCCCATCCACCCATCATATCGAGTCTCAACAGCAAGCCTACTCAGCTGGTCCAAGCCAGCGAGAATCTCCTTCGAGTCGTGATTGCGAATCTCGAGTGGGGTCGAGGAACCACGGACTGACTCTGGCAATCTTGCACCCACGGTGGTGAGGTGCACCTCGACCTCCACAGAGACTCTCTTTGCATTGCATACATTGCTTGCGCATATTGCCGCAGAGGCTGGCTTGAATAGAGCGGCTGATTGCATATAATTTGATGCTAATACAGGAAAAACTCGACTTTATATAAATGACTGTGCAATTGCTGACAATACAAACAATGTAGGCAAACGCAACTTTCCAAGAAAGAGGTCGTCGACACGAGAAATGTGTCCGGGACGCAGAAGCCATTGAATCCGACGTACTAATCAATCACCCTCATCGCTGGTAGATTGGCTTGAACTGCTCTCACTTGAGCTGCTCTCACTTGAGCTGCTCTCACTTGAGCTGGCTTCACCTGAGCTGGCCTCGCTGGAACTGGCCTCGCTGGAACTGGCCTCGCTGGAACTGGCCTCGCTGGAACTGGCCTCGCTGGAACTGGCCTCGCTAGAATCGCCCTCATTGGATCCGCTTTCATCTGACAACCCGGCAGCCGTCCCGGACTCACTACTATCGCTAGATCGACTTTCAGTCGCAAGCGTCTCCCCCGATCCCTCATCCGAATCATAGGATCGTCGGGCCGTAGGAGTTCTGTCCCCGTCCCCGTCCCCGTCCTCGCTGCCATCTTCCAGCTCCGGCGGCTCCAGGCCCAGCTCCGAGTACAGGACGCCCTGCGTCTCGGGCATCTCCCCGGTCAGCCGCAACTCCTCAGAGACCTTGCGAAGCGTGCGTTGGGCCCCGACCGTGAGTGTGTCCTGTTGCAGGCGGAGATTCTCCCTGAAGCTCCAGAGGAGCTCCCCGAACGGCGGCTCGATGTCCAGGTAGTTGTTGTCCTGTATGGAGAGGGCGAACTTCTCGAGCTCGCGCTTCCACAGCTCCTGCAGCACGCTGCCCCCGATCAGGTCGCGACACAGATTCAGAAACAGGGTCTCCGCCCAGCAGGCGAAGCTGGGCAGGATCACGTCGTTGCGCCCGATGTCCTGCAGGCGGTTCTCGCCCTCGCCGCTCAGCATGTAGTCCACGTGCACGGCGCGCGGCCGGCGCAGCGGCGGGTCGCGCGCCTGCCACATGTACACGCTCTTGCGGTAGATCCGGACGGTCAGCATCGGCTGGTAGGGGTCGTCGTCGCTGGAAGCGGAGGATCCTGTGGATGATGATGAGTCAGTGCAATCGCTGGTGGTGCTGGATCCGCGGCTGTTACTCACCACAATCCAATTTGCCTCTCGGGGGAAATGGAAGTGAGGTATGTCTGTGGGCGGTTGCTCGTGGCCCGTCATGGTAGGGCAGTCGGCGCCATGTTTGCAGCTCTCGAGACCGTTGTCCTCGAGCGCTTGGCAGGCTCTCTCGATGTGCTTGTCCGGGATGATATAGCCACTGAAATCTGGGTAGTCGACCTCCATGCCGTAGAGCTCGAGGACCGGCGCTCCGAAGACGGTGTATCGGATCTTCTGGTCCTGGAAGCTGGAGACTACGAGTCCGCTGTAATCCATTTTGTACAGATGTGGGTGTGGTTTGCGGTTTTGTACTTACTGACTCAGATGATCAAGGGGCTGAGAGTGAACGATACGACGGTGCTGGGTGATCGAAATGCATTTTATAGATCAGCTTGGGCGTACTTGTCTTTCAAGATGGTCTAGGTTAAGAGGGATTTACCTGGCGGCTTAATCTCGAGACAATGATCCTGCCGTACGATCCATGGCGGACTTTCAGCTCTTTATCCTAGATTGTGGAGTCTGAGATGGAATCAACGAAGAAGATATCCCTGGCAGTGATTCACACCATTCTTGCTACTGGGCGATTACTTTCCACCAAACCATCCATCTCAAACCGTCCATGCCTTGTGCTATGCTCTTCAGGTAAGAGTTACGGTAAGAAAGTAGCCAGTATGATGGCTAATAGAAACTTCGCATATCAGCAGCATAGACCTATTACAAGGTGAGAAGCAAACAACTACAGCTTACGTGCCTGAGGCATAACTACCAGTATTAGCACATGCATAACTCATTATTAATGTATCCACAATCACGGGACGGGACCCTCCCCTCCGCCTCGGCCAGTTCCACCGCCTACGTACATATCAAGCTGTCAACATCATCATCACCACCACCACCACCACCATCCCTCTATTGAGTCCACAATCAACCCAGCCATACCGTCACCGCTACCGTCTCCATGCTCCACCACCCCCCAAAATGACAGACCTAACCCCAACCCTCCACGAGCTCCTAAAAAGCAAACCCAATGCCCCGCGCCTCTCGAAGGGTTATCTCTCCACCGAGACGGCGGACGAGTTCCTCAAAGAAGCCTACCGGATTGTACGTGCCCCTAGCCTACCTTAACCCCCTCTCTCCCACCCACCCACCACAAGCAAAACCACTAACCACCCCCAGAACAACCACATAACCTCCCTCCTGCACTACCTACACCGCATCCGCCCCTCCTACCTCTCCATCAACCACAACCACCACCACAACAACAACAACAAGTCATCCCACAAACCCCCCTCAGACCCCTCCCCCCTCGCCCTCCCCCCCCCACCGCCAAAAGACCTAACCGACACCTCCCGCGCCGAAATCGACACCTCAACCTCCCACCTCCTCCGCCAACTCTCCACCTCCATCTCCACGCTCGCCTCCGCCGAGACCCTCCGGCAGGAGACGCGGGCGCAGCTCCTCCGCAAGAAATACGGGAGTCGCGTGGGCGGCGTTCTGGCCCGGTGGGCGGCCGGCGGCGATGACGACCCGCAAACACGCGCAACAGCAACCCCCGCGCAACGCGCCGAGGAGGCCGCCGAGGATAACACGAAGCAGCTCCGCGCGGCGGTGCTGTGGTTCCTGCAGCGGAAGCTGGAGGGGGTCGTGGCGGTGCAGCGCGGGATGGTGGAGAAGAGGCTGGAGAGGGTCAGGGAGCGGGAGAGGAGTGTGCTTTATTTGTCGCAGCAGCAACAACAATCAAAACAGCAGCAGCAGCAGCAGCAGCAGTCGGGTAAGGAGCGGGGGGAGGAACGGGGGTTGGGGCACGGGTTTGGGCAAGGGCAAGGGTCGGAACATGTAGGCGACATGATGCTGCCGCCGCCGTCGGGGGAGACGCAGGGCCAGCGGTTGGAGGAGACAGAACTACACGCTATCGAGGCGCAGCTCTCGCCGGAGCAGTTGCAGCTGTTCGCGGAGGAGAATGATGCCATGGTCAAGTATTATGAGGATACCTTGAGTAAGGTCCGGTATGTTTGTCTTTTTTTTCCCCCTTTGGCTAGGGTGGTGGATGGCAAGGGCAACCCGAGCTAATGTGTGTGTGTCTGTATCGCAGAACCGCCGAGAAATCGCTACTCGAGATCTCCTCCCTCCAACAGACTCTCGTCGCCCATCTGTCCACGCAGGAGGAATATATCAACCAGCTGGTCACCGACGCGAGCAACACGCATTCCAACATCGGGCAAGGAAACAAGGAGCTCAAGCGCGCGAGTGAGCGGCGGAGTACCGCGCAGGCGGTGTTTTGGGGCACCGTCGGACTGTGTACTTGGTTGGTGGTGTGGGATTTTGTCTTCTAGACTTTCCAGCTGTATAACTCAACAACACATTCTTAATTTTTGGCTTCTTTGCGCATTGGCATTATGATAACCCCCTAATGGTTTATGTCTGTATGTTCTGTATGCTGTGTTTTATGGTTCATTCAACGAAAAGAGCAACCCGCTTATGACGTCTCCCGCACCACGCTATCCACCGCCTCGGCAAAGTAATCCAGATTATTCGTGTTCAGTCCCGCCATCGAGATGCGGCCGTTCTTCGTCTGTCCCCGTTGTTAGTATGTAGCTACCAAAACCAACCGAGAAGAAAAAACTTACCATGTAAACATGCCACTTCTCGCGCAGGATCTTAACTTGGCTCTCCGTCAACCCCGTGAAGCTGAACATGCCAATCTGATCCGTGATGTGCTGCCACGAGCCCGGCGTGCCCTTGGCTTCGAGCCTCTCCCGCAGTCCCTTGCGCATCTCCGCGATCCGCCCACTCATCGTCCGCAGGTCCTCCTCCCACTCGGCGAACAGCGTCTCATCGTTCAGCACCCGGCTCGCGATGCGCGCACCGTACGCCGGGGGGTTCGAGATCTCCGACCGCTGGAGGATGGCCAGCTGGGAGGCGATGTTGCTGTTGTTGGCCGCGGCCTCGGCACCGGGCGCGGACACGAAGTGGAACGCTCCCGTGCGCTGGCCGTACAGACCAAAGTTCTTGGCGAAGGACTGCGCGATGCACAGCTCGAACCCTTGCTCGATGAAGTAGCTCACCGCCCAGGCGTCGCGGCGGAGGTCGCCCGAGGCGAAGCCCTGGTAGGCGCAGTCGAAGAAGGGGAAGTGGTGACGGTCGCGCATCACGACGGCGACCTCCTTCCACTGGTCCTGGGTGAGGTCGACGCCCGTGGGGTTGTGCGCGCAGGCGTGCAGGAGGATGACGGAGCCGGTGGGGGCGGACCGCAGCGCGCCCAGCATGCCGTCGAAGTCCAGGCCCTTGGTCTTGGCGGAGAAGTAGGGGTAGTTGGCGAGGGAGAGGCCGACATTCGTGAAGATCTGGTGGTGGTTGGCCCAGGTGGGGTTGGAGAGGTAGATGGAGGGCTTCGCGGGGTGGAACTTGGCGAGGAAGAGCGCGCCCAGGTGGACGGCGCCGGTGCCGGAGATGGTTTGGAATGTGCAGACCTGAGAGGTGGGTTCTTGTTAGTATTGGATGCTGGTAGTACCGTGTACACCAAAGGGTAGACGAACTCGGTTCTCGCGAATGGCGGGGCTGTCGGCGCCGATCATGAGCTTCTGCGCCGCGCTGGTGTAATCGGCCAATCCCTTGATGGGAAGGTATTCATGGTTGAGGTTGGGGTCGTTGCGCACAAGGTCGTCGGCCTGGATTTGGGTTTAGTCGTGATCAAACTCCCACCTGGGAAGAGAAAAACCTTACCTTCTTCACAACGGGCAGAATCCACGGTTTGGCGTTGTTATCGCGATAGGCGCCGATAACGAGATCGACCTTCTTGTCGGAGGGATCTTGGCGGAAGGCCTGAGCGAGACCGAAGAGGGGATCCTCCGGGGCGGCGGGCACGTTGGCCGTAGAGAAGACGGTAGGGCTTGAGGAGCCCATGATGTGTGAAGATAGGGAGGCGAGACGGGAGGTAGCAGTGGAGAGGATGGAGGAAGCTGACGGGGGTTGGAAGGAGGAAGTGGAAGTGGGGATGGAGGAGGAGGAAGAAGAAGAAGAAGAAGAAGAGGGTGCCATGAGAGCTTTGAAGTATGTCAGAGAATGGCCCAACAGGTCACACCACCTTAGGTTTCCTGACTGGTTGCTGCTTGCGTTCACCGGCAAGCAATTCGACTGGACCGAAACAGATAAATCCCGATGTGGATGATTTGCCCATAAACAAACACGCGAATAAATACTTCAATCGGAGTAAGCTGGACACAGAGCAGAGGGGGGGGGGTCGGCCAGTCGCCGATATTTAAACATCAAAACGTCGGAGAGCATGGGATAGGATGGTGAAGGGGAGAGAGGCTCAGCCGAGGATAGATGACGACATGCACATGTGTTAGTTACTAGATAGTTATCTTGCCTTCCGACTGACTGGCATTGATCTTGCATACCATACAATAGCATGCTACTTGCTCTACGAATTCAATTCAATTCAGATTCTATCACTCTCTCCCTCTGTTGCAAGTTCCTCCGGAGCACACGCAGCCCGAATCATGTTCTTTCCAATTGCCCCCCGTGGTGGTGGTTCTTCAGCACCCCTCACTCATCATATGACTGACAGTACTGTAAATAAGACTTATCGCTGCAGGTGAACCTGAAACCTCCGCTTTCATCCACCCGCAACATTCTTTCTACCAAATCCACAGAACCCATTGCCCATTGCATTCCTTCTACTCAGTAAATCTTCTTCCCCCGATTCTCCTAATCCTTTCAACTGTCAATCATTCTTCCGGACCAACACAGGGGGGCAAAGAGAACAGCCACCTGCGTGGCCGACTCCAACCGACACTGTGTGGTGCCCCGCCCAATCACCGCGGCCTCGAAACCCCGATGTGTCATCCTCTTTTACCCCACTTACGGCAGACAACCGTCTAGCCCTGCGTGATTTTTCCTTCGCCCCGTTTGAAGGGGCCGGGGGCACGTAGTTTTATTTTTATATTAGGTTCGATCGCCGATTGAAGAGACATTTAACCCCTCATGGGGAGGATGGATTGTACACTGTAGTCACAAATTAGGTCCAGCATCATCAGCATTGAGAAAAGGTTTACGACATTACACTGTCGGTTCCTACAATAATCAAAATAATAAAGATACATCTTCAGAAGAATCAGAGCTCGAGATCACCCGCAGCTCAACTTGAACCTGAACAATCAACCGATTGGAATCCCATTGCAAGCCTCACTCAATCCAGCTTAAGGGAATATCCAAAGTTCAATGTTAGGAAACACCTTCCCCTTCTATCCTCAACACTCAGACTTAGAACCAAG